CTGAGGCGTTTGTGCTTTTTTTTCCCTTCACGTTCCCCAGTGAAACATAGGGCTTCAAGCTAGTGGCTTGAATTTTCCGTAGCAGCGTTTATTTTACAGGATGGGGTTGCTAGCCTCATGCCCAAGCTTTCCTCTTTACCAGCATTATTTCTGGCTTAGCGAGGTGAAGGAGTGCGTCGGCTGGCGATCAAACCCTGGACCATGTGCATGGTCGGCGAGCGTCTTAGCCGCTACGCCACCGACACATGATTTAATTACATCATTAGAAGAATAAGAAATGCTGAAGAGTTTAGGCATTTTGATGGATGGAAACTCTAGTAGTCCAATGATTGAATCAGGTCACCGGTATAAACTGTGTTGTTTTATAATAATAGTAATGATAAAAGCTTTGTTTCAAACAGTAATTTTGTACAAATTTTGCATTTTCAGCAATGTAGTCTAACATATTGCATCTGATATTCTCATCATAGGGGTAATAATTTAAAACCAGGGCATTTACATTGGTAACATTGTTCACTTGAATATGAATATAACATTAGGTGAAGATATAAACAGCAATATAATAATGAAAAAAGGGAGGGACGTTTACTGAGTGTTTCTCAGTAATCCTTCCCTACACTTTTCTCACCACAAATTGTGCACCAAATAAGGTATTTTATAGTTAGTATACTTGGCCGTCCGAACAAATAGTCCTTTATACTTGCTTCTCATTTCCTTACCTGATGAAATACAAGGAGAGAGCGAGCGCGAGAGAGAGAGTTGTGTATGGAGAGGGATGCTCAGGGTCTGACAATCTGAGATTCGCTAATCTCTCACAGGATTCCGTGTGTTTATCTACAACAGTATTCCTATACCGGTTGTATTCCTGATTAGTATTGTATCACGTAAAATTAGTCTACTATAGAATGCATAGTATATTCCACCAACGACTGTTCATATTTTCATACATTTGGTTCCCTTGACGAATTTTGATAGAGAAAGAAAGACCACACTTGCAGTATACAATGATATCATTCTATTTCACAGGTTCTCATCAGTTGCAAACTACCTGAAATTACAATGGTTATAAATAATAACATTTCATAATTCATTGTTTGAAAGGTAATAGAGAAAACATTATAAGGTGAATGCATATGGAATATAAGTAATATAATTTTTAGATCAGGTGGTCACCATCAATTTATATACTATCAAGCTATGTAAAAAGAAATTGGGGGAGGAGGAGGGTGAGAGAAGACAGAAAACAGAAAAAATCTAATAAACAGTGTCAACATGACAACTCAAGAAGGTCAAAGTTCATCAGTTTGAAAACTTGCTTAGTAAGTTGAACTCACTAGTGTGTATGACTAATCAGTGTAATGAAAGTGATACGGTTACCAAGCGAGTGAGAGAATGACTACACTCACTTTTTGTGTGCATAAGTTTGGTCTGAGATGTTTGATTGCAATTGCTTCCGAATCCTTCAAAATACTAAACATGCAAAGGACAGAAAATCTACTACGATTTGCTAAAGGAATTCCAATCAAACATCTCAGACCAAACTTATGCACACAGAAAGTGAGTGTAGTCATTCTCTCACTCGCTTGGTAACCGTATCACTTTCATTACACTGATTAGTCATACACACTAGTGAGTTCAACTTACTAAGCAAGTTTTCAAACTGATGAACTTTGACCTTCTTGAGTTGTCATGTTGACACTGTTTATTAGATTTTTTCTGTTTTCTGTCTTCTCTCACCCTCCTCCTCCCCCAATTTCTTTTTACATAGCTTGATAGTATATAAATTGATGGTGACCTGATCTAAAAATTATATTACTTATATTCCATATGCATTCACCTTATAATGTTTTCTCTATTACCTTTCAAACAATGAATTATGAAATGTTATTATTTATAACCATTGTAATTTCGGGTAGTTTGCAGTTGATGAGAACCTGTGAAATAGAATGATATCATTTTATATTGTAAATCTGTTCATATTTTATTCTCGTCTGATTACTGTACATACTGTTTACCTAGATCTCTATGTTAACTTACTTGGTACAATATGGCACCAAAAAAATGCGCCAGACAATAATAGTAATAAAAGGACATATGAGATAAAAAAGTAAGAATGTAGGTAAAGAAGAGATAAAGTACTTCATCTGGAAAGAGAGCAGTCATATTTAACAAGTTCAAACAGCATTCATCAATTATTGTGGGGAAGGGAAGAAAGAAGGAAGCTGCAGCACGTTCTCTCCATCGATTGCGATTTTCGTTCATATAACATAACGTCTCGAATCACCGACTCTAGCTGTCTGTCGGACTCCAACCAGGGATTCGTGACTCACCAACCGATGTTAGCCTAACACAAATATCCTTCATCCCACCACTCCACGTCATGGTCTGATCACATCACCGCTTTTTCCATCCCATGTTAGGGCTAGAGGACAGACACCTGTACGGAAGCCTCTGGGTGGGATGACATTCTTAGCATATGTCACAGCCACCGAAGCCGGTGTTTCTATATGACGACACTCAACGAATGGTGGTCTCCACTGTTTCCAAACATTCGCTTCTGGGCTCGCTCAGAATTAGTCACGCGATGATGCCATCGAACGCAAGTGATCCTACTGATACAGCGATGACCGAATACACAGAGTCGCCGCACATCCTCAGCTTGGAGAGGAAAAAGGTGACCGAATAGGATTGTTATGAATGTATTGAATCTATGTAATTGGGACCCATATAGTTTCACTTTCGGAGATGTTTGCAAGGTGGTAATATAACGTAGATTTGTGTTTTTCTTTGCTTGCTGGTGACTGAAGTTGGTAAGTAAAGCCAGATTTCTTAGAAGACAAAATATTGATCAGTGTTGTGTTAACACCTTCCTATGACTTATTATAAAATGTCTTCTATGCATATATTCTCTGCGATAATAACTACTTATTGAGTACATTTAATTGTACCTCTTAATGTCAATTTTTTTGTAGCGACCAGCTTAATTTACTAATTGAACGTAATGAACAAGTTGAACGAGAACTTGCTGCTTTAGGAAATACTTTTAAAGAAACAATACAACAGTATACAGTTGAACGAACTGACCTGAGGAAACAACTAGACAGTGTTAAGACAGTGAGTATCTGTATTCAATGAAGTATTCTTGTTCATTGTTGCTGTTTTCTTCTTTCATTCACCACCATCTGCATACTCATACTCTGGTTGTTGATTCCTTTTTTGTTTGCCTATCTATCGGTGTGGTGTAACGTTATTTATTACGTGACTATTACACTCTCAAATTATTTAATAATTCAGCTTACTATCTGGTGATGTCTTTAGACTTCTGTCTGTTCTTTTTTGTTTGGTGTGTCTCAGTAGCATACTTATCACTCCTACCCTGTGACACGGCAGCAGGAAGCGCGGTCGTTGTTAATCCGGGCCACGGCCGATCCGGCATGATATTTTGTGAATTTGTTTGAATCATGGTATTGGATGGGTAGCTGCTTTTTGTTTAACCGCTATCCAAACAACCTGCCTGGCATGGTAGAACCTCAAGAGACATAAGTCTCAGCCAGTATAGCTTGAATAGATCATTGCGTGTTCAAGCCCGACCACCACGTCAAGGTAGCAGCTTTCGGTCGGGATTAGACTTACTTATCAACAAATAGAATTCACACAAGTCTACAAAGTTGTCACTGCTTTGTATGTGCAACTTTGTTGTTTAGAACGAATAAAGAGAACTATCAAAGCCCCTAGTTTAGAAGTTATATTTGATGTCAGTATGAACAATGAACATCATACAATAAATAATACTGTTTCACTGTATCATATATCCAATAAACAGATTAACGTGTAATTAATGTATTCTACCACAGTGCTACAGTTTTCTACAAGCATTGTTCAATTTTGGTCTTCAGTTAATGTGTTCTCCAGAAGTTTTATTATGTTATTACCGGTTTCGGACCCCGGTGGGTGCGTACTGCTGAAGAGTCCCAAATTAGGACGAAACAGATGTCCAGTACTCCCAAGTTTTCCAGTGGTTCTCTAACCAATGTCAGCTCATGATTAAATCAAATCCCTACAAATGAATACTTGAATGTTACAAGATAGTTGGCACCAATCGTCGCAGTAAGCCTAGACGACTTAGGTTTCGTACTTGTTGCCATTTACCGGTCAGCATGGAACTCATGTGCCTTCTGAAATTTGAACGTGTGTCACCCAGTGTTCCAGTCAAAAATGTTACCAATGAGTCCTTTGGACTTGCGATGGACCACCTCCTGTAGGACTGTATTGGATTACAGATACGTCTTGCTAACTGATGAGTGCCAGGAAGCACGAAACTTGAGTTCAAGGCTTTCTGTCGATTGCCTCGAATTATCTAATAACAGTAGATTGAAGTACGCACCGTGATGGCGAGTCGCGTGGGATGGTGGCGGTAGTCACATAGGAAACTTGACTGATAGAATTCAGTCTGAACCGGACACAAAGGACTAGACGCATGACGCTTCATTCATCAGTACTTTACATAGCTTGTGAATGATTGATTGAAGATAAAGTTTTATTTATTTTATTTTTATATCTACAAGTTGATTATTATTTCATATTTCCCAATGCTAATCTATTCACTCACAATTTGTAGTCGAATAGACAGGGAGATAAATGAATGTATCAGTTGTTTTTTTTCCACAAAATCTCAATTCTTCAATTGGATGCTCTCTGTCTTAATACTTGTACTTACCGGGTGTAGTTCTTTTTATTTCGAGGTTATTCTCCTTCAAATTGCATTGCTCATTAAAGAAGTTAATGACTGTGTATGTATGACATATCTGTCCTAGTCAGTCAGTTCAGTTACCGAATCAGATTGACCTCTATTTACCGAACACCTTGTATTCGAGTAACTCTATTCTTGTATAATTTTACAATTAGAATGTGTTTCATATGCCTTAAATACTTCTACTGTTCATCTTTTTGTCTCTATCTGTTGTTGCGTTTTCTCTCTCTCTCCCTCTCTCGTATTATAGGAAAATGAAGAATTACTGAAGAGTAAAAAAGCCGAATGTTGTGAGCTTGAAGAACGAGCAGAAAAAGCTGAAAGTCAACTGAAAGGACTACGTGATCAGATAGCAAACATGCAGACTGAACGTAGTCGTCTTATCGCAGCTTCAGTAGGGAGTTCTCAGGTTGTTTATCTAGTGTTGTTACTATTATCTACTACTGATTGTTAACATGGATATTTCCCATAATTGTATATGACACTAACCCTGTTATGCAGTCATTACGTAGGATAGTGTTATGTACTGCTGCTGAGTGAGTAATTAGAGTTTTCCCCGTCGCCAATTATGTTATGTACTCGTCGAGTGGTATGATTCGGATTGCTTGAAGGTGAAGTTGAACCAGTCTGTTGGTTGATAAGCATTTCCATCAATTTCATTTGTCGCTCAAGTAGTAGTTCCAATTTAGAAGAATCCATAGTTTTCTCGTCGCCATTTATGTTATGTACTCGTCGAATAGTTAATAGTCCTGATGCGGAAAGAGGGAAATCATAAGAGCACCAGGTTTACGATGATACTTGTTTTTTCCAGACAGGAAAGTAAATGTCGCACAAGAGTGTGAGTGAAATGGTACGTAGTGTACGAAACGTGGGAACAAGTATGAACAAGTATACAATACAAAAGCATATGTGAAATTGACTAATACACATGAACCAATAAATAGATAGTCTTAACATGATTGGTTGTAATGTCATGTAACAACAAGGTCATACATGTTTATTTAGTTAGTGGACAGACAAAAGCATATTATCAGTTATAATGAAATATCGATCTATATAAACATAGCAGAATATAATAGACTGTCAAAAACAAAACACACATAATGTGGATACATATCAGATAGTATACCATTTCGAAGGGTATAGCTTACTAACTCAGTGTGGTTGCTAGCTAGCTGTCTTTGATCATCGTTGTCTGCGTTATATCTCCCGTGTGAAGTTGTCTAATGGGGTGAGCAATATTAATGTTAGGCGTTGAGTGCTAGGTAAGGAAGGAGGAGAAATCAGTCGATGAGGCTGTGAAGCTACGTGTGTTACGAATGCCGAGCCATCGCCTTCCTCGACAGGCAATGTTAGCTGACATACAATCGATGAAGTTGGAAAAGAGAGAGCTAGTGATGGTCAAACGAAAACATGGCTTCATCATTCAATGAAATCCACAACAGTTAGTTTAAGCCATCCAGTGATGTAGGGAGGTGTAAACTTCCTGGTTGAAGTCCTCGGGACGGTAAAAACCAGTGAAGGCTGGAGACAATTGGTGATATGGCTGAAAATCGTTCTCACTGATGACTGGGTCATATGCACCCACTCCTTGTGACTTATAATTTCCAATGAAACTATAGTGTTCTTCGTTATTACTATTCCTTTTGTCTCTACTTTGCATTTTTTTTTCTCTTGTTTTGTGTGGTACATGGAGTGTGGCGATTTGAACTGCTGCATATCGGTGCAAAGTTGTTGTTGAAAACAGACAGACAGACAGACACTAGTTGCTTGTATTCTCTATGAACAGTTGGTGGTAATCATACTATCCATCCACTTAACCTATGCCAATGTTTCCACTTGATTGTGCAACATTTTAAGAAGACAAATTTTATATTCTGTCTGAATTATAATTCTGCCGAAAAGTTGTTTAAGGGATACTCATTATATGTAAGGTATAAGGCCAGAATGATAGAAATAATAATGGTAATAATGGCCTAAATGATTTCTGGACGTATCATTCCTTTGCGTCTCTAGTGAAAACATTGAGCTTCCAACGTTGGTTGTGCTTTTTAGTTTCGTTAGCGGTGGTATTGTTTTACAGGGTGTGGCGTTGCTAACTTCACTCCCAACCTTTCCTCTTTACCCTACTTACTACTACTGATGACTAAGTAAGGTTTAGCAGTGCTTCGGCCGGGAATCGAACCCCCCGCCTGGTCATATGCATGTTATGGGCACGTTTCATTTTCCCTTTTGTATTCATCTTTTCATTGTATTTCTACTTTATGAAACACAGTTTATACTTCAAGCCTATAATACAGTTAGTCTACTAATGTTAACATTAACATTTTCCATTTATTTATTTTTTTTCAGCAATTATCAGACGTGAACATTAAATTGAACGAAGCAAATAGGAAACAGGAAAGCCTTGAACAGGCACTTCGTGAAGCACAACTGCGACTTGAACGAATGAATACAACACAGAATCAGACGGTAAGGCGATTTCAATGTTGTTGTTGTTTTCACTCTATCTATCTATCTCTGCAGTGATAGATTATTTCGACTGTAAGCTTATCTGGATTCCAAGATAGCGAAAATATCCATTCATAATCTAGAGAAAAGAAATTGAGCAGAGAATATCCTTATCGATAGTTTCCTTTTCTGGCTGTACAATTATACATGTATATGTTCATATACACGGAATATTCAGAATAGTCGCCATAAACAGTACTGGTGTTTTTAAATAATATCGATTTGTTAAGTAAGATCACAATGGAATTACAGTTCACTAAAGATGCATAAATTATAAAAAGCTTAAAAATATAATAGCAAACAGAATACCAACTAAAATTAAGGAAATTTCCACAAAAATTGAGGATCATTCGAACCTTGATGGCCAAGGTGTAAGACCATTGCCTGAACCAGCTTCTTTTGGTCAAATAAGTTAGGTTTCTTATTGTGGATGCCAAAAGCCTCAGTAGTATGTAGTAGACGAACTTTTAATTTGAGGTTAAGATTAGTTGGTATACTGTAAATGACTTTGAAAGCCTCGTTGATATCAATCTTGTGTTCTGTATTCACAAGATGAGATAAAATAGCACTATGAATGGATTTTGTTTGTTTTACTTAACCACGTAAGATGGTGTTTGGAAATCCGACGTTAAACACACGCCTAATTGTACGGCCTATGTGTAACTGGCTCCACAGAAGCAGTTAAATTGGTTGGTAGATGCACATAGAAGAGGTGAAATTAAGCAGTTTATCTTTTACTTATCTGCATGTGATTGATTACAAGGTGGATTTCGATATAAACCGACGTCAACATTTATATTTTGAATTAACCGAAGTTAGAATTTTGCGAGTCACTATGCTTATCCCACATCCTGAGGGAGTCTTATGTTCAATTCCTCATGAGTTCTCTGATGATGCACCCTTTCGAAGACATTCAAATTGTGGAGGTTCACGACGAAATCTGGTTTACTTTTATTACTTTATGGGACTGTCTTATATGGTTATAATGCTAATTTTTGTTTATAATTTACCGTACATTTTACCCCCTTCACTTAGCTTGCTCTTGATCAAGTTAGAAATGAACTAGAATCAACTAGAACACAATTGAGAACAGCTCAGAGTGAACTGATTCACTATAAACAAAATGAAGATTTATTACGGTAAATTGTTGTATTTGCTAGTTTAATTCTTGTCTCATTATTATGTATTTATGCATGCTGTCTTTTTTGTGTTCTGGTTGTGTTAGTGTAAACATGTAAGCTTATCATTAGTGATTGATTTACTTGGGTATTTCTAAAATATACGAGCAGTCTCCAACGCGTAATTATAGTTTCTGTAGCCCATTTGGTGCATGCATATAAGCCCTTGATGGGGGGGATGGTATTTATTGAAATCAACTCATGCAAAATTCTCACCCCTGTTGTCAGCGGACTTAACTGTAGGTTCGTATTATTTGCGAAGACGCTTCAAATCGACAATTACTAGGTACGATTATCGACTTTAACTCCAAAACATAAGAACTTTTATTAAGAAATTGTATTGTTGTTCGGTAGTTAAATTCGATATCATAACGAAAGTCTATAAAGAAATGCTTTACAAGGAATGTACTGTACTTTTATTCGTATTCTTTCGTCTTCTTCCAACTTGTACACGGTTGAATCATTCGCGCCTTCGAGTTTCCCGCCAATGGCTACCGAGGCCAACAAACCAGCGTTCAATGTTCACGTTCATTTACACCTGTATTTTGCAGTTTGATCATTCACTTTTGTCCTATAAGCTGGCTACATGTGATGTTTTCAGATTAAATTTGAGTTTTTTTTTTTTTGATACGACAAGTTTCATATTTGATTAAGTTTGTGTGTTAGTGAGTCACTGGATTGATCACAAGCTGCTGACATCAGTTAAAAAATCATTGAAAAACCTGGAAGCATTGGGCAGTACTGTAACCAGTCAAATCCCTGTAAACACCAACACATGATAATCATGAAGTCACTATCCAATCTTTGGGTATACATTTTCTTTCGTAATAGGAAACTAATAGATTATATCAACTGAGATGAATATGGTATTAACTGCAAAGCGGACATCTTTCTTCCTCTTCTTCTCTTTCTTCTTTATCACATCCATGAACACAAACTTTGCAGTCAAAAGGCGTGACTTCCACTCTTAAGTTGTTTCAGTACGCATAGAAGAACATGGAATGTTAAAATCTTAAATGGATACCAAACAATTTCTAGAAGTCTGTTACTCAGTTTACAGTTTACAATGAACTGAGAAGTTAGTACAGATTAAATTTTTTTTAATCAATGAAGATTAAGTCACATCAATGAAAGGCCAATTAACAGATCGGTGTGATGATCACTGCTAATGGTAAGGTAGGTAAGGTATCTTTGAAGATAAGTAGTCAGGCAGTGGAAACGGTTATTTTGTCCATGGAGAATTAGAAAGTTACCTCAAAATGGTGTTATTTAGAAAGACAAAGAGAGTTGTGTAAGTAAATCACCCAGCTCAAAGAACATAATTCATCTGGGAATTATATTTATTGTACAGTGAATGCTGGCTGGAGGTGTTCCTTATTCGTATATGTACATTCATTCTTGTTACTGAGGGAATGATTTTCTTGTATATATAAATATACTACTTAAATCTATATTTAGTAGGTAAATGAATTGTTCTTGTAGTTCGTGTGTATGGATATTTTTTCTTTTGTTAATTTTAATTTTCTAAGTCTGCATATATTTGTTCTTATTATTTCAGTGAACGTACAGTGAACTATGAACGTGAAATTTTAGACTTGAAGCAAGAATTAACACTTACACGATCCCGATATGATCAGTTACAAACAACTATTACATCACCTTATGTAAGTAATTTTTGCTTTTAATTCATCATTAAACAAACTAATGCCTTACTCAGCCATCACTTACAATTCTATGCACAGTTGGTGATGAACTAAACCTATTTTGTAAGGGTTAATAACGCTACCTGACTGTTCAAACCTCTCCAAGTAAATAGGTTGTTTGGGAGTTGATTGCTTGAAGTAATGAGCTATACATGACCCCACAACACAACTCGTAGTAAACATCCAAATAATTCTTCCTAAAGTTTATGACATCGTGCATTCGTGCAGTATTTTTCAGTATAGATATCTTTCTTCAATGTCAACGATAGCAATTTCGCTTTCCTAAAGATTGGTTCATCCTGAATATATACAATGTACTAAGAATTAAAACTTTCTTATTATGTTGTGTTCTATTTAAACACATTTAAAAATATTTCCTCACATGAAAATAGAGATTGGCTTGCTTATTCATACTTAATGTCTTACTCAGCCATCAATTACAATTCTATGCACAGTTGGTGATGAACTACACTTATTTTGTAAGGGTTAATGACGCTATTTGGCTGTTCAAACCTCTCCAAGTAAACAGGTTGATTGCTTGAAGTTATGAGCTATAGAGATTGGCTTGCTTATTCATATTTAATAATTTTACCTGTATATAACATCATGACTAGTCGCTAACTTCAAATACACAAATCTAACGATTTAGCTGTTTCATGTTTGACTACGGATTGACATCAGTTGGAGAGCTATTGACAACCAGGGATTACTGGGGACAGCTTTCTTGTCCTAGTCTGGGACTAATCGGCAGTATGCATCCACTGGGATTCTAACACAAGACTTCCTATTTGTGTTAACTAAATCACTAACTTTTTTTAGTTGAATATAAGAATATCACGCTCTAAACTGGACTGTAATAACCCACCTACTGAGTGTGGTTTTCTACCGAATTGTAGATTAAGTAAGATTTTTGTTAGAAAAACTGAATATTTAGACGTTCTGTATAGTCAATATTTCCGTTTAACTTCATTTTACAGGCATCTGAAAGCTTATCTGAGCTACATAATCAGGTAGCTTCATTAACAGATGAAAACCAAACACTCAAAGATGAAGTAAGTTTTATAACATTTTTGAAAATTCTATTTGTATTCCTACCCAGTGAAACATAGGGCTTCAAGCTTGAACGTGCGAAGTTTCTATGACGTTTCGTTATATTTTTACAAGGTGGTGTTGGTGGCCTCACGCCTAACCTTCTCCCTCCTTACTGAGCTTCTCGTTAATAAAGGTATAGAAGGGTGCGTGTGTGTGTGTGTGTGTGTCGGCCAGGAATCCAACCTTGCTAACCACATGCTTGGTTGGTGAGCATTTCACTGTTACACCACCGACACACAGTTATATTGTTCCGTGCGGCCGTTTATTAAATCACTTGTCTAAATTCTTTTCTTTTTTATCTGGATTAACATTTAATCTCCACAATATTTTCTTCTTTATGTGCTTCTCATATGTAGTTGGATCAACTAAAAACACAAGTGGAACGATTACGACTGAACAATACACAACTTGTTGGTCAACGTGATGCAGCTCGCCAAGAAGCACGTGAATCAGAAATGGCTATTCTACGGGCTAAAGAATTAAGCGAATCATCACAACAAGCCTTACAACGTGAAAATCATCGTCTGTCTACAATAACAGAACAACAAGGAAAACTGATCAATCATATGCGTGGTCTTCTACCAGCAGAATTCAACCTAGTCCATCGAACTCCCCTTATTGATGATGGCAGTTCAATTCCAGTTCCAGCTTCAGAAGGTGGAAAACAACGCTCTAGAAAAATTACACGAGTTAGTCGACCTGGTGCTCCATTGATTTCAGTAGCTTCTGCATTTTTCAGTAGACATCGTAAACGTGACACTATAAAGCCTGAGTAAGTGGGACTTGTTTTATTAAAAAGTAATTTTTATTTTATTTTTTTGGTTCGGAGAACTCGATTCACGATTTTTGTTTTTTCCTATTTCTTGTTTAGAACGAATTCTACGAATTCTAAAGCTTTAGGATCTGGTGACTTCACAAGACAACCTAGTCGTCTACAGAAAATGATGAGTAAAACTCGATTGAACTTGAAAAAGCATGGAACTCTGCCAGGAAAGTTAGAATTTCATTCAGATTCTCCTCAGTCTACACCAACTGGGGAAGACTGTTATGTGGAGGAGTATGATCCACTCGGATATGATGTCTATTCAACTGATGAGACTGATTTTGATGATGGGCTTCCATTCCCTGCTTCATCAGGTTTCGCTGTACCTCTTCCACCTAGAGAAAGTGATAATGTATCAAATACAGGCAGTACTTCTTCTACCCCAAGTATTGCCAGTTCTGCACCTCCCGCTTCAGTTGATTTTATTCGGGATCGTTCGTGGCGCAGGAATCGATCAAAAGTTCATGTTGCTTGGGCAGATACTAGTGATAAACTTGAGTTACGTAGAGTAAGTTCATTTTTTGAATATTCTTTGGTTTCTCTGGTATTAATTGTTTCTACAAGTTTTATTTTTACGTATGAATACACGTTCTAGCTGATAAATAAGTCTCATAGTTTACACTTCACATGACATATTAGTTTTTCTTTTTTCTGAACAATATGTCGTTGCTTTTGCGTTATTCTGAATGTAATCGAAAACCGCTCTTTTTTCTTTTATATATTGGCCATTATGTTATAGTGGTTATCACATAAGAAGATTAATCCTGCTAATACTGCAGTCCGAGTACCGCCAAATGAGTAGAGAGAGAGAGATTGTAGACATTAACTTTTTCTGGTATTTCTAGTAATACAGTGAGCAATATTGATGTGAGGCTTCGGTGATCGAGTGCTAAGTAAGGAGGGAAAATCAATCGACGAGATTATGAATTTGCATTGATTGAGATGGTTGGGACATGTGTTACGTATGCTAAGCCATCGCCTTCCTCGACAATGGGCAGTGTTAGCTGACATACAATCGATGAAGTTGGAAAAGAGAGAGCTAGTGGTGGTCAAACGAAAACATGGCTTCATCATTCAATGAAATCCACAACAGTTAGTTTAAGCCATCCAGTGATGTAGGGAGGTGTAAACTTCCTGGTTGAAGTCCTCGGGACGGTAAAAACCAGTGAAGGCTGGAGACAATTGGTGATATGGCTGAAAATCGTTCTCACTGATGACTGGGTCATATGCACCCACTCCTTGTGACTTATAATTTCCAATGAAACTATATTGTTCTTCCATATAACTATTCTTTTTGCCTCATATCTCTGTATGTTATCTCTGTTTTGAGTATCTTCTTACTTCTTCTCTCCTGCTTTGTGTGTTACAAGGAGGGTAATGTGGGAACTCGAGGTGGTGCACATCAGTGCAACGTTCTACGTTGAAACCAGTTAGTCAGTCAGTCATTTCTAGTAATAAATATCTTTCCCATATACTAGAACAGCTTTGTTATAAAAGGCATTCCATCAACACCGTAAGGGTAGGAAATCTCCCATCATACTGATGAAAGCCTGATTTTAGTACTCAACTGTCAAGCAGTTTCATTATTGAAGAAAAAAATCACAGAGATGAACAGTTATTTTCCGTGCTAAAAACAGTGTACGAATAGTTTGTTGGAATTACTCTTGTTAAGGAAACACGTTTCTATACTCTGTTATGCAAAGACAAGTTTTGTTAGTCATCAATACTTACTTGTAATGTTTATCTCACTGCCTACATGAATTCTGTGGTTTGATGTATACAGACATTTTACTCTACTCAGTCTGTATTTTTGATGGCTTTTAATTGAGTGTTCTGAGTAGTGGGAAACAGTACTATTTCACAGCAAAATATGCTGTCACACAAGATCGAAAATCTACAGGCGGATAGCGAATAGTGGACTTCAAGTAGACATGGAGAAGGCAGAAGTGATGAAGATACTTAACTAACAGCAACAAGCACCAATCACTATCTCAACGAGAGAAATTTGTAGGAAGTTGCCTCTTTCACTTATCTACGCAGTTATCATTTCAACTTCAGGGTTTCAAAGTCAGTCAGAACGGACAAGGCAAAATAGAGTTTCACTACAGAATCAGTGTGTAAATTTAAAGATCCGAATTTTAAACACACTAATGTCATGTCATTGCTTCTGTCATGGTTCAGACACTTGACTCATGCGTCTTCGAAAGCATTTCTAGCAGGTTACTGCAGACTTTCATCAATAGCTAGCCACCTCCGGTGGATGTTGAAGGCAGGTTGCTGGCCGGAAAAGTATGAATTGGAGGTGCTCTGAGCACACAGTTGAGCGACATCATCATACACCAGGCAGTGGAATGGAATCTGAACGAGAAACAAGGACGAGTTGAGCGTCTTAGAGTGACATAGAGGAGACCGTGTGAGAAGCAAATGAAGCTTATGAGCAATCGTAGAGTCAGGTAAAAAGATTGCAGAGAAAAGGATAAAATGGAGGTGTCCCTTTTAAAGTATACGTTTCATTCGGAACCCAAGGAATGATAATTAATAAATAATCGTTTTATTCCTGTAAAATGCCTAGTTTGGTCTAATTTCCTCATTTGACTTTCATGCTCAATATGACTGATGTAAATTAGTTGCTTATCTGTTAACTGTGTTGAAGTGGTTTTGAAGTTCACTTGACAGATGTTTATGTGACTTGATCGTCTGTATTTCAGTTACATCGTCTATTGTTAAGCATTGTCAGTTTGAAGTCAATGACCTCCCTAGGTTATGAACCACACATGTTGTGTAACGGCTGTTTGTATTACCCAGTTGCTCGGACTCAATTATGTGATATTGGTGGAAACAATTGGTAGTAAGTGGAGTGCTTAGCTAATGTTGTAAGGAGAGCAGTGTGTGTCGTAGCACAGTCGCGGAATTCTACACTATATGAAGTAAAGTTGTGTGTATTCATCCATCCAACCTACACAAAGCAGATAATTTTTGTTTTTGTTTGTTTCTTCTTTTCTATTAGGAACCTTCAGTCACAAAGCATCGTGTAAGTTTTCCTTTCACTTATTCGAGTGTAATTTTACAAGTAGCGCCTTCCCCTTTTTGGTAAATTATACTTATAAGGAAATCGTATAAAAGTTGGAGAAAGCAAGAACAACAATTGTACCAGGATAATAAGAGCTCATCTTTTATTATTTAATCGAGGATTTTTGTCAATTGGTTACAACCTGAACGTTAAAAAATATGAATTACATTAAAGATATGAACATACTTTTCCACGATCGTAAGGAGTAATTGGTAGGAATTAAAAGTAACATTAGTCCGGAATGATTTAACTGATGATTCGGAGTTACAAACACTGACTATTTATAGAATAATTAGACAATTAGGCTTGGAAACATAAAAATAAACAGGGTTGTGTATATGTATGTGTGTGTGTGTATAGCAACAAGGTTTAGCTAGAAAGAGCATGACAAAAGGCAGATTACGTAAATAAAGAAAACATCTTATCTAATAGCCAATAGAAAAAAGGAAAGAAAAGATACAAGGTAAGTAGGGTGAGTCATGTTTAGATGAGAGAGTCGAGTTTTGTAAACATGAAAAAGGTGACTCATGAAAGTTGTATATATTTTTTTGTTATCACCAGGGCAGTGCAAGATTCATCACTGTCTCTTTCTGCGTACATAGATTTGGTTTGAGTCGTTTGATGGCAATTGCTTCAGCAAAGCGTAGCAAGCTAGGTTTCTTTTGCTTGATGATTATTTTGAACGACTTCAGGTTGTGTACAATATGACCAGTGTCCAATAGATGACGAGCAATCGCACTGTTTAATACTTGTGGAACTTTCAGTCTCAGGTTGTTTGGTATGTGTTGATAAATGCGGACACTGACCGTCCTCTCTGTTCTTCCAATGTATGTGCTTTGGCACGTACAACATGTAAATCGCTAGACACAGTTGGAGGTAATCCATGATAATTGTAATTCAACCAGCTGACAAGCTATGTATGTGTTTGTACTGAGGTTGTCGGTGTACGATGTTGTCAGTGAATTTTCTGCATAATGTTTACCGGTATACCATGAGTAAAATAGTATTGCCTAAGTGAACCACTCACCACCGGAAGATACATGTATGTACTACATCACAGTAATGATGTGATGACCAGCAGGCAAAATTGTCTGGAAAAGTCAAACTTCACACACGCACACACACAGTACTGTCTGTCTTCTTTGTTTGGTGTGCCTCAGTAGCATGCTTATCACTCCTGCCCTGTGACACGGCAGCAGGAAGCGCGGTCGTTGTTAATCCGGGCCACGGCCGATCCGGCATGAAATTTTGTGAATTTGTTTGAATCATGGTATTGGATTGGGTAGCTGCTTTTTGTTTAACCGCTATCTAAACAACCTGCCTGTCATGGTAGAACCTCAAGAGACATAAGTCTCAGCCAGTATAGCTTGGTTAGGTCATTGCGGTGTTCAAGCCCGACCACCACGTCAAGGTAGCAGCTTTCGGTCGGGTACTACAAGATTATACACATCGATGCGTTGTAAATTTAATCTTTAAAAGCTAAAATAGCTCTCCATAAGTAGTTCAGGTGTGTGTGTGTGTGTGTGTGTACAGTTGGAAATTTCATCCATCACTCGTCTTCCAACATTTACATAACTACCTAAGCTCCCGAGTTTATCAGCTACCTCTTACAGTTCACTTGGTACATTGAATAGTATCCAATGTTGCTGATAATCTTGTGAAAGTACATAATAACAATAATAATAATAATAACTTTCTTCTAGATAACATGTTGACATAGTACAGAATTCGAAATGTATTTAAATTGCAAATTATCTGCTCTCAGTGCTGGATGTATAAGTAAAAGGGTACTTGACAGTGTACTATGTGGTAATGTGTTCTTGCATGTGGAGCAAGATCCAGTCATTTACAAATATTTTCTTTTGAGCAGTACATAATGTTGCGTTGAAAGCTAATTCAAAATGCGCACCAGTTCATGCAAATGATCCAAAGACACAGTTGGACTATTAAAACAATACGAAATTGAGAATAGTTTATACATTTTACTGAATGAAAAAGTACTTAGACAGTGCAAAGCGCAGTCATTTACTCCTTAATCTGATATTCTCTAGGTAACACAGTCGAATATCAAAAGCCTGGAACCATTTCTTTTTTTCTTTATTTGTAAGTTACAAATCTCTGTTATTACCCCGATCATTCAGCTATTCGCTAACTTACCGGTTTTCATAATGAGTCCTTGTTAGAGAGAGAGAGAGAGAGATAGTTCACTAATTTGATCTTTATTTGTAATAATAATACTATTTAGTTTATTTCTACTCTTATTCTTTCTCAATTTACTTTTTAGGGTCAACCACGTCTTCTTAAACAATTAAGCAAGGTATTAAGTCGTAGTAAACAGTCATCAACTCCTTCTGATCCGAGTCGACTTGAAGAAGATTGAAGTTTTTTATCTCCACTTCTATCCTCTATTTGTATGTATATTTGTGCACATGTTTCTCCTGGTTTTCATTTTTGTCTACTGTTACAATTACAGTTACAATAATGATATTAGTATTCTACATATCTTTTTTTCACTTCACTAACTAATGACAGATGGTGAGTACATACATATTATAACAAAGCTGTAAGACAGACGATTAGTATATCATTTATCCTGCAAGCATTTACTTTATTACTATTATTATTTAATTAAATTTGACAGACGACAGGACGACTTTGCTCATAAATAGATATGCAGACTTTCTGTAATTGGTTTTGTATTCATGACGTTTTTATATATAATTGAATACTTCTTTTTTCCCCTCAAAGTTCTTTTTCTTATGTTTTGGGTATTTGGGAGGTGGTGGGTGGGGGGCATGGTCATTCATATTCTGAAGAAACGCTATTTCATGAATATATATAGCCACAGAATTCTCAGCATACTCATCATTCTACTGTTGAAAAGTATGTTCCCCTTAGGTAGAAGGCTCAAGTAAATTAGTAGCAGCTATCTCCCTTCTCTACCCGCTGCCCCCCCCCACCGCCTATCTTGATCGGAACTGCTTGTTTACGAGAGAAACAGCTAATAAATGCGTATCTGAGATCAACATCTGTGGTGGACGCATTGCATAACATTCTGGTAAAGACTGTTGATAACCTAAAAGGAAATGTTAGTAAATACCACCAGAAGAGAAGACCGATCCCGATGGAGTGAAAAAACAAACAAACAAAAGTCTCCACGATGATCGAGAAAAGTTGTGGGCGACAAAAGCGGAAGAGATGGAAACAGGTTGTAAAAGACGATTGATAAGCGAGACAGTCTCCCATAAAAGAGATTTCTTAGTTAGCTCTCAGGATAGAAGACTGGGACTTTGGCGGGAACGTTTTGAGCAGCGATTTAACTGGCCTACAGCTACTGTCAACCTGCTTAGTATACAATATCGGTCCTCCAATTGTAACTGAGGTTGAAAGGCTCGTGTCTAATCTGAACAAACAATAGGATCTAATGGAGTGATTGCAGAGGTGTTTAAGGACGTTGGTGACAAACAGTTCTGTGAGTTAACTAAGCTATTGGGTAATGTCTGACAATCATAGATGATAACCCTGTTTGACTAGTGTAAGTCACTGATTATCCCAGATTTTTTAGAAGGGACGCAGGTGTTCCTGTGATAATCATAGGAGGATAAGCTTGACTAATATAGTATTTAAACTTTTAGGTTCAATAATAATGCGTAGACTTAGTATTTTTCGGGAAACCCAGACAGGCTTTGGTTCAGAAAGTGCGTGTATTGAAAATTCACCCTCCGACAGATCCTTGAAAATAGGCATAGTTTTTGGCCTCTAAAACTTGCCATTTTCTTGACCTGAAGGCGGCATTCAACTCCGTCAACACAGAAGTGCTATGGCAGTGTTCTGCCGTATGAGATCCTACGGAGAGTTGTCGTATGAAGTACCAGTGGTGTTGACCAAAGAAGCCTGCTGCCTCTATTTTTGCTTAATTTCATCAGAGATGTACTAATGGAATTGACCCTGACTACTTTAGCAACTTAGAGATTGACTTGCTACCAGGGGACAGTCTTTATTTGGATGAAGACACTGAAAAAATGCGGAGTCCTGAGCACTAAAGGCTTGTGTATCACACACCATCTTTAGCGTAGACGTGATATTTGGCTATCGATCAAACAATGTTTGTATTGCGCAGCACTTTTCTGCATCCTACTTTGTGGCTCCGGGAAATGGCCATTGAAAGTGGAGTAAATGAAGAAGCTAACTTTCTTTAACCACGTATGTTTGCGTCCTATCACCCGTATTCAGTGGCATAATATGGTGAGTAATATTGAAGAAAGGTGAGGGAGGGAATTCATCCGATAAGGTTGTGAGGGTTATTCTATTGAGACGTCTAGGACACTGGTTGTTTATAACATCCCACCGCGTTCCTTGTCAGGAAATGTTAGCTGACATAGGATTGATTGGATGGCAGAAGAGTTGGGGGTGGTGAGAAGGAAATCTGGCATCAATACATAAAGTCTTTGATATTTGGTTTGATCCACTTAGGGAGTTGTAGACTGTCTGGCTAGGACTCTCGGGATTGTAAGAACTAGTGAATGTTGATGTCGCTAGAAATTGGTCTCAACAGTGCAGATGCATCCACTCTTTGCAATCCACTAGACCGTCGTGCTTTTCCATGTTACTATTCTCCTGCACATTTCTGCCCATTATAATTTTTTTGAATCACTCCACCTTACGTGTTGCATGGAGTGTGGCGAATTGAACGGGGGTACTTCTGTGTGAAATTCTATTTTAAAACTGAGTTATTTGGTCAATATTGTCCTATCTAAAGTATGCTGTGATAACCTGCTAGATTTCTCCTCCCTTTTCTTTGATAAATTCATACAAGTAGGTTAAAACCTTTTTGAAAATGATCGTGAATAGAGATTATGGTGCGAGATTGCAATTGGATGGTTAGAACAATAATAAGTAAGGTAAATAAGATGCATTTTGATGGATCGAAAATTAGATAGCCCAGTGATTCAAGCAGAGCACCAATCTTTAATAGTTTTGTATTTTTAGGTATTTGTCCCTGAGCACCCGTTAGTAGTCGGATGCCCTAACGATCCAGGCATTGACTTTGTAATCGAATTCTAAATTTTCATACTACTGTGATGTCGATGGAATTAGGGAACCTTACCTCTTGAAGACCGTACATTACCTAGCCCACTTACTTTAAGTAGTAGTTCTTCGGGTGTGTTATTACAACTATGTTTCTCCTTGTAGGAACTTCGTTACCACTGACAGAAAAATTCCTTATTGTCACCACACTACTATCCTGTTAGCCGTACGACTTCACGTTCAATAGTAGTTTGTTCTCAGCTTGACTATAACTACTTATAACTTTATCTAATTTCTCTAATATGGAATGGTCACATGAAAATTGACTTTCTAGCCAGCGTAGATTTCCAGATCGTTGCGTCACCGCTGGACTCTAAGTTGATGAAGAGAGTTTTTAGGAACAGTTGAGACTTTCAACGATGAATGTTTTCCCTTCATTGTTCCTGTCGATAAATTTAGCTTTTTCAAGAAGATATCACTTAGAGATTTCGATTTAGTTTCTACAGTATCCTCAGAACAGATTTCTCGAATCATATTGTGTATAAAGAATGCACTATGTTTTGCTCCATCATTAGTAAGACAAGGTTCTGGAATTTAATTTGTGGATGGTGACTTGCAGTGGAATCCAGAATGCACACTTCGTCCTATTTGGGACTCGTCTGCCAACTGGATGTACCTGCATTTCCCAGTGAGTGATGATGTTCCCGCCGAAGCTCGAACCCACTGCCAACATGTCAACCTGAGACCGAGCACTTCAGTCCAATCAATCGACGGGAACATCTAAACTTTAATGAAAACAAGGTTTTGGAAGTTAATAAACTGTTCAGATGATGTTGATTTTCAGTATATTGATCTTCGGATCAAGGTGTGTTGTCTTCTAGTGTGAAGCACATTCAGGAATGCAAAGACAGGTTTCATTCTCGTATTAAATTAAGTTATATTTATTCCCCGATACGGTACATTGAATATGTTAACAAGATTATCTGTATGGCATTTTTTTATCACAGATTATTGCCAAGATGTCTTTTGTACAAGTGCAGTTGATTGATCGAACGATTGAGTACGTTGTTTCCAACACTCGTCATGAAACAGTCGGCTAATTTTGGACTGAGATGAGACCCCGTAACTAGTATTCATGGAACTAAATGTTCATAGACATATATGAGAAGTAGTTCGTTCTAGTAGTTTACGGTAACAGGTATTTCTAGGTTTTCAGGTTTAACATATAGTCTCAGCTAAAGTAATGCTCGTGAAGAGGGAAACAACATTTAAAGCGAGCATTTTGCTACCAGGTGGACTTGGCATTTCTATGGTCACCGTAATGAACTAAGTCATTGTAATCAGTTGATATTGGGTACCTCGCTGTATCGTAGGCACTCCTGAAGGGTGAGATTCTTACCTCAAGTGATTTCATCACGTCTTTTGTGCAAGTGCACTACTTATAGGTGACACTTCTAAGGGACATGTAAAAATGAAGAAAGATGTGGTGAAGCGGTGCGAGGCGCTTTAATATCTAAATGGTATCAAGGAGCAAATAAGTAAGCACTATTGCGAAGAATTTCAAGTCATTTTAGACGTAGGATTATGTCGGTAGTGATCATACCAAAACGTGGGACCATTCAATGAAGTAAGTATGATCGTCGGCTTTAGCCATTTAAGACAGTTTAACTGGCCTGGCTGAGGAATATCTGATGCTAAAATTGTACACAGGTAAAAAGTATCTGCTCTTGGTTGTCTTCAGAGTTCTGAAGCTCTTAATATTCTTACATCGTTTTCTCATCCCTATATTCTCACCATTACCTGTGTTCATTGAGAGCTTGGTAACTGACTGATTGACTCATTCGCTAATTTCAGCTAGTCAAACAGAAGTAAGATGCAATATGAAGTATGAATATATGTGCGAAAAGGGTGATTCAATCAGGAATACGTATTTTTCATGATATAGGAGATTTCCAAGTACAGTTTCACAGGATTTTGCTGTTAACCTTCTAAAATTGCCGTCGAAACAATTTTACTTACTTTTCATACTAAATGTTGTTATTCGAATTATTTTTGTTTTAGATAAAATATGTCAAATGGAGTTTGGAAAACTTACGTTTCAATAATTTGAGAAGAGGAAATCTGAAATATTCCCCTGTCAGTCACAATCTTATCATCCTGCGGATTAAAATGTTATTCATTTTTACAAGTTTACACGATTTCTTGGTGCACAGAGTCGAGACGCTTAGGATCCGATTTTCGTCTAAATGGTGTCTCCCCAACTTTTCAGCGCCTAACCTAGTTAATATCAGCATTCCAGAAACATACCGTTTTTCTGATCTTATTCAGGACCACAATAAATTACTGAGTGAATTACAGGCTGTTTGTTTATTAACTGAATCTTCTTTGTTACTTCGTAACGAGATTTATAATCTTTGTAATATGGGTCTTCAACTACAAGACTTATGGATAGGTGGTAACCTTTTTCTATACTTGAACTCTGATAGTTCCACTTTTAAAGTAAAAGTCGATATGCTTTCTAATGAATTTGATAGTCATGTTAAATTCCTCTCTACAATGTTAACACGCTCAATACGTTTGAGTAATGCTAAACAACTTTTGTATGTTTCAAGTTGTTTTCAGATTGCCGCTTCATTTTCTTCAGATATTTTCACTTCAAAATCATGTTGTCAGTTGTTTGATAAATAAATATTCTCCATACATAATCTTGTTTCTTCCTATTTAATTTTGTTTTTCTTTTGTCATAATGTAAGATTTCCTTTCAGGTTATAAAATGACTTCACCGATTAAACCTATCGACAACTTTTTGGTCTCCTCTACACCGCATCCTCTTCAGATGAAGAGTAAAAGTGGTGTGAAACGGAGTGAATCGAGGAGTGTTAATCTTACACATGATATGAAGACTGATGGTACAACGTTAATTCAAGATATGGATATATTTCAATTTAAAGTCAAAGGTGAAGAAAATGAAAGCTATATGACGAATCTAGAAGATATTCGATGCTTGGATTGGACGTCTAAACGTGCCAGTTATTTATTTGACTTGTTAACACGGCCTCCTTTGCTTTTTTCACCCAGCATGGGAATTAGTCTTTCATTCAAAAAAGATTCACAAAGAAGTGGTTTACAGCTTTTACCTTTAAACAAGCGTAATCGTCCAATTAATCCCGATCCATGTCTACTATCCATTGATGGTCTTTTAGACTGTCTTTTTGTCACAAATTCATTGGTTGATCAAATATATCACGATTGTATGGAGAATGCAGATGATCGGGGATCAGATGAGTATGAACAGTCACCCACTATCTTGGCTGCGAAATTCTTTCGCAGAAGAGGTAATTTAGTCTTTTTTCATATATTGGTTCTTCTGTTTAATTTGGCTTCTGAAATTCAAGGGTATATGAATGTCAACATATGTTACCTTCAAATGTTTCCACAATGACAATATTGAACAAATTTTACTCTACATGCTGAAATTATATTGTATTTCTGAAAAGTATCTTACAGGCCTTTTTGTGTACTTGTTTGCTTACAGTAAAACCCATCATCTCACGGTTATCAGAACTTCGGCTTAAATTATCAGACTTTAAACTTGGCGCATGTGTTGGTAGAGGAGCGTGTGGCATTGTTCGCGTAGTGCGCGAAGTGTCACCTCCTCATTCTGTATATGCAATGAAATCGCAGTTTAAAGGAGCTTGGCTACATCATGACCCGGTAGGTGTTTATAATATTGATATTTTTATTATATGCTTCTATTATGATTTGTTTGTATAGGAGGGATCTCAGATACTACTTGAGAGAACTGTGTTAGCTCAAGCAACTGCCATCGGAAATCCATGGCTTCCACACCTTCATTATGCATTTCAAGACGAAAAGTATTTACACCTCGTCATGGATTACGAACCTGGTGGTGACCTATATATATTTTTAAGCAAGTACGTGAGTTCATTCATTTTTTTGTTTTTTAGTCTGTTTAGTTCTAACTCACTGATAACTTTTAGCCGTTTAAAATTGATCGTTATTCAAGGCATTATATATAATCGTAATTCAGTATGATTGATTGGTTGTATAAACTACTCACTTCTACCTCAGTTTGATTTGATTCAACTTCGCGTTGTCATTTTTACTTTTAAAATATTGTTTTACAGTATTCAGTTTTCGTCGTCAAAATGTATTACGATTTCAGGAAGCTAAGTTAAACTTTGAGCATCGAAAAAAAGGAATGCACCAATGGCCTTGGATTGGACGCATCAGTCTTATGGAAAAAGCGATTTTTACGTGTAAAGTACATATATTTATGAAAATAGTGAATTAAATGACATGCAACTGTTACACAGGATACCTTTTTTCTGACATGTGACAAAAATGCCCTCCTGGTTTGCATTGGAATGTCAATAGAGTAACTAAGGCACACTATACATGTATTCATCTAGGTCTTCTGACCTTAACCCTAACGCGAAACTATCTTTAAACTAACTCTAATTTAAACTCTAGCCAACCCTGATAACTTCCTTATTAGATTAATCTTACCGTAATCTGTCCTTAGTCTAAACATCAACTTAATCCTATCTATACGTAACCTAAAACTTACCGGATATCCCGTTTCTGTCTGAGCGTTCCAAGGTCACTGATGTGACCGCATCCCTTTGGTGCTTAACGTCTAACTGAGTCTATTTGCGTATTCTGTGCCGACCCCGGTAATCGCCTAATTTATTTTATATATTCTTGTACGTCTGCTGGTTGTTTTTCTTTACCGTAGTATAGCATTCCCAGTTTGTACATCAGTCCGCTCCGTCCTCCTTTATGGTTGTGAGACCTGGTCACTGAGAGTGGAAGACATGAAAAGACTAGCTGTCTTTGATCATAGGTGCCTGCGTACTATTTCCCGTGTAAAGTGGCATAATAAGGTGAGCAACATGGAGGTTAGGCGTAGAGTTCTAGGTAAACAGGGGAAATCAATCGACGAAGTCGTGAAGCTACAAAGACTGAGATGGTTAGGACATGTGTTACGTATGCCAAGTCATCGCCTCCCTCGACGAGCAATGTTAGCGGATATAGGGTCAGGCTGGAAAAAAGCTAGCGGCGGTCAAACAAAAACTTGGCACCAGTCAATGAAATCCACAACAGTTGGTCTAAGCCACGTAGGAAGGTGTAGACTTCCAGGCTGGGGTCCTCGGGACGGTAAAAATCTATGGTTGGAAACAATTGGTGACATGGCTCAAAACCGTTCTCAGTGGCGCAGATGCATCCACTCCCTGTGACTTATGATCTTCAATGAAACTGTTTTGTATTTCTTTACTACTCCTTTGTCTCACACCTCGGCTCACTGTTTCTATTATGCTTTTCTTGTACTTTCTTCTCTTGCTTCGCGTGCTACACGGAATGTGGCGACTTGAACTTCCGCACATTTGTGCAAAGTACATCGCATTTCCACTGCCGACATATATATACATATTATTATATAATATATATATATATATATATATATATATAAGCTTTTTTCTTTTACAAGAAACCAAAAGATCAGTGTAAGTGGCTCGAAGTATTTACTCTGTAGACTTTAGTTTTGATGACATTAGTCGAGAAGTTTTTCAGGAATTCCTTAGTAAAAGAAGAGTATAAAATAATACACTATCCCTCAATCACTGAGAGTGATCACGTTAGTTTCTGTGCTCACTGTTTACTTTTAATAAATGTATTGAAGATCTTCAGTTTTATGAGATCCGAAATTCTGGAGGAATTGTCTGTGTGAAAACATCGCTGAATTTTTATCCCTGCTGTTATGAATGTTGTTAGTTCTTATTATAACTTCTGTTCTCTATCTATTCTAATGCGCTTGTGTCAATTGAAACTGGCTGTGACTAACACTGTTCTTTACTTAAATTCAGTTTAGTTTGTAGTGGAAGACATGAAAAGGCTGTCTGGCTACCTGTCTTTGATCATAGGTGTCTGTGTTCTATCTCCAGTGGTAAATGGTGTAATGAGACGAGCAATATTGAGGTTAGGTATTAGTCGAGTACTAGGTAGGTTGGAGGGGAAACCAATCGACAAGGTTGTGAAGTTACACCGATTGAGATGGTTAGGAGACGTGTTACGTATGCTAAGCCATCGCCTTCCACGACAGGTGATGTCAGCTGACTGACATAGGATCAGGTGGGAAAAGAGAGAGCTAGTGGTGGTCAAACGAAAAAACATGGCTTCATCAGTCAATGAAATCCACAACAGTTAGTTTAAGCCATTCAACCACGTAGGGAGGTGTAGACTTCCTGACTGGTTGGGTTCCTCGGGATGGTAAACATCAGTGACTGGTGAAAATTGGTGATATGTCTAGAAATCGTACTAACTGATGGCTGGGGCAGATGCATTCACTCTTTGTGATATGTCATATTCAATAAAACTCTATTGTTCTTCCATGTAACTATTCTGTTTGCCTTACACCTCTGTTTATTATCTCTCTCTCTTTTGAATATCTCTTCTTGCTTTGTGTGGTGCATAGAACGTGGCAACTCAAACTGCTGCACATCTGTGCATAGTTCTACGTTGAAACCAGTGGTTCAGTTAGTTTGAAGTGAAGAATGTATAAATTAGCTTTTAGCACTTCTAGTTTGTTTTAAATACCGCGAATATAAATATACAACTATAATGGCTTGATATATTTTATACTTTTAGAGTTGGTCACTTATTGGATGCAAAGATGGTACAGTTTTATGCCGCTGAAGCCGTAGAGGCTATTCATTCTCTGCATCGAATGGGTTACATTCACTGGTAGGTTAATATCTCCTATCCCATTACATACTTTTTGAAGTATCTGACTGTGTTTTCTTGACTTTTATTAATTCTACCATGCCTCCTTACCTTATATCATATTAACTTGATAATAATTCCAATATTTGATGAAGAGTGTGATAAGATAACATCTTTTTCAGAACACCTGGTTTTTGGAGTCTACTGCAGCCAAAGTTTTCTTATATCATCTGTGATTAGTGCGTTATCATATAATTATCATTAATTCCTTCATCTAGGGCTATTTCAAATTGTTCTTCGATGTCTTGCTTTCGTAACATCTATTTTAGTGTTGTGTCAGCATGTTAAATAATATTGTCTACCGGTTGGATGCCTATACTGTGCGTCGGTGGCACAGTGGTTAGGACTCTCGCCGACCATGCACATGGTCCGAGGTTCGATCCCCTTCCGACGCACACCTGATATCTATGGTCGGCCTGGGAAATTTGGGCTACCGATATCCATGCTGAAAATTCCATACTTGTACCAAAAAGGTACTGTGTGGAATCAAGCTGTAATCAAATTAAAAGAATAAAAATATATGAAATGATGTTTGAAACAAAAATCACTTCATCACACAATTTATCTTCTATAGTTGGTTTGTAAGGATTAGTCTTTTGTTTTCACGAGTTGATCACGGACTGTTATCAATTAGAGAACCATTGAAAATCAGCAGACAGTACTGGCAGCTGTTTCATCCTAGTTTGGGAACCATCGGAAGTACGCAACCACCGCCAGGGTTCGTACCCAGGACCTTCCCGTTACAAGGGAAGCTCGTATGCCATTCAGCCACTGGAACCAATTCAATGGCTAGTCCATGAATTCTAACTTCTACCAATTCATGATTCAGCGCGACCCCAACCAATGTCATCGGTGGGACATCCATCCTCACACTTGACTGGATGGACCTCACTGGTCACGACTTCCCACTAGAACCACAGGAAACTCTGTCCTGTAGCAAGCGACTAGCGAGCATCAGATTAATTTTCAATAGTCGGTTTGTAAGGATGTTTTGTTTTTACGAACAGTCAAATAGTACATGAAAAGTAAGAAAAGCATATGTGTGTATGTCACTCTCATAGTGATAAATGTATGTTTGTCCCTACTGATTAGATGTGATTAGTCATCATTTAATTGTATTCAGTTGTATTGACAAGAGTTCAGAAAAACTCTTTTTTTGTTCCGGTTTCGTAACCCCAATGTGATTACTTTTGATACATTTTATTTTGAAAATAATGACTGAATCAAACTTGGTGTTTAACTTTGTTTGAAGAAATTAAAATTCCTTGTCTGGATTTGTCATTAGAAAAATAGGCATTTGGATTAAATTCAATGTAGATCTTATCACAAACGAACATCAGCTAGAGATCATTCAAAACCAGAGAGCACTGTAAAGCTGTTTCGTCCTAATTTGATGCTCTTCATGAGTGCACACTCACGACTCCATCGAATACAGGCCCATGTTGATGTTAGGCGTAGAGTGTTGGGCAAAGAGGGCAAATCAATCGACGAGGCTATAAAATTACATAGACTAAGATGGCTAGGTCACGTGCTGCGCATGCCTAACCACCGCCTCCCCCGACGGGCTTTGCTAGCTGATATAGGTTCAGGTTGGAAAAGAGCCAGTGGTGGCCAAACAAAAACATGGCATCAATCCATGAAATCCTTGACAGTTAAACTGAGTCAGGTAGGGAGATGCAGACTCCCGGGTTGGGGCCCTCGGGACTCTAGGAATCAATGGCTGGAGACAATAGGTGACATCGCTCAAAATCGTTGTCAATGGCCAGCGCAGATGTATTCAGTCTCTGTAATCTTTCATATTCCTTTCTACCATTACCCATTCTGCTTCACTCTTATACTTGTCAAACTCTATTAATTCTCTTCACTCATCTTCTTGTCTACCTCTGTGGGCTATTTGGAACGTGGCAACCCGAACTGCTGCACTTCGGTGCCAAGTTCTATGTTGAATCCAGACAGACAGGCCCAAGTAGTTGAATAGTCAACGACCTTGGTCTCGTAACCCGAAGATCTTGGGTTTGATCCCTGACGGGGTGATGGATGAACACAGTTGAAGAGTGCTAAACTAAGTTGAGATAGGTATTTAGTATCCCTTGGTTTTCAATTATCCCTAACTGATGTTGCTTTGCGGCAAAATCTGCATTGAAATGGTTATTCTCTCCAGTCTAGTGCTTTGTTATCGCATAGAAAAAAAACGCTTTAAATTCATTTAATATTTTGTACATCTATTTAAGGTTGTTATTTCTTCTCTTTTTTTTTCGCCTGTTCTCCAGTGACCTGAAGCCCGAAAATTTCGCAATTGAAAGAAGTGGTCATTTGAAATTAATTGATTTCGGGTCAGCTATCAGACTTGACGCAGATGGGAAGGTAATGCTAACTTAACCTTTTTTACTTATCTGTCTATCTGTTTTGGCTTGTATTTCTTGTGTGCGTCGGTGGCACATTGGTTAGGACTCTCGCCGACCATGCACATGGTCCGGGGTTCGAGCCCACGCCGACGCACACCTGATATCTATGGTCGGCCTGCGAAACTTGGGCTACCGATATCCACGCTGAGAATTCCGTACTTGTACCAAATACACAGTGTGGAATCAAGCTGTAATCAAAAATAAAAATAAGAAAGTAGTTTTTAGCTAATTAAATGCTATAGGCATCAGTTGACTGACTGTGGTTGAACTTTCAGTGAACTAATTGTTTATGATATCGCCCGTGAAAATTTATCCAGATTTGCTTATCTCAGGTATTTCATCTCAAAATTAAGTACAATCTATGTTTATAGCCAGCGTATTGAAGGAGACTTGTTTTCCTTTTCATATCTATTGATCTGTTGCATTGCTTAGATTAAAGGAGAAAGTTAATTATTCACATTGAGCCTCACTCACCTTTCAACAACAATTAGTTTGTAGGGGTGGTTTGGTTTGTTTCAAGTTTTGATCGCGGTTTGATGTTAGTGAGAGAACCGCCATTAAAAACTAGGAAGTACTACTTAATAATTGTTTCGTCCTATCTTGAGACTCGTCACAGGACGCACCTAGAACCCCACCTGGGATTGAACCTTTAATAAAACCTTTAATAACGATAAAGACTGAATCAATTTTCTTTCACATGTTTGAGGGATAGAGAGTTCTGTGCAAGGTTAGATCATTTGTTCGCAGGTGGTCTTCCGTTAACCTTGACCTGTATGCTTAGTTTTAATCACTGTTTGTAGGATGAATTTTCAATCGCAATTTCATTGGTTTCTGTCACCTCTTTCTTTATCTGAGTGTCCTTCTCCCCCCTTGAATCTCATCATCATAATTCCAAAAATAGATAAGTGTAATTCTTCATGTATTAGGCACTTTAAACAACTATACAAGGAACCAACCAAGTTGCCTGTTTCACCTGTATTAATTATCTAAAGTATTATTAAAATACACACTTGGTATATTATGAACCCCAAGAAATGCGCCATACAAAGTTCTATAGTTTGTGCGAGATACCTATACCAGCCGGAACAAAGCAAGTGGTTGTCTTAAAGGACTGCACTCCGAGCCTTTGACACCAGGTTTGATCGATAAATCAGTGGAGCAAGGTCAGGGGCTACTTTCCCCTGGTGACTGCTGGTGCAGATAACAGGTTTACATACTATTCGATCCGTTCGGATTCTGGAGCCCATGTACACAATGTGTTTGGGATCAAGGTTTTCCGGCTCCCCCTAAGTAGAACAACGTTGTAAGCGCCTCATTTTTGTGAAGAATACCTACTCTGTATGAAGACGATGAATAATAGGACTTACCTAGCAGAGACTATGAATTCGTGGCCATATGAGAAGATTTTGAGAGGCAAACTAGAGTATATTCACCTTCGTCGGCCGTACAAGGTCATTTATAGGGGAACATTATCTAAAGTGATTGCTACAAGTAATGATTATATATTTACAAAGGTAGGCCTTTTAAATTTTGGTGATCATGTTTCATAGTCCTACAGCAGGAGAACAGTGCACATCATTTCATAGTATAATCGACTGTTAAGAGACAATTGGATATATCCACCTGCTTAGTGAATGGCATATAAACCAAATAAACGTTTTGTATTCACCACACTGAAACGAAAATCAGAATACTTTCTTTACACATATTAGTTGTGTGATAACTGATGTACTATTTTATTCAATTGAATTTTAGATTCTCCCGTCGATTGATTGGACGGAAGTGCTCGGTCTCAGGTTGACATGTCGACGGCTTCTTGTGCAGATGCTTCGACGATATCTGGACATGTAATTCGAATTTAATTGGTGGATGGTGACTAGCAGTGGAATCCAGCGAGGATGCCTATTTGGGACTCGTCATCTGGATGTACCTGCATTCCCAGTGAGTGTGCGTCGGTGGGACAGCGGTTAGGACTCTCGCCGATCATGCACATGGTCCGGAGTTTGATCCTTTGCCGACGAACACCTGATATCTATGGTCGGCCTGGGAAATTTGGGCTACCGATATCCATGCTGAAAATTCCATACCTGTAGCAAAAATGCGGTGTGGAATCAAGCTGTGATCAAAAATAAAAGTATATATAAAAAAAATGTTCCCACCTAGGCTCGAACTAAAATAGGACGAAATGCGTATCCTCGCTGGATTCCACTGCTAATCACCATCCACCAATTAAATTCGAATTACATGTCCAGATATCTTCGAAGCATGTGCACAAGAAGTCGACATGTCAACCTGAGACCGAGCACTTCGGCCGAATCAATCAATCGACGGGAAGATCTGAAATTAAATTAGATAATTAATATGACCCATTGCACAAGAGGTGGCTGTCATGGCCCAAGTGGTCTAGTGGATAACGCTTTGGCGTTGGAAACTATGGGCACTGGGTTTGAGCCTTGGTGGGAATATCATCACTCACTGGGGAATGCAGGCACATCCATCCAGATGACCAGTCCCGAATAGGACGAAATGCGCGTTATCCTGGATTCCACCACCATCCACCGATTAAATTCAATATACTATTTTGTTCAAATGTATAATTTTTTTCAACGGATGTACAATTGCATTAATTGTTCATCATTTAACGGTGAAAAAAGATTAGTGGAACTCCTCAATGACTAAGTACAGGTTCACTTATTTATGACTAGCTTATAAATCATTATACTAGTAGAAACAAACGTTACTCATTATGCAGCTGGCTGAACACAAGTAGGTAAAATGAGTTCAAACTCGTTGTCTAACTAGTAGTAAGTAGTGGTGTTAGAATGGCGGTAAGAAGATCGATTATAGTAGTCACCGTTTTGGGCAGACAATATGTTAAAAATAATTGAATGAATGAAAGTACTAATCATCTTTGCATGTTAGTGGTTAGTGGTATGAAACTAGTCTTCACCTTGGTGATAGAAAACAGTCAACTTATTAATTATTTCTTGTTTTACTACTACCACACTCTGTTGTATGTACTTTAGTAATTGTATTCTACTTCGTGTATATATTTCACTGCCGAAGTCAAGATGGTCTACTTCCTCATTTTTACCTTTTTGTTCTGTATTCTAATGATCATTTTTCTCTTCTTCTGTCGCGTGTGTGTGTAAGTTAATTTTCCAATTTCTTTCCCCCTTAATAACATGGATGCGCATATCTTTGTAGTGAATTGAAAGAGAAAAAAAACCACAATGAGAGTGACCCTATATTAATTAGACTGCACCTTACAATGAATTGTGTTTTTATTTTACCAGACGAAATTTAATTCAAGTGTGACATTAATCAAATTGAAAGTAATTCCGATTTACTTTTCTTCAGCGTACAATATTCATCATACAGCTTATTCTAAGGGTATTCTAATTTAGATATGACAACAGTTTCTGACCTTTTGCATTTTTTGACCTCTTTGTGTAACCTTTTCTTATTTTTTTTGTACATATTTATTGACAATCTTATGATGGTTGGTCACATGCCGAGTTAATTTTATTTTATTTTAAAATGTTTATTATTTAGTGTATATGTCCTACAATGGTTGGGACAAAAGAATACTTAAATATTGAATTATTAAGACAACGGGGACGGCACAATCAAGAACCATTACTTGTCGGTCCAGAATTTGATTACTGGGCTATTGGTGTATTGTTGTATGAATTATTCTACGGTCAAACACCATTCTACGATGAAGATGACGACAAAATGATGCAGAAGATTATGGACTATGGGGTAACTATGATTATTATTATTATCATTATCACTATTCCCTTGAGTTCCATTTCAATCTGTCCTCTGCAGTCTTTTTTTCAGGTGACTCCACAATTCCCCATAAGCCTTAATTCCCTCCTCACACGATCTCCTGCATGTTATCTTCGGAAACCTAACTCATCGTTTCTTATTCTGGTTCTACTTGGAGGCCTGACGTATGATGTTATCGAACGGTTTTCTCAGCATATTTTCAATCCATCGCCACTTCCCTCTGCATATTTTTTAGGCAATAGGTTCTTGATTAGTTTGTTTCCGAAATTCCCTGTTGCTTATCGTTTCTGGCTAACCGTCTGATCTTCAGTATGGGGGGTTAGGGGTAGGAAGGCAGATGTTGATGAAAATTTGCAATAGCCTCTTAAGAATGCTTTTGGTGACGCGTGCTCAAAGTCTCTGAACCACATAGCAGAAGTGACTTGACATTAGTGTGAAAAATCTACTAGATCTTGTTCCTTATGTTTTTAGTTCATAGACTTCTAAACTGATTTCACAGTAATAATAATAATCTCGCTTTTCCGATCCCACCTGTAGTTGGAACGATACTGCTCAAATAAGTGAAAGACGTGACCTCAATCAAATGTCTTCCATTCATAGTGATTAGTTTTCACCTGTAGGTCTTATAGTTTGTTTGTGTGACAATAGACATAAATCATCCGTAAACTCCAGATCTAGATTCTGCTTATCGGTATAACGTATTCCTGTCTTGTCACTACTTCCCACTGTCTGTGGCATGATGTAGTCCACCACAATCAGTAATACCATTGGTGATAGTAGGCAGTCCTGCTCTACTCCTATCCTCACTCCAAAGGCTTCATTGGGTTTTCCGTTGGCGTATGATATTGTCACATAGCTGTTGAATGAGGTTGATACAAGTTTAGGACACTCTGTGTTGTTGAAGCAGTTTCCAAAATACACTGTCGAAGGCCTTCTCAAAGTTGAAGTTGAGATAGGGATTTGACTAGCGTTCTGTGCTCTCTGTTCGATTGTGATACGTGGCACTGCAATTCGATCAGCACATGATTCGCTTTTCCTGAATCCAATTGGTTCCGGTCGAGTTTTGCATTTATGAGCACTTTCTAGTCTCTCTGGAACAACACAACTTAACAGTATCATGCACATGAGCATGATTCTACGCCAGTTTTGCAAAGGCCTAAGCTAAGCTGATTACCTGAAATAGGGTCACTGGCTTCGCCCTCGATCTCCTCCCGGGTTAGAATCACTGGCTAGTTCACTAGTCTTCCCGCCTTTTCTTTTAACCAACTAAATTCTTTTGGTTTTCTTTTTCGCCACTTATTTCAGAAAACGCTGAAATTCCCACCATCATCAGAGATAACAGAATCAGCCATTGATTTGATTAAATCATTGATTATTACCCCATCGAAACGGCTAACTTATGAAGATGTTGTTATGCATACATTTTTCAAAGATGTCGACTTCACAACACTAAGAGAAGGTTAGTTAGTAATTTCGCTGATAAATCTTTTCTTGACTGATTTATTTATTTATCTACTCAATTATTTTATGAGTCAGTAAAAACCGTATGTTATAATCTCATTATGCACTTACTTTCCGTTGGAAGCGTATGATCTTCTTGTGTGGCTTTGAACTTTCAGTAACTGTGAGGTTGTTTTTTTAAGGGGTTGGGTTGTTATTCTCGCTAATAACCTTTCTAGAAATACTGTTGACTAGTAAACTTGGCGAGAGAATCGGACCTAGATCAGATCTCCTGCGTGATTGATAAGGATTCTATCACTGAACCACCGATGCATCGTAGATTGATGCGTGGAAGATCTCTGTTTCTGACAAGGGAATACTAACTTATCACATTCAATTATTGATCCATAAAACCGACGACGATTAGTTGCTTAGAGAAACTGCGTCTGAGAATTGCAAGTATTTGATAGGAGATATCGTGAAGAGATTACTAACTCTTATGAGAAATAACAGTTGAGTATTGTTAAGGGTAAATTTGGGAATTATACAAGGTATAACGTCTACTGTCTACTTTTCTATCCAAACTTCGATAGATGGGTTGTGGGTTGGGGTCCAGGCCCCAGTGATATAGTGGGATGGGAGTCAAACTCCTAAACTGGAAAGTATTTTTTAATCTGGTCAGTCTCAAAAATGTAAAATTTCGAAGCTGTGTAGGGAACTTGTTGTTGAAATCAGAAATAGAGGGCAAGTAAGACAACTGATAATAATAATTCTATGTGACTCAAACGCATTCAACGTCTTATTGTATGTCTATTTACCCGATTCGTTGTCGTATTCATTGTGATATTGTACATGAACGTTTGAACTTGGCTGTCTTAATCTATCGTTTTGATTTTTATTCCAACTCAAAGATTACTTAACGTCTTTTCGTGCGTAATAACTATACTTCACATGTATTTGATCCAGACCCAGTCATCCAGAAAAAAACTATTCCATATACTACACATTGATTATATAAAGGCTGATGATACTATTGAGTTGCCCAGATTAAATATTAGGTGGAGTGGGACTCGAACTTTGGAACTATTGGCTGTAAGCTGTGTTTCTGTTTAATTAAGCAGGTGAGCTGTATCATGAACAGCAAGTTAGATATATAATGAGCATAAAACATGGGCAATGTGATAAAGTATAACTACATAGTAATAGTAATACAGTATAATAAATATGTAAAATATTCAGTCTTACTGTATCACAATGTTACACCGAATAAATTAACGCTTATTGGAACGGATTGGTTAGTCCAATTCATAAAGAATGTAGATCAGCATGCTAGCTACCTGTCTTTGAAACCGGAAAAAATGGTTACAGGATTTCATCATGAGCTGACATTGGTTAGAGAACCATTGGGAAACCTGTGAGTACTGGATAGCCAGTTGTTTCGTCCTAGTTTGAAACTCTTCAGCAGTACGTGCCCACCACCGGGGACCGAATCCAGGACCTTCTGGTTACAAGGTGAGCTCGAATGATCACATATCCTAATTATACTTTTATTCACCTGATTCCTTGGATCTGGTGTTATTCACTATCTACTAATGAACATCTGATAGCTAGCACATCCGACCAATGTTAGCTATCAGTTGATCTCCACCATATTCATGAACAACTTCCTGGGATTTTTGTCATGATGTAAATTAGAGTATTAGTATTTAGTGGTTTCCTGCCAGTTCACTTCGTGAACCTACCTACCTATAAACCAGTAGAAATTTCATTCCTAATTTCTTCATAGTTTGTTTTTGGGCTGGTTACTATATAATAAATAGTTAGTTATTGTAATTCATATAATATTCTTTCTTTTATGTAGTTATACCTCCGTATTTACCTCCAGTTGGAGAACTTGATGATGTTTCGAATTTCTCTGGTGGGGGTTCACGTACCCGTGATGAAGCTATAATGGATGTTTCTACAAACAAAACCTTTTCCCCTGTTCGTTTCACTAAGTCATCATCAGTCCACGATGGATGTGCTGCCCAGTGTGCAACTTTAGACAATGATGATAATGAAGTCGATGAGACTGTTTTAGACAGACGTGCAGTCAAGAGTATTCCAGATGATGAAAATCAAGAGAATATTAATCCAGAGAAATCCTTAAGATCTACAGAAGAGGCAAAAAGACAAGCGATTCAAGAAGCTGCAGCTGTACCCATAAATGAGGAAATGGAAGAGATTGAGGATATTGAATGGCAAGGTTCTGAATGTGTCAGAGATTTGCCATTCCTCGGATATACATATACACCTGGATTAGTGTTATTTGGCAATCTTACCAAAAAGCAGACTCCTCTGTCGATAGCTGCTGCCAATGTTGGTACTTCGTTCGTTGTTAATCTAAGGTAAAGTTGAGCGTCTATGCAAATAAGGTGCTTACAACATTATACCGTTTTAGATATAGTGCTAGACTGTGTTACTCTAATTGCTTGTTTATCCTATACAGCTCTCATATATTTAGATGATAAAAGCTTTATAGTTTTGTCATTATAGATGTTTCCAATCGGCCTAAACAATAATCAGAGGAAAATTGATACCTATGTGCAACTTCCTAGCAGTCTAATCCTTTTTTTGTCGTCATGATTTTTCTCTTGTTACTAATTTGATTTCTGAGAATTAATCGGTTCTGTGGAAATTTTATGCCATAGGCATGCATTTCACTTTCGAAAGTGCCTCGAATAGTGGAAAGTGAACAGTGTTCACTGAGATCAATAAGAGTAAAAGTAATCATAATAATAATAATAGTAATTTCCTGGTGTGTTTTCCTATATGATCAAGTTAGAGTTTGAAATAATTGGAATTATGTTTCTAAAACGACTTCAGTTCCTTTGGTTATATTTTCGGATTTGTATAGTCCTCCTTAAAATTTTAAATGAGTAACACTGAAATCATTTCCAATTAATATTTTTGATAAGATTGTACACGCGAATTTTTGCGTTCTATTCCCTGTGTTACGTTGTATAATGTAGTGAGTATTATTGAAGTTAGACGTAGTATTGGGTAAGGAAGGCAAATGAATCGGTGGGGGACGGTTGTAAAGGTAAGTCAAGTGAGATTGCTAGGACACGTGTTACGCATGCGCAGCCACCGCCCTCATCGTCGGGAAACGTAAGTTGAGGTCAGATTAGATTGGAAAAGAGTCATCATAAGTGGTCAAATCAAAACATGGCAGTAGTCCATTTAGTTTGTAACTATCGGTCTGAACTACTTGGGGAGGTGTAGGATGCCTGGCTGGGGTCCTCTGGATTCTAAGAACCAATACCTGGAGATTGTTAGTGATGTGGCTTAAAATCGTCTCTAGTTGCGCAGATGCATTCAACCTGTTGTAGTTAGGACTCTCGCCAACCATGCATATGGTCTGGGGTTCGATCCCCTGCCGACACACACCTGATATCTACGGGAGGCCTGCAAAATTTGGCTACCGATATCACATGCTAAAAATTCCATACCTGTTCCAAAAAATACGGTGTGGAATCAAGCTGAAATAAAAAATAAAAAAAAATCGAATCAAAATTAAACTCTGATGTTTTTCTATGTTACTATTCTTTCTCGGAAACATTTCTGGCCATTAATAATCCCCTTGAGTTCATGTCTTCTTCTCTACATTTGTGTGCTATATATGGAGTATGACAACTGAACTACTGTTTCTATACAGAGTTCCACACTGAAACACTGCCAATCAAATATCGATTTATGTATTCATTTACTCCTTCCTAGCCGGATAGAATTCAATCCTAACTTTATCCATTCTATAATTTATCATGAGAATTAGCTGCAAGGCAGTGTGAAGTCTGAAATAGCATATTATTTCACTTTTTCTTACATCATCAACTTTCAAATGTGTCAGTCTAAGGGTGATCACTATTGTTATATGCTCTTCATTCGCTTGTCAAATTTCTGTTTTCACAGTTTAACATACATAGTTGATTCTCTATTCATTTCTAAATAATACATTTCCTACATTTGTTTTTCTCTTTGTTTGTTTGTTTGTCGAAACTCGCTTCCCTGTGCAGCACACCTCATAAATTTGCATTGACTGGTCGTCGGGATTCATTAGCCACATCATTGAAGCGTAGTATTGTCTGTTCTGAAGGAGGCCAGTCTAACGATGCAGAAAAGAAAAATGATAATGAAATTGTCAGTCTATCAGAACTACAACAACGTAATCAACAGCTGTGTGAACAGATTGAACAATTACGACTACAAAACAAGGAATCTGAGGTTTGTTAATCACTACGCTTATACATTATGATAATAGATTGTAATGAATTATCTTTTCACTTTAATTATCATCCTCTATGTTTTATTTTGACACTCTGTGAAGCCAGTCTCAGATTCCCCCTGCAGTTAAGATATTCTGACGTTAGATATATCAGTCCGCGAACTTCCCGTTTCAAAAAATGTCTGTAGCTTATTACTAATTAGTCTGTACATATTATTCACCCTTTAGTTGTATATTCACATGTTATTGGCCGAATGATTGATTGTCCTCTATGAGTTGCGTTGTTAAATTAAGTAGTCAAAGGAAGTATAACCCTGAACAAGTGTATCAGTGCAGCTTAATAAACATAACATACTGGAGACATCATTATTATTATTGTTGTTTTCTTTGGTCCTAGAGGAATATAGGGCTTCAGTCTCACGTCTCCATTGTGTTCGGTTCTCTGCTAACGTTTTCACCTGGCTCCACCTCTTCCCACCTGTGGATCTCTGTTTCTGATCTTTTCTGGCCGGCCATCTGATCTTGAGTAGTATTGAGCGAAGACAGCTATTGATGAAGTTGTGTAGTTTGTTCAAAGTGCCCTTTCGTGACGCACCATGCCTCCGATCCGTATAGTAGCACTGACTTCCCATTGGAGTTGAAAATCCGGATCTTATTTTTATGCTGAGTTCTGTTGACCTCCACACAGACTTAAGAGAAATGGAAGCTTTCCTTGCTTTCCCGATCCTCGCTGGTTTGATATACTCATCATTTCCATCACCTGTAATTGAAACGATGCTTCCCATGTCGGTAGGTAAAGAAGGTTGCTTCTTTCAGATTTTGGAAGGTTTCTTTTGACTTTATAGATGACTTTGAATGACTTCTCCTTGCAAATCGAATGACCAGTGTTGAGTATATGCTCAATAATGGCGCTCCTTATTGCTCCATTGTTACCTTTCCGTAGCCAGGCGGGATAGTGTTCTTGAACTCTTTTAGATAAAACTCGCATCGAACGACCTATATACCTCGCTCCGCAAGAGCAGGTGAATTGGTAGATACACATGGAAGTGGTCAAATGCGATAGTTTATCTTTAGAGTAGTTGAATATATATATATATATATATATATATATATTCAGTCTATTCAGGTTCTTATTATAATGTCGTGAAATGTATTCACATAATGAAGAAAGATACATTAATGTGTAACCTTTTCTCTATCTTTAGAGGATTAAAGCTACCATTTAATTGTCTTGTGCGTTTTTAGTTTTGCATTACTGTTTGTTAATAGTAAAAGTCAGTTTTCAAATTTTTGAAATAATACCAATCTACTTGTTGAAGGTATTTTGAATTGTCTATTGATCGGTTGGTTATACTGAACTCTGAAGTGCTTGACAAAAATAGCAAGTGTTGGCTTGATCATGAGTTGACATCAGTTAGAGAATCACTAGAAAACCAGGAAGTACTGAACACAGTTGTTCCGTCCTGGTTTGTTACTCTGCAGAGTACGCACCCAGTGGGAGGGGGGGGGTTCGAAACCGAGACCTTCCAGTTACAAGACAGAAATGCAATACAAATTATAATTGATACCTGTTGCACTAGCGTGGTGAGGTGGCTTTTGTTTCTCAATAGCCTAGTTGGATAACACTGGGATATGAAACAGTGCCTGCTTGATTTGAATCTGAATGGGAACACTATCGGCCACTGGGGGAACAAGTTTATTATCCCAGCAGGCGAGTGATTGATTCAACCAACGTAATAACCGCATTAATTTAATTCTTAAAAAAGAAATTTTTCAGGACTGATAGTATTATTTTCGCATTTATTTATTATTTTCAGTAAATTATGCATTACTCAGTAGTGATTTTTTTATCATTTCTCATAGGATTTACGTCAACGACTCGTTAGTGCCTTCGATAACGGTCATGTTCTGAAAGAAATAAACGAAGCTGTCCGTGTTCTTTCTGATACAGTTGTAGAAAAAGACAGGTAAGATAAGCTGTACTGTACCAGTTTGTAGTTTCTTTTTTTCTCTCTAAGGCTTAGTGATTTATCATAACAAGTTTGACATCTAACGTACTTATCTCTCACGTTAGCATTATGCCTGTTGTATTGTTGTTGTTTTTTAATCTTAATAGATCTACTATTGATCAGTTAAATTCTCGAATAAAACAGCTTCATGAAGAAAATCTTCGACTAACTGCATCACTACAGAGCTGTCAACAAGCACAAAGTGTAGTCGATCAAGTACAACAGGCTGTGGTATGTTACTGTCCGCTTATAAAAAAGTTATACTTTGATATGAAATTCTATTTTGATCATTCCTTTCACTTTTGTTAAACAAATCAGAGTATTCTATCATTCATAAGTTGGAAATTGGTGGAAAAGTGTGTTCATTCCCTTGCTTTCCAATCGGAACATACGCAGCTTCAAGCATTGAGCTTTGAAGTTTCATTAAGCAGCGATGCTTCTTTTTAGGGAATGAAGTTGGCAAACTCACGTCCAACTTTCCCCCATTACTACTAGACTTACAATCAGTTAGGCGAGATTTAGGAGTCTGTTAGCCGGGAATCGAACCCGAACCATATGAGAAGTTGGCCGAGTATTCTACGATTGAATGACGGACGTGCACATACCTTTACCCTTCATGTTTCCAGTGGAACATAGGGCCTCAAGCTAGTCGCTTGAAGCTTCTGTAGCAGTGTTTGATTTTACAGGATTGGGTTGATAGCCTCATGTCCAGCCTTTCCTCTTTACCAGCATTATTTCTGGCTTAGCGAGGTAAAGGAGTGCATCGGCCGGGGATCGAACCCCGGACCATGTGCATGGTCGGCGAGCGTCCTAACCCCTGTGTCACCGACGCGCACTTATAGGTGGAGTGTAATTCAGGTCAGGTAGTATAGGACTAAATTATTTCTTTCGGTTTAATTACTCGAAGCTATTTAGTTGCAATTCTTATGGGATAAAATAAATTTTATAAGAAATAACAAGTTGACTGACTGTGGTTATTCTTCGTCTGTTAGTTTTACCGATCCAGATTATGCTAGATCGTATGTTCACTGGTTATCGATTACCTTTTGTGCTATTGAAATTTTTACCGTGTGCCGAGGATTTATAAGGGGATGTTTATTCTTGCTAATCTTTTCTTTTTTTTACAAATCAGTCTCGCCTGTCCAACTTGCCAAGTAATTTTGCTGAAGCAGATTTATTGGATTTACTAACAGCACTCTGTCCGTCAACTGTCTTCACAACAAATGATGCATCAACAGATGCTTCATTCTTAAATATACCTTCGTCTACTTCAAATTCACCATCAGATAATCTTGTTGGTTACGAAATAGTTTATCGTCTTATTAATTTTGCTGTAAAACAATTCAAGCATGCTTCTAATCGAGCCAACCAGTCATGTTATACGCTAGAATCAACAAATGCTGAATTGAAAAAAGCCCTGGATGAATCAAAACAACAAGTGAATCAACTAGTCGAAACAATAGATGGAATAATTGCTGATCAACGTCAATCTCGTGAAACTGAAAATAATCTGAACCGTGAAATTAAAGTGAGTTTTTATAGTAAAGACATGCCTCTGTGTGTGTGTGTGTGTGTGTGTGTGTGTGTGTAGTACTCTATACAATGACTTCTCAATGTTAGCGTTAGAAGCTTCATAAACGCTCACGTTCTCGCTTTAGCCGGATAAATACACCTAGTTCGCATAAAGATTGAATAGCAAACCCCTCATATTTGAGTTATAAACAAAAAGATGACGAAATATGGAACAACACTTTCTTTCCGATGAGTCATTTTCAAATGCTGTGCAAAATCAGATTTATATTCAACATAGAATTCGTAATATTGTTCTATAAAGGGTGTGCGCCATATAATATGAGTTGTAATCTAGAAAACAATGTACTAGTCATCACCCAAATTTTTACGCCTATTACGTAATGTCGGTTTCTGTTTCTTACTCTCCACTTACTTCTATTGATTGGTTTTCTTCTGTTGAATATAATGAGCCGATGAGTCATACCTACACTATCACATAATTACGTAATTCATAGCGTTATGAAAATGTTTCATTGACCATCAGGACATTGAAGAGAGAAAAGAACAAGAAGTTCAGCAAAGATATCATTTTGGCGATTTCATTCACACACACATTCACGCACAAAATACAAGTATTATATAATTCCACATAATAAAAACGAAGGAGATTTTGAGGTGATGATAATTTTCAACTTGATATGAAAGTTGGACGGTGTTCGACGGGGCTTAGAAACAAAATTAGGCTAGATTAGAAAATAGATTTATTGAATAAAAGTGTGAACTGGATGAGCATGGAAACAAATTGGAATAATAGTTTTTTAAATAACAAATGAAAAAATTGAAGGGTATGAAAGAAACAACACCAAAAAGGGAAAACTGAGGAGTCAAACTGAACTAGATGCCTGATAAATGTAGAGGTTGAACTCTTTTCTTTTGATGAACACATAAGCTCCAGCCAGCTTTTCAATGCATATGATGAGGGTTTCTGTAGTACAAAGAAGTCGGAATTCCACTGACTGATAGATTTTCGTTTAATTTTTAAACTTTGAATGATGGATGAGTCAGTTGAGATTCTGTGTGACAGGTGTTGATGTGGTGTTCAATTTCGGCACTTCTGATTGAACCAGTACCTTTTCTTTGCATTCTCAAACATACATTATGATAAGACCTGCATGGAACGACCAATGTATCTAGCTCCTCAAGAGCAGGTGAACTGATGTATGCACATTGGAGTAGTCAGTCATATGCGGAAGTTTGTTCTTTGCATTGCTTAGAAGCAGTGGGCCACTAGAGAATGTCTCTCTTGGAGTTGCTTCAGGATCAGGAAAGGGAACTAGAGATTCTTGTTTTGAGGATATCTGCAACTAAGTCTCCCCTGAAGTCTAGATTCGAGTATAGTGTTTTCTTTGGTAATGAAGTGCATTTTTCTCTTTTCGGCTTTGGTTTCGTGTTCTTCACGATACGTACCGGTATCTATTCTGAGTAAGGTTGTGTATTACTTATAGTAATTACCGTAATATTATTAGCACGTCATGATCATCTCTTATATATGAACACTGTCTTATATTTTCTAGGTATTGAAACAGAAACTAGAAGATGCCAAAGATTACCAAAGAGATTTAAATCAAAAGTGTTTACAATTTGAGGATAAATACTTTACAGTTCGTGATAAATTAAGAGATGAAGAGAAGGTATGCATTTTTAACAAAAAAGGAAATATTTTTAATAAGTGTTTTATTGTTGTTCTTATTTGATATGGTGGTGATGAAGTATACTGATGATGATGGAGTTTATCATAAAGGCTTTTAAGCAATTCAAAGTCCCTCCTTTCGAAATATTTTTGTTGTTGTTTTTCTTTTTTTTTTGTAAAATATAAACATAATTAATACAGCAACATATGCATTAAGTAAGATTTACTTTGTACAAATGGAGGGAAAATATGAACCCCGATGTGGATCAAAGCGATAACAGAATGGTCATAAGGGAGGGAAGTTACACCCATCAGATTTATGCTACACTTCCTTAGCATTCTGAATGGTGCATTAGATGGACTTCAAGCTTCAGCTTTAATGTTTGATTAGTGCTGGTGGTGTTTCTTTCTCTGGAGGGGGGTAGGGTTACTAGCGCCCCACTCCCAACTTTCCGTGTTTTCCTGACTTACTATTGCCTAGTAAACTAGGCTGTGGTTGTGGAGAGTGCGTCCCTCGGAAATTAGACCACGGACTATGTTCGCGTGGTTGGCGAGCACTCTACCACTGAACCACCGATCCACACACACCCATTAGATAAAAAGGCTTTGATTGTCTTTGTCTTCCTTTATTTGAGGTAGCGAAAGAAGGCCGACTGCTAAGTGATTTCTCTTATTGAATTGCATCATTTAAACCTGTATACAATGCATACAGTTTCATGTCATCATAAAGAATTGTAGTGAAAATCAATTATATGTTCCTTTTTTGTTGTTGTCTTGTAGAAAAACAAGGAAATCATGGAGAAACTGGAACAAGTGACTGCTGATTCAGCTCGAAAACAGGAGAAATCATCCGAAATTCAATCCCAATCGTAAGTTGTAGTAGCGTTTATATTTAAAACAATTGTCTTTAACAATAAGAATGATTAAAATAAGACAATATTTTAAACAATATGTGAACACAATACATAAATTTTCAGCGTTCCAAAATATTTCGCTTTCGTACAAGATTTCCATGTAAAGTAATAATCTGAAGAATTGAATTGTAGGTTGTCCCGTCGATTGATTGAACCGAGTGTTTGGTCTCAGATTTACATGTAGGCTTCTTGTGCAAATGCTTCGAGTGTCTGGGCATGTAATATGACCCGTTGCACAGGAGGTGGCTCTTATCGCGTAAGTGGTCTAGTGTATAACACTTTGGCGTTTGAAACGATGGGCACTGGGTTCAAGCCTCGGTGGGAACATCATCACTCACTGGGGGATGCAGGCACATCCAGATGACGAGTCCCAAATAGGACGGTTCCACTGCTAGTCATCATCCACCAATTAACTAACAATCTGAAGTACGTCATTAGGCCTAACGTTGTTGCACAGATGAAGAGAGAGCCAGCTATGCACATTTTTTTATTATTGATTATTATTTGATTTGATTACATCATTAGGAGAATAAAAAGTGCTGAGGCGTTTGTGCTTTTTTTTCCCTTCACGTTCCCCAGTGAAACATAGGGCTTCAAGCTAGTGGCTTGAATTTTCCGTAGCAGCGTTTATTTTACAGGATGGGGTTGCTAGCCTCATGCCCAAGCTTTCCTCTTTACCAGCATTATTTCTGGCTTAGCGAGGTGAAGGAGTGCGTCGGCTGGCGATCAAACCCTGGACCATGTGCATGGTCGGCGAGCGTCTTAGCCGCTACGCCACCGACACATGATTTAATTACATCATTAGAAGAATAAGAAATGCTGAAGAGTTTAGGCATTTTGATGGATGGAAACTCTAGTAGTCCAATGATTGAATCAGGTCACCGGTATAAACTGTGTTGTTTTATAATAATAGTAATGATAAAAGCTTTGTTTCAAACAGTAATTTTGTACAAATTTTGCATTTTCAGCAATGTAGTCTAACATATTGCATCTGATATTCTCATCATAGGGGTAATAATTTAAAACCAGGGCATTTACATTGGTAACATTGTTCACTTGAATATGAATATAACATTAGGTGAAGATATAAACAGCAATATAATAATGAAAAAAGGGAGGGACGTTTACTGAGTGTTTCTCAGTAATCCTTCCCTACACTTTTCTCACCACAAATTGTGCACCAAATAAGGTATTTTATAGTTAGTATACTTGGCCGTCCGAACAAATAGTCCTTTATACTTGCTTCTCATTTCCTTACCTGATGAAATACAAGGAGAGAGCGAGCGCGAGAGAGAGAGTTGTGTATGGAGAGGGATGCTCAGGGTCTGACAATCTGAGATTCGCTAATCTCTCACAGGATTCCGTGTGTTTATCTACAACAGTATTCCTATACCGGTTGTATTCCTGATTAGTATTGTATCACGTAAAATTAGTCTACTATAGAATGCATAGTATATTCCACCAACGACTGTTCATATTTTCATACATTTGGTTCCCTTGACGAATTTTGATAGAGAAAGAAAGACCACACTTGCAGTATACAATGATATCATTCTATTTCACAGGTTCTCATCAGTTGCAAACTACCTGAAATTACAATGGTTATAAATAATAACATTTCATAATTCATTGTTTGAAAGGTAATAGAGAAAACATTATAAGGTGAATGCATATGGAATATAAGTAATATAATTTTTAGATCAGGTGGTCACCATCAATTTATATACTATCAAGCTATGTAAAAAGAAATTGGGGGAGGAGGAGGGTGAGAGAAGACAGAAAACAGAAAAAATCTAATAAACAGTGTCAACATGACAACTGAAGAAGGTCAAAGTTCATCAGTTTGAAAACTTGCTTAGTAAGTTGAACTCACTAGTGTGTATGACTAATCAGTGTAATGAAAGTGATACGGTTACCAAGCGAGTGAGAGAATGACTACACTCACTTTTTGTGTGCATAAGTTTGGTCTGAGATGTTTGATTGCAATTGCTTCCGAATCCTTCAAAATACTAAACATGCAAAGGACAGAAAATCTACTACGATTTGCTAAAGGAATTCCAATCAAACATCTCAGACCAAACTTATGCACACAGAAAGTGAGTGTAGTCATTCTCTCACTCGCTTGGTAACCGTATCACTTTCATTACACTGATTAGTCATACACACTAGTGAGTTCAACTTACTAAGCAAGTTTTCAAACTGATGAACTTTGACCTTCTTGAGTTGTCATGTTGACACTGTTTATTAGATTTTTTCTGTTTTCTGTCTTCTCTCACCCTCCTCCTCCCCCAATTTCTTTTTACATAGCTTGATAGTATATAAATTGATGGTGACCTGATCTAAAAATTATATTACTTATATTCCATATGCATTCACCTTATAATGTTTTCTCTATTACCTTTCAAACAATGAATTATGAAATGTTATTATTTATAACCATTGTAATTTCGGGTAGTTTGCAGTTGATGAGAACCTGTGAAATAGAATGATATCATTTTATATTGTAAATCTGTTCATATTTTATTCTCGTCTGATTACTGTACATACTGTTTACCTAGATCTCTATGTTAACTTACTTGGTACAATATGGCACCAAAAAAATGCGCCAGACAATAATAGTAATAAAAGGACATATGAGATAAAAAAGTAAGAATGTAGGTAAAGAAGAGATAAAGTACTTCATCTGGAAAGAGAGCAGTCATATTTAACAAGTTCAAACAGCATTCATCAATTATTGTGGGGAAGGGAAGAAAGAAGGAAGCTGCAGCACGTTCTCTCCATCGATTGCGATTTTCGTTCATATAACATAACGTCTCGAATCACCGACTCTAGCTGTCTGTCGGACTCCAACCAGGGATTCGTGACTCACCAACCGATGTTAGCCTAACACAAATATCCTTCATCCCACCACTCCACGTCATGGTCTGATCACATCACCGCTTTTTCCATCCCATGTTAGGGCTAGAGGACAGACACCTGTACGGAAGCCTCTGGGTGGGATGACATTCTTAGCATATGTCACAGCCACCGAAGCCGGTGTTTCTATATGACGACACTCAACGAATGGTGGTCTCCACTGTTTCCAAACATTCGCTTCTGGGCTCGCTCAGAATTAGTCACGCGATGATGCCATCGAACGCAAGTGATCCTACTGATACAGCGATGACCGAATACACAGAGTCGCCGCACATCCTCAGCTTGGAGAGGAAAAAGGTGACCGAATAGGATTGTTATGAATGTATTGAATCTATGTAATTGGGACCCATATAGTTTCACTTTCGGAGATGTTTGCAAGGTGGTAATATAACGTAGATTTGTGTTTTTCTTTGCTTGCTGGTGACTGAAGTTGGTAAGTAAAGCCAGATTTCTTAGAAGACAAAATATTGATCAGTGTTGTGTTAACACCTTCCTATGACTTATTATAAAATGTCTTCTATGCATATATTCTCTGCGATAATAACTACTTATTGAGTACATTTAATTGTACCTCTTAATGTCAATTTTTTTGTAGCGACCAGCTTAATTTACTAATTGAACGTAATGAACAAGTTGAACGAGAACTTGCTGCTTTAGGAAATACTTTTAAAGAAACAATACAACAGTATACAGTTGAACGAACTGACCTGAGGAAACAACTAGACAGTGTTAAGACAGTGAGTATCTGTATTCAATGAAGTATTCTTGTTCATTGTTGCTGTTTTCTTCTTTCATTCACCACCATCTGCATACTCATACTCTGGTTGTTGATTCCTTTTTTGTTTGCCTATCTATCGGTGTGGTGTAACGTTATTTATTACGTGACTATTACACTCTCAAATTATTTAATAATTCAGCTTACTATCTGGTGATGTCTTTAGACTTCTGTCTGTTCTTTTTTGTTTGGTGTGTCTCAGTAGCATACTTATCACTCCTACCCTGTGACACGGCAGCAGGAAGCGCGGTCGTTGTTAATCCGGGCCACGGCCGATCCGGCATGATATTTTGTGAATTTGTTTGAATCATGGTATTGGATGGGTAGCTGCTTTTTGTTTAACCGCTATCCAAACAACCTGCCTGGCATGGTAGAACCTCAAGAGACATAAGTCTCAGCCAGTATAGCTTGAATAGATCATTGCGTGTTCAAGCCCGACCACCACGTCAAGGTAGCAGCTTTCGGTCGGGATTAGACTTACTTATCAACAAATAGAATTCACACAAGTCTACAAAGTTGTCACTGCTTTGTATGTGCAACTTTGTTGTTTAGAACGAATAAAGAGAACTATCAAAGCCCCTAGTTTAGAAGTTATATTTGATGTCAGTATGAACAATGAACATCATACAATAAATAATACTGTTTCACTGTATCATATATCCAATAAACAGATTAACGTGTAATTAATGTATTCTACCACAGTGCTACAGTTTTCTACAAGCATTGTTCAATTTTGGTCTTCAGTTAATGTGTTCTCCAGAAGTTTTATTATGTTATTACCGGTTTCGGACCCCGGTGGGTGCGTACTGCTGAAGAGTCCCAAATTAGGACGAAACAGATGTCCAGTACTCCCAAGTTTTCCAGTGGTTCTCTAACCAATGTCAGCTCATGATTAAATCAAATCCCTACAAATGAATACTTGAATGTTACAAGATAGTTGGCACCAATCGTCGGCAGTAAGCCTAGACGACTTAGGTTTCGTACTTGTTGCCATTTACCGGTCAGCATGGAACTCATGTGCCTTCTGAAATTTGAACGTGTGTCACCCAGTGTTCCAGTCAAAAATGTTACCAATGAGTCCTTTGGACTTGCGATGGACCACCTCCTGTAGGACTGTATTGGATTACAGATACGTCTTGCTAACTGATGAGTGCCAGGAAGCACGAAACTTGAGTTCAAGGCTTTCTGTCGATTGCCTCGAATTATCTAATAACAGTAGATTGAAGTACGCACCGTGATGGCGAGTCGCGTGGGATGGTGGCGGTAGTCACATAGGAAACTTGACTGATAGAATTCAGTCTGAACCGGACACAAAGGACTAGACGCATGACGCTTCATTCATCAGTACTTTACATAGCTTGTGAATGATTGATTGAAGATAAAGTTTTATTTATTTTATTTTTATATCTACAAGTTGATTATTATTTCATATTTCCCAATGCTAATCTATTCACTCACAATTTGTAGTCGAATAGACAGGGAGATAAATGAATGTATCAGTTGTTTTTTTTCCACAAAATCTCAATTCTTCAATTGGATGCTCTCTGTCTTAATACTTTGTACTTACCGGGTGTAGTTCTTTTTATTTCGAGGTTATTCTCCTTCAAATTGCATTGCTCATTAAAGAAGTTAATGACTGTGTATGTATGACATATCTGTCCTAGTCAGTCAGTTCAGTTACCGAATCAGATTGACCTCTATTTACCGAACACCTTGTATTCGAGTAACTCTATTCTTGTATAATTTTACAATTAGAATGTGTTTCATATGCCTTAAATACTTCTACTGTTCATCTTTTTGTCTCTATCTGTTGTTGCGTTTTCTCTCTCTCTCCCTCTCTCGTATTATAGGAAAATGAAGAATTACTGAAGAGTAAAAAAGCCGAATGTTGTGAGCTTGAAGAACGAGCAGAAAAAGCTGAAAGTCAACTGAAAGGACTACGTGATCAGATAGCAAACATGCAGACTGAACGTAGTCGTCTTATCGCAGCTTCAGTAGGGAGTTCTCAGGTTGTTTATCTAGTGTTGTTACTATTATCTACTACTGATTGTTAACATGGATATTTCCCATAATTGTATATGACACTAACCCTGTTATGCAGTCATTACGTAGGATAGTGTTATGTACTGCTGCTGAGTGAGTAATTAGAGTTTTCCCCGTCGCCAATTATGTTATGTACTCGTCGAGTGGTATGATTCGGATTGCTTGAAGGTGAAGTTGAACCAGTCTGTTGGTTGATAAGCATTTCCATCAATTTCATTTGTCGCTCAAGTAGTAGTTCCAATTTAGAAGAATCCATAGTTTTCTCGTCGCCATTTATGTTATGTACTCGTCGAATAGTTAATAGTCCTGATGCGGAAAGAGGGAAATCATAAGAGCACCAGGTTTACGATGATACTTGTTTTTTCCAGACAGGAAAGTAAATGTCGCACAAGAGTGTGAGTGAAATGGTACGTAGTGTACGAAACGTGGGAACAAGTATGAACAAGTATACAATACAAAAGCATATGTGAAATTGACTAATACACATGAACCAATAAATAGATAGTCTTAACATGATTGGTTGTAATGTCATGTAACAACAAGGTCATACATGTTTATTTAGTTAGTGGACAGACAAAAGCATATTATCAGTTATAATGAAATATCGATCTATATAAACATAGCAGAATATAATAGACTGTCAAAAACAAAACACACATAATGTGGATACATATCAGATAGTATACCATTTCGAAGGGTATAGCTTACTAACTCAGTGTGGTTGCTAGCTAGCTGTCTTTGATCATCGTTGTCTGCGTTATATCTCCCGTGTGAAGTTGTCTAATGGGGTGAGCAATATTAATGTTAGGCGTTGAGTGCTAGGTAAGGAAGGAGGAGAAATCAGTCGATGAGGCTGTGAAGCTACGTGTGTTACGAATGCCGAGCCATCGCCTTCCTCGACAGGCAATGTTAGCTGACATACAATCGATGAAGTTGGAAAAGAGAGAGCTAGTGATGGTCAAACGAAAACATGGCTTCATCATTCAATGAAATCCACAACAGTTAGTTTAAGCCATCCAGTGATGTAGGGAGGTGTAAACTTCCTGGTTGAAGTCCTCGGGACGGTAAAAACCAGTGAAGGCTGGAGACAATTGGTGATATGGCTGAAAATCGTTCTCACTGATGACTGGGTCATATGCACCCACTCCTTGTGACTTATAATTTCCAATGAAACTATAGTGTTCTTCGTTATTACTATTCCTTTTGTCTCTACTTTGCATTTTTTTTTCTCTTGTTTTGTGTGGTACATGGAGTGTGGCGATTTGAACTGCTGCATATCGGTGCAAAGTTGTTGTTGAAAACAGACAGACAGACAGACACTAGTTGCTTGTATTCTCTATGAACAGTTGGTGGTAATCATACTATCCATCCACTTAACCTATGCCAATGTTTCCACTTGATTGTGCAACATTTTAAGAAGACAAATTTTATATTCTGTCTGAATTATAATTCTGCCGAAAAGTTGTTTAAGGGATACTCATTATATGTAAGGTATAAGGCCAGAATGATAGAAATAATAATGGTAATAATGGCCTAAATGATTTCTGGACGTATCATTCCTTTGCGTCTCTAGTGAAAACATTGAGCTTCCAACGTTGGTTGTGCTTTTTAGTTTCGTTAGCGGTGGTATTGTTTTACAGGGTGTGGCGTTGCTAACTTCACTCCCAACCTTTCCTCTTTACCCTACTTACTACTACTGATGACTAAGTAAGGTTTAGCAGTGCTTCGGCCGGGAATCGAACCCCCCGCCTGGTCATATGCATGTTATGGGCACGTTTCATTTTCCCTTTTGTATTCATCTTTTCATTGTATTTCTACTTTATGAAACACAGTTTATACTTCAAGCCTATAATACAGTTAGTCTACTAATGTTAACATTAACATTTTCCATTTATTTATTTTTTTTCAGCAATTATCAGACGTGAACATTAAATTGAACGAAGCAAATAGGAAACAGGAAAGCCTTGAACAGGCACTTCGTGAAGCACAACTGCGACTTGAACGAATGAATACAACACAGAATCAGACGGTAAGGCGATTTCAATGTTGTTGTTGTTTTCACTCTATCTATCTATCTCTGCAGTGATAGATTATTTCGACTGTAAGCTTATCTGGATTCCAAGATAGCGAAAATATCCATTCATAATCTAGAGAAAAGAAATTGAGCAGAGAATATCCTTATCGATAGTTTCCTTTTCGGGCTGTACAATTATACATGTATATGTTCATATACACGGAATATTCTAGAATAGTCGCCATAAACAGTACTGGTGTTTTTAAATAATATCGATTTGTTAAGTAAGATCACAATGGAATTACAGTTCACTAAAGATGCATAAATTATAAAAAGCTTAAAAATATAATAGCAAACAGAATACCAACTAAAATTAAGGAAATTTCCACAAAAATTGAGGATCATTCGAACCTTGATGGCCAAGGTGTAAGACCATTGCCTGAACCAGCTTCTTTTGGTCAAATAAGTTAGGTTTCTTATTGTGGATGCCAAAAGCCTCAGTAGTATGTAGTAGACGAACTTTTAATGTGAGGTTAAGATTAGTTGGTATACTGTAAATGACTTTGAAAGCCTCGTTGATATCAATCTTGTGTTCTGTATTCACAAGATGAGATAAAATAGCACTATGAATGGATTTTGTTTGTTTTACTTAACCACGTAAGATGGTGTTTGGAAATCCGACGTTAAACACACGCCTAATTGTACGGCCTATGTGTAACTGGCTCCACAGAAGCAGTTAAATTGGTTGGTAGATGCACATAGAAGAGGTGAAATTAAGCAGTTTATCTTTTACTTATCTGCATGTGATTGATTACAAGGTGGATTTCGATATAAACCGACGTCAACATTTATATTTTGAATTAACCGAAGTTAGAATTTTGCGAGTCACTATGCTTATCCCACATCCTGAGGGAGTCTTATGTTCAATTCCTCATGAGTTCTCTGATGATGCACCCTTTCGAAGACATTCAAATTGTGGAGGTTCACGACGAAATCTGGTTTACTTTTATTACTTTATGGGACTGTCTTATATGGTTATAATGCTAATTTTTGTTTATAATTTACCGTACATTTTACCCCCTTCACTTAGCTTGCTCTTGATCAAGTTAGAAATGAACTAGAATCAACTAGAACACAATTGAGAACAGCTCAGAGTGAACTGATTCACTATAAACAAAATGAAGATTTATTACGGTAAATTGTTGTATTTGCTAGTTTAATTCTTGTCTCATTATTATGTATTTATGCATGCTGTCTTTTTTGTGTTCTGGTTGTGTTAGTGTAAACATGTAAGCTTATCATTAGTGATTGATTTACTTGGGTATTTCTAAAATATACGAGCAGTCTCCAACGCGTAATTATAGTTTCTGTAGCCCATTTGGTGCATGCATATAAGCCCTTGATGGGGGGGATGGTATTTATTGAAATCAACTCATGCAAAATTCTCACCCCTGTTGTCAGCGGACTTAACTGTAGGTTCGTATTATTTGCGAAGACGCTTCAAATCGACAATTACTAGGTACGATTATCGACTTTAACTCCAAAACATAAGAACTTTTATTAAGAAATTGTATTGTTGTTCGGTAGTTAAATTCGATATCATAACGAAAGTCTATAAAGAAATGCTTTACAAGGAATGTACTGTACTTTTATTCGTATTCTTTCGTCTTCTTCCAACTTGTACACGGTTGAATCATTCGCGCCTTCGAGTTTCCCGCCAATGGCTACCGAGGCCAACAAACCAGCGTTCAATGTTCACGTTCATTTACACCTGTATTTTGCAGTTTGATCATTCACTTTTGTCCTATAAGCTGGCTACATGTGATGTTTTCAGATTAAATTTGAGTTTTTTTTTTTTTGATACGACAAGTTTCATATTTGATTAAGTTTGTGTGTTAGTGAGTCACTGGATTGATCACAAGCTGCTGACATCAGTTAAAAAATCATTGAAAAACCTGGAAGCATTGGGCAGTACTGTAACCAGTCAAATCCCTGTAAACACCAACACATGATAATCATGAAGTCACTATCCAATCTTTGGGTATACATTTTCTTTCGTAATAGGAAACTAATAGATTATATCAACTGAGATGAATATGGTATTAACTGCAAAGCGGACATCTTTCTTCCTCTTCTTCTCTTTCTTCTTTATCACATCCATGAACACAAACTTTGCAGTCAAAAGGCGTGACTTCCACTCTTAAGTTGTTTCAGTACGCATAGAAGAACATGGAATGTTAAAATCTTAAATGGATACCAAACAATTTCTAGAAGTCTGTTACTCAGTTTACAGTTTACAATGAACTGAGAAGTTAGTACAGATTAAATTTTTTTTAATCAATGAAGATTAAGTCACATCAATGAAAGGCCAATTAACAGATCGGTGTGATGATCACTGCTAATGGTAAGGTAGGTAAGGTATCTTTGAAGATAAGTAGTCAGGCAGTGGAAACGGTTATTTTGTCCATGGAGAATTAGAAAGTTACCTCAAAATGGTGTTATTTAGAAAGACAAAGAGAGTTGTGTAAGTAAATCACCCAGCTCAAAGAACATAATTCATCTGGGAATTATATTTATTGTACAGTGAATGCTGGCTGGAGGTGTTCCTTATTCGTATATGTACATTCATTCTTGTTACTGAGGGAATGATTTTCTTGTATATATAAATATACTACTTAAATCTATATTTAGTAGGTAAATGAATTGTTCTTGTAGTTCGTGTGTATGGATATTTTTTCTTTTGTTAATTTTAATTTTCTAAGTCTGCATATATTTGTTCTTATTATTTCAGTGAACGTACAGTGAACTATGAACGTGAAATTTTAGACTTGAAGCAAGAATTAACACTTACACGATCCCGATATGATCAGTTACAAACAACTATTACATCACCTTATGTAAGTAATTTTTGCTTTTAATTCATCATTAAACAAACTAATGCCTTACTCAGCCATCACTTACAATTCTATGCACAGTTGGTGATGAACTAAACCTATTTTGTAAGGGTTAATAACGCTACCTGACTGTTCAAACCTCTCCAAGTAAATAGGTTGTTTGGGAGTTGATTGCTTGAAGTAATGAGCTATACATGACCCCACAACACAACTCGTAGTAAACATCCAAATAATTCTTCCTAAAGTTTATGACATCGTGCATTCGTGCAGTATTTTTCAGTATAGATATCTTTCTTCAATGTCAACGATAGCAATTTCGCTTTCCTAAAGATTGGTTCATCCTGAATATATACAATGTACTAAGAATTAAAACTTTCTTATTATGTTGTGTTCTATTTAAACACATTTAAAAATATTTCCTCACATGAAAATAGAGATTGGCTTGCTTATTCATACTTAATGTCTTACTCAGCCATCAATTACAATTCTATGCACAGTTGGTGATGAACTACACTTATTTTGTAAGGGTTAATGACGCTATTTGGCTGTTCAAACCTCTCCAAGTAAACAGGTTGATTGCTTGAAGTTATGAGCTATAGAGATTGGCTTGCTTATTCATATTTAATAATTTTACCTGTATATAACATCATGACTAGTCGCTAACTTCAAATACACAAATCTAACGATTTAGCTGTTTCATGTTTGACTACGGATTGACATCAGTTGGAGAGCTATTGACAACCAGGGATTACTGGGGACAGCTTTCTTGTCCTAGTCTGGGACTAATCGGCAGTATGCATCCACTGGGATTCTAACACAAGACTTCCTATTTGTGTTAACTAAATCACTAACTTTTTTTAGTTGAATATAAGAATATCACGCTCTAAACTGGACTGTAATAACCCACCTACTGAGTGTGGTTTTCTACCGAATTGTAGATTAAGTAAGATTTTTGTTAGAAAAACTGAATATTTAGACGTTCTGTATAGTCAATATTTCCGTTTAACTTCATTTTACAGGCATCTGAAAGCTTATCTGAGCTACATAATCAGGTAGCTTCATTAACAGATGAAAACCAAACACTCAAAGATGAAGTAAGTTTTATAACATTTTTGAAAATTCTATTTGTATTCCTACCCAGTGAAACATAGGGCTTCAAGCTTGAACGTGCGAAGTTTCTATGACGTTTCGTTATATTTTTACAAGGTGGTGTTGGTGGCCTCACGCCTAACCTTCTCCCTCCTTACTGAGCTTCTCGTTAATAAAGGTATAGAAGGGTGTGCGTGTGTGTGTGTGTGTCGGCCAGGAATCCAACCTTGCTAACCACATGCTTGGTTGGTGAGCATTTCACTGTTACACCACCGACACACAGTTATATTGTTCCGTGCGGCCGTTTATTAAATCACTTGTCTAAATTCTTTTCTTTTTTATCTGGATTAACATTTAATCTCCACAATATTTTCTTCTTTATGTGCTTCTCATATGTAGTTGGATCAACTAAAAACACAAGTGGAACGATTACGACTGAACAATACACAACTTGTTGGTCAACGTGATGCAGCTCGCCAAGAAGCACGTGAATCAGAAATGGCTATTCTACGGGCTAAAGAATTAAGCGAATCATCACAACAAGCCTTACAACGTGAAAATCATCGTCTGTCTACAATAACAGAACAACAAGGAAAACTGATCAATCATATGCGTGGTCTTCTACCAGCAGAATTCAACCTAGTCCATCGAACTCCCCTTATTGATGATGGCAGTTCAATTCCAGTTCCAGCTTCAGAAGGTGGAAAACAACGCTCTAGAAAAATTACACGAGTTAGTCGACCTGGTGCTCCATTGATTTCAGTAGCTTCTGCATTTTTCAGTAGACATCGTAAACGTGACACTATAAAGCCTGAGTAAGTGGGACTTGTTTTATTAAAAAGTAATTTTTATTTTATTTTTTTGGTTCGGAGAACTCGATTCACGATTTTTGTTTTTTCCTATTTCTTGTTTAGAACGAATTCTACGAATTCTAAAGCTTTAGGATCTGGTGACTTCACAAGACAACCTAGTCGTCTACAGAAAATGATGAGTAAAACTCGATTGAACTTGAAAAAGCATGGAACTCTGCCAGGAAAGTTAGAATTTCATTCAGATTCTCCTCAGTCTACACCAACTGGGGAAGACTGTTATGTGGAGGAGTATGATCCACTCGGATATGATGTCTATTCAACTGATGAGACTGATTTTGATGATGGGCTTCCATTCCCTGCTTCATCAGGTTTCGCTGTACCTCTTCCACCTAGAGAAAGTGATAATGTATCAAATACAGGCAGTACTTCTTCTACCCCAAGTATTGCCAGTTCTGCACCTCCCGCTTCAGTTGATTTTATTCGGGATCGTTCGTGGCGCAGGAATCGATCAAAAGTTCATGTTGCTTGGGCAGATACTAGTGATAAACTTGAGTTACGTAGAGTAAGTTCATTTTTTGAATATTCTTTGGTTTCTCTGGTATTAATTGTTTCTACAAGTTTTATTTTTACGTATGAATACACGTTCTAGCTGATAAATAAGTCTCATAGTTTACACTTCACATGACATATTAGTTTTTCTTTTTTCTGAACAATATGTCGTTGCTTTTGCGTTATTCTGAATGTAATCGAAAACCGCTCTTTTTTCTTTTATATATTGGCCATTATGTTATAGTGGTTATCACATAAGAAGATTAATCCTGCTAATACTGCAGTCCGAGTACCTCCAAATGAGTAGAGAGAGAGAGATATTGTAGACATTAACTTTTTCTGGTATTTCTAGTAATACAGTGAGCAATATTGATGTGAGGCTTCGGTGATCGAGTGCTAAGTAAGGAGGGAAAATCAATCGACGAGATTATGAATTTGCATTGATTGAGATGGTTGGGACATGTGTTACGTATGCTAAGCCATCGCCTTCCTCGACAATGGGCAGTGTTAGCTGACATACAATCGATGAAGTTGGAAAAGAGAGAGCTAGTGGTGGTCAAACGAAAACATGGCTTCATCATTCAATGAAATCCACAACAGTTAGTTTAAGCCATCCAGTGATGTAGGGAGGTGTAAACTTCCTGGTTGAAGTCCTCGGGACGGTAAAAACCAGTGAAGGCTGGAGACAATTGGTGATATGGCTGAAAATCGTTCTCACTGATGACTGGGTCATATGCACCCACTCCTTGTGACTTATAATTTCCAATGAAACTATATTGTTCTTCCATATAACTATTCTTTTTGCCTCATATCTCTGTATGTTATCTCTGTTTTGAGTATCTTCTTACTTCTTCTCTCCTGCTTTGTGTGTTACAAGGAGGGTAATGTGGGAACTCGAGGTGGTGCACATCAGTGCAACGTTCTACGTTGAAACCAGTTAGTCAGTCAGTCATTTCTAGTAATAAATATCTTTCCCATATACTAGAACAGCTTTGTTATAAAAGGCATTCCATCAACACCGTAAGGGTAGGAAATCTCCCATCATACTGATGAAAGCCTGATTTTAGTACTCAACTGTCAAGCAGTTTCATTATTGAAGAAAAAAATCACAGAGATGAACAGTTATTTTCCGTGCTAAAAACAGTGTACGAATAGTTTGTTGGAATTACTCTTGTTAAGGAAACACGTTTCTATACTCTGTTATGCAAAGACAAGTTTTGTTAGTCATCAATACTTACTTGTAATGTTTATCTCACTGCCTACATGAATTCTGTGGTTTGATGTATACAGACATTTTACTCTACTCAGTCTGTATTTTTGATGGCTTTTAATTGAGTGTTCTGAGTAGTGGGAAACAGTACTATTTCACAGCAAAATATGCTGTCACACAAGATCGAAAATCTACAGGCGGATAGCGAATAGTGGACTTCAAGTAGACATGGAGAAGGCAGAAGTGATGAAGATACTTAACTAACAGCAACAAGCACCAATCACTATCTCAACGAGAGAAATTTGTAGGAAGTTGCCTCTTTCACTTATCTACGCAGTTATCATTTCAACTTCAGGGTTTCAAAGTCAGTCAGAACGGACAAGGCAAAATAGAGTTTCACTACAGAATCAGTGTGTAAATTTAAAGATCCGAATTTTAAACACACTAATGTCATGTCATTGCTTCTGTCATGGTTCAGACACTTGACTCATGCGTCTTCGAAAGCATTTCTAGCAGGTTACTGCAGACTTTCATCAATAGCTAGCCACCTCCGGTGGATGTTGAAGGCAGGTTGCTGGCCGGAAAAGTATGAATTGGAGGTGCTCTGAGCACACAGTTGAGCGACATCATCATACACCAGGCAGTGGAATGGAATCTGAACGAGAAACAAGGACGAGTTGAGCGTCTTAGAGTGACATAGAGGAGACCGTGTGAGAAGCAAATGAAGCTTATGAGCAATCGTAGAGTCAGGTAAAAAGATTGCAGAGAAAAGGATAAAATGGAGGTGTCCCTTTTAAAGTATACGTTTCATTCGGAACCCAAGGAATGATAATTAATAAATAATCGTTTTATTCCTGTAAAATGCCTAGTTTGGTCTAATTTCCTCATTTGACTTTCATGCTCAATATGACTGATGTAAATTAGTTGCTTATCTGTTAACTGTGTTGAAGTGGTTTTGAAGTTCACTTGACAGATGTTTATGTGACTTGATCGTCTGTATTTCAGTTACATCGTCTATTGTTAAGCATTGTCAGTTTGAAGTCAATGACCTCCCTAGGTTATGAACCACACATGTTGTGTAACGGCTGTTTGTATTACCCAGTTGCTCGGACTCAATTATGTGATATTGGTGGAAACAATTGGTAGTAAGTGGAGTGCTTAGCTAATGTTGTAAGGAGAGCAGTGTGTGTCGTAGCACAGTCGCGGAATTCTACACTATATGAAGTAAAGTTGTGTGTATTCATCCATCCAACCTACACAAAGCAGATAATTTTTGTTTTTGTTTGTTTCTTCTTTTCTATTAGGAACCTTCAGTCACAAAGCATCGTGTAAGTTTTCCTTTCACTTATTCGAGTGTAATTTTACAAGTAGCGCCTTCCCCTTTTTGGTAAATTATACTTATAAGGAAATCGTATAAAAGTTGGAGAAAGCAAGAACAACAATTGTACCAGGATAATAAGAGCTCATCTTTTATTATTTAATCGAGGATTTTTGTCAATTGGTTACAACCTGAACGTTAAAAAATATGAATTACATTAAAGATATGAACATACTTTTCCACGATCGTAAGGAGTAATTGGTAGGAATTAAAAGTAACATTAGTCCGGAATGATTTAACTGATGATTCGGAGTTACAAACACTGACTATTTATAGAATAATTAGACAATTAGGCTTGGAAACAAAAAAATAAACAGGGTTGTGTATATGTATGTGTGTGTGTGTATAGCAACAAGGTTTAGCTAGAAAGAGCATGACAAAAGGCAGATTACGTAAATAAAGAAAACATCTTATCTAATAGCCAATAGAAAAAAGGAAAGAAAAGATACAAGGTAAGTAGGGTGAGTCATGTTTAGATGAGAGAGTCGAGTTTTGTAAACATGAAAAAGGTGACTCATGAAAGTTGTATATATTTTTTTGTTATCACCAGGGCAGTGCAAGATTCATCACTGTCTCTTTCTGCGTACATAGATTTGGTTTGAGTCGTTTGATGGCAATTGCTTCAGCAAAGCGTAGCAAGCTAGGTTTCTTTTGCTTGATGATTATTTTGAACGACTTCAGGTTGTGTACAATATGACCAGTGTCCAATAGATGACGAGCAATCGCACTGTTTAATACTTGTGGAACTTTCAGTCTCAGGTTGTTTGGTATGTGTTGATAAATGCGGACACTGACCGTCCTCTCTGTTCTTCCAATGTATGTGCTTTGGCACGTACAACATGTAAATCGCTAGACACAGTTGGAGGTAATCCATGATAATTGTAATTCAACCAGCTGACAAGCTATGTATGTGTTTGTACTGAGGTTGTCGGTGTACGATGTTGTCAGTGAATTTTCTGCATAATGTTTACCGGTATACCATGAGTAAAATAGTATTGCCTAAGTGAACCACTCACCACCGGAAGATACATGTATGTACTACATCACAGTAATGATGTGATGACCAGCAGGCAAAATTGTCTGGAAAAGTCAAACTTCACACACGCACACACACAGTACTGTCTGTCTTCTTTGTTTGGTGTGCCTCAGTAGCATGCTTATCACTCCTGCCCTGTGACACGGCAGCAGGAAGCGCGGTCGTTGTTAATCCGGGCCACGGCCGATCCGGCATGAAATTTTGTGAATTTGTTTGAATCATGGTATTGGATTGGGTAGCTGCTTTTTGTTTAACCGCTATCTAAACAACCTGCCTGTCATGGTAGAACCTCAAGAGACATAAGTCTCAGCCAGTATAGCTTGGTTAGGTCATTGCGGTGTTCAAGCCCGACCACCACGTCAAGGTAGCAGCTTTCGGTCGGGTACTACAAGATTATACACATCGATGCGTTGTAAATTTAATCTTTAAAAGCTAAAATAGCTCTCCATAAGTAGTTCAGGTGTGTGTGTGTGTGTGTGTACAGTTGGAAATTTCATCCATCACTCGTCTTCCAACATTTACATAACTACCTAAGCTCCCGAGTTTATCAGCTACCTCTTACAGTTCACTTGGTACATTGAATAGTATCCAATGTTGCTGATAATCTTGTGAAAGTACATAATAACAATAATAATAATAATAACTTTCTTCTAGATAACATGTTGACATAGTACAGAATTCGAAATGTATTTAAATTGCAAATTATCTGCTCTCAGTGCTGGATGTATAAGTAAAAGGGTACTTGACAGTGTACTATGTGGTAATGTGTTCTTGCATGTGGAGCAAGATCCAGTCATTTACAAATATTTTCTTTTGAGCAGTACATAATGTTGCGTTGAAAGCTAATTCAAAATGCGCACCAGTTCATGCAAATGATCCAAAGACACAGTTGGACTATTAAAACAATACGAAATTGAGAATAGTTTATACATTTTACTGAATGAAAAAGTACTTAGACAGTGCAAAGCGCAGTCATTTACTCCTTAATCTGATATTCTCTAGGTAACACAGTCGAATATCAAAAGCCTGGAACCATTTCTTTTTTTCTTTATTTGTAAGTTACAAATCTCTGTTATTACCCCGATCATTCAGCTATTCGCTAACTTACCGGTTTTCATAATGAGTCCTTGTTAGAGAGAGAGAGAGAGATAGTTCACTAATTTGATCTTTATTTGTAATAATAATACTATTTAGTTTATTTCTACTCTTATTCTTTCTCAATTTACTTTTTAGGGTCAACCACGTCTTCTTAAACAATTAAGCAAGGTATTAAGTCGTAGTAAACAGTCATCAACTCCTTCTGATCCGAGTCGACTTGAAGAAGATTGAAGTTTTTTATCTCCACTTCTATCCTCTATTTGTATGTATATTTGTGCACATGTTTCTCCTGGTTTTCATTTTTGTCTACTGTTACAATTACAGTTACAATAATGATATTAGTATTCTACATATCTTTTTTTCACTTCACTAACTAATGACAGATGGTGAGTACATACATATTATAACAAAGCTGTAAGACAGACGATTAGTATATCATTTATCCTGCAAGCATTTACTTTATTACTATTATTATTTAATTAAATTTGACAGACGACAGGACGACTTTGCTCATAAATAGATATGCAGACTTTCTGTAATTGGTTTTGTATTCATGACGTTTTTATATATAATTGAATACTTCTTTTTTCCCCTCAAAGTTCTTTTTCTTATGTTTTGGGTATTTGGGAGGTGGTGGGTGGGGGGCATGGTCATTCATATTCTGAAGAAACGCTATTTCATGAATATATATAGCCACAGAATTCTCAGCATACTCATCATTCTACTGTTGAAAAGTATGTTCCCCTTAGGTAGAAGGCTCAAGTAAATTAGTAGCAGCTATCTCCCTTCTCTACCCGCTGCCCCCCCCCACCGCCTATCTTGATCGGAACTGCTTGTTTACGAGAGAAACAGCTAATAAATGCGTATCTGAGATCAACATCTGTGGTGGACGCATTGCATAACATTCTGGTAAAGACTGTTGATAACCTAAAAGGAAATGTTAGTAAATACCACCAGAAGAGAAGACCGATCCCGATGGAGTGAAAAAACAAACAAACAAAAGTCTCCACGATGATCGAGAAAAGTTGTGGGCGACAAAAGCGGAAGAGATGGAAACAGGTTGTAAAAGACGATTGATAAGCGAGACAGTCTCCCATAAAAGAGATTTCTTAGTTAGCTCTCAGGATAGAAGACTGGGACTTTGGCGGGAACGTTTTGAGCAGCGATTTAACTGGCCTACAGCTACTGTCAACCTGCTTAGTATACAATATCGGTCCTCCAATTGTAACTGAGGTTGAAAGGCTCGTGTCTAATCTGAACAAACAATAGGATCTAATGGAGTGATTGCAGAGGTGTTTAAGGACGTTGGTGACAAACAGTTCTGTGAGTTAACTAAGCTATTGGGTAATGTCTGACAATCATAGATGATAACCCTGTTTGACTAGTGTAAGTCACTGATTATCCCAGATTTTTTAGAAGGGACGCAGGTGTTCCTGTGATAATCATAGGAGGATAAGCTTGACTAATATAGTATTTAAACTTTTAGGTTCAATAATAATGCGTAGACTTAGTATTTTTCGGGAAACCCAGACAGGCTTTGGTTCAGAAAGTGCGTGTATTGAAAATTCACCCTCCGACAGATCCTTGAAAATAGGCATAGTTTTTGGCCTCTAAAATTTGCCATTTTCTTGACCTGAAGGCGGCATTCAACTCCGTCAACACAGAAGTGCTATGGCAGTGTTCTGCCGTATGAGATCCTACGGAGAGTTGTCGTATGAAGTACCAGTGGTGTTGACCAAAGAAGCCTGCTGCCTCTATTTTTGCTTAATTTCATCAGAGATGTACTAATGGAATTGACCCTGACTACTTTAGCAACTTAGAGATTGACTTGCTACCAGGGGACAGTCTTTATTTGGATGAAGACACTGAAAAAATGCGGAGTCCTGAGCACTAAAGGCTTGTGTATCACACACCATCTTTAGCGTAGACGTGATATTTGGCTATCGATCAAACAATGTTTGTATTGCGCAGCACTTTTCTGCATCCTACTTTGTGGCTCCGGGAAATGGCCATTGAAAGTGGAGTAAATGAAGAAGCTAACTTTCTTTAACCACGTATGTTTGCGTCCTATCACCCGTATTCAGTGGCATAATATGGTGAGTAATATTGAAGAAAGGTGAGGGAGGGAATTCATCCGATAAGGTTGTGAGGGTTATTCTATTGAGACGTCTAGGACACTGGTTGTTTATAACATCCCACCGCGTTCCTTGTCAGGAAATGTTAGCTGACATAGGATTGATTGGATGGCAGAAGAGTTGGGGGTGGTGAGAAGGAAATCTGGCATCAATACATAAAGTCTTTGATATTTGGTTTGATCCACTTAGGGAGTTGTAGACTGTCTGGCTAGGACTCTCGGGATTGTAAGAACTAGTGAATGTTGATGTCGCTAGAAATTGGTCTCAACAGTGCAGATGCATCCACTCTTTGCAATCCACTAGACCGTCGTGCTTTTCCATGTTACTATTCTCCTGCACATTTCTGCCCATTATAATTTTTTTGAATCACTCCACCTTACGTGTTGCATGGAGTGTGGCGAATTGAACGGGGGTACTTCTGTGTGAAATTCTATTTTAAAACTGAGTTATTTGGTCAATATTGTCCTATCTAAAGTATGCTGTGATAACCTGCTAGATTTCTCCTCCCTTTTCTTTGATAAATTCATACAAGTAGGTTAAAACCTTTTTGAAAATGATCGTGAATAGAGATTATGGTGCGAGATTGCAATTGGATGGTTAGAACAATAATAAGTAAGGTAAATAAGATGCATTTTGATGGATCGAAAATTAGATAGCCCAGTGATTCAAGCAGAGCACCAATCTTTAATAGTTTTGTATTTTTAGGTATTTGTCCCTGAGCACCCGTTAGTAGTCGGATGCCCTAACGATCCAGGCATTGACTTTGTAATCGAATTCTAAATTTTCATACTACTGTGATGTCGATGGAATTAGGGAACCTTACCTCTTGAAGACCGTACATTACCTAGCCCACTTACTTTAAGTAGTAGTTCTTCGGGTGTGTTATTACAACTATGTTTCTCCTTGTAGGAACTTCGTTACCACTGACAGAAAAATTCCTTATTGTCACCACACTACTATCCTGTTAGCCGTACGACTTCACGTTCAATAGTAGTTTGTTCTCAGCTTGACTATAACTACTTATAACTTTATCTAATTTCTCTAATATGGAATGGTCACATGAAAATTGACTTTCTAGCCAGCGTAGATTTCCAGATCGTTGCGTCACCGCTGGACTCTAAGTTGATGAAGAGAGTTTTTAGGAACAGTTGAGACTTTCAACGATGAATGTTTTCCCTTCATTGTTCCTGTCGATAAATTTAGCTTTTTCAAGAAGATATCACTTAGAGATTTCGATTTAGTTTCTACAGTATCCTCAGAACAGATTTCTCGAATCATATTGTGTATAAAGAATGCACTATGTTTTGCTCCATCATTAGTAAGACAAGGTTCTGGAATTTAATTTGTGGATGGTGACTTGCAGTGGAATCCAGAATGCACACTTCGTCCTATTTGGGACTCGTCTGCCAACTGGATGTACCTGCATTTCCCAGTGAGTGATGATGTTCCCGCCGAAGCTCGAACCCACTGCCAACATGTCAACCTGAGACCGAGCACTTCAGTCCAATCAATCGACGGGAACATCTAAACTGTAATGAAAACAAGGTTTTGGAAGTTAATAAACTGTTCAGATGATGTTGATTTTCAGTATATTGATCTTCGGATCAAGGTGTGTTGTCTTCTAGTGTGAAGCACATTCAGGAATGCAAAGACAGGTTTCATTCTCGTATTAAATTAAGTTATATTTATTCCCCGATACGGTACATTGAATATGTTAACAAGATTATCTGTATGGCATTTTTTTATCACAGATTATTGCCAAGATGTCTTTTGTACAAGTGCAGTTGATTGATCGAACGATTGAGTACGTTGTTTCCAACACTCGTCATGAAACAGTCGGCTAATTTTGGACTGAGATGAGACCCCATAACTAGTATTCATGGAACTAAATGTTCATAGACATATATGAGAAGTAGTTCGTTCTAGTAGTTTACGGTAACAGGTATTTCTAGGTTTTCAGGTTTAACATATAGTCTCAGCTAAAGTAATGCTCGTGAAGAGGGAAACAACATTTAAAGCGAGCATTTTGCTACCAGGTGGACTTGGCATTTCTATGGTCACCGTAATGAACTAAGTCATTGTAATCAGTTGATATTGGGTACCTCGCTGTATCGTAGGCACTCCTGAAGGGTGAGATTCTTACCTCAAGTGATTTCATCACGTCTTTTGTGCAAGTGCACTACTTATAGGTGACACTTCTAAGGGACATGTAAAAATGAAGAAAGATGTGGTGAAGCGGTGCGAGGCGCTTTAATATCTAAATGGTATCAAGGAGCAAATAAGTAAGCACTATTGCGAAGAATTTCAAGTCATTTTAGACGTAGGATTATGTCGGTAGTGATCATACCAAAACGTGGGACCATTCAATGAAGTAAGTATGATCGTCGGCTTTAGCCATTTAAGACAGTTTAACTGGCCTGGCTGAGGAATATCTGATGCTAAAATTGTACACAGGTAAAAAGTATCTGCTCTTGGTTGTCTTCAGAGTTCTGAAGCTCTTAATATTCTTACATCGTTTTCTCATCCCTATATTCTCACCATTACCTGTGTTCATTGAGAGCTTGGTAACTGACTGATTGACTCATTCGCTAATTTCAGCTAGTCAAACAGAAGTAAGATGCAATATGAAGTATGAATATATGTGCGAAAAGGGTGATTCAATCAGGAATACGTATTTTTCATGATATAGGAGATTTCCAAGTACAGTTTCACAGGATTTTGCTGTTAACCTTCTAAAATTGCCGTCGAAACAATTTTACTTACTTTTCATACTAAATGTTGTTATTCGAATTATTTTTGTTTTAGATAAAATATGTCAAATGGAGTTTGGAAAACTTACGTTTCAATAATTTGAGAAGAGGAAATCTGAAATATTCCCCTGTCAGTCACAATCTTATCATCCTGCGGATTAAAATGTTATTCATTTTTACAAGTTTACACGATTTCTTGGTGCACAGAGTCGAGACGCTTAGGATCCGATTTTCGTCTAAATGGTGTCTCCCCAACTTTTCAGCGCCTAACCTAGTTAATATCAGCATTCCAGAAACATACCGTTTTTCTGATCTTATTCAGGACCACAATAAATTACTGAGTGAATTACAGGCTGTTTGTTTATTAACTGAATCTTCTTTGTTACTTCGTAACGAGATTTATAATCTTTGTAATATGGGTCTTCAACTACAAGACTTATGGATAGGTGGTAACCTTTTTCTATACTTGAACTCTGATAGTTCCACTTTTAAAGTAAAAGTCGATATGCTTTCTAATGAATTTGATAGTCATGTTAAATTCCTCTCTACAATGTTAACACGCTCAATACGTTTGAGTAATGCTAAACAACTTTTGTATGTTTCAAGTTGTTTTCAGATTGCCGCTTCATTTTCTTCAGATATTTTCACTTCAAAATCATGTTGTCAGTTGTTTGATAAATAAATATTCTCCATACATAATCTTGTTTCTTCCTATTTAATTTTGTTTTTCTTTTGTCATAATGTAAGATTTCCTTTCAGGTTATAAAATGACTTCACCGATTAAACCTATCGACAACTTTTTGGTCTCCTCTACACCGCATCCTCTTCAGATGATTAGTAAAAGTGGTGTAAAACAGAGTGAATCGAGGAGTGTTAATCTTACACATGATATGAAGACTGATGGTACAACGTTAATTCAAGATATGGATATATTTCAATTTAAAGTCAAAGGTGAAGAAAATGAAAGCTATATGACTAATCTAGAAGATATTCGATGCTTGGATTGGACGTCTAAACGTGCCAGTTATTTATTTGACTTGTTAACACGGCCTCCTTTGCTTTTTTCACCCAGCATGGGAATTAGTCTTTCATTCAAAAAAGATTCACAAAGAAGTGGTTTACAGCTTTTACCTTTAAACAAGCGTAATCGTCCAATTAATCCCGATCCATGTCTACTATCCATTGATGGTCTTTTAGACTGTCTTTTTGTCACAAATTCATTGGTTGATCAAATATATCACGATTGTATGGAGAATGCAGATGATCGGGGATCAGATGAGTATGAACAGTCACCCACTATCTTGGCTGCGAAATTCTTTCGCAGAAGAGGTAATTTAGTCTTTTTTCATATATTGGTTCTTCTGTTTAATTTGGCTTCTGAAATTCAAGGGTATATGAATGTCAACATATGTTACCTTCAAATGTTTCCACAATGACAATATTGAACAAATTTTACTCTACATGCTGAAATTATATTGTGTTTCTGAAAAGTATCTTACAGGCCTTTTTGTGTACTTGTTTGCTTACAGTAAAACCCATCATCTCACGGTTATCAGAACTTCGGCTTAAATTATCAGACTTTAAACTTGGCGCATGTGTTGGTAGAGGAGCGTGTGGCATTGTTCGCGTAGTGCGCGAAGTGTCACCTCCTCATTCTATATATGCAATGAAATCGCAGTTTAAAGGAGCTTGGCTACATCATGACCCGGTAGGTGTTTATAATATTGATATTTTTATTATATGCTTCTATTATGATTTGTTTGTATAGGAGGGATCTCAGATACTACTTGAGAGAACTGTGTTAGCTCAAGCAACTGCCATCGGAAATCCATGGCTTCCACACCTTCATTATGCATTTCAAGACGAAAAGTATTTACACCTCGTCATGGATTACGAACCTGGTGGTGACCTATATATATTTTTAAGCAAGTACGTGAGTTCATTCATTTTTTTGTTTTTTAGTCTGTTTAGTTCTAACTCACTGATAACTTTTAGCCGTTTAAAATTGATCGTTATTCAAGGCATTATATATAATCGTAATTCAGTATGATTGATTGGTTGTATAAACTACTCACTTCTACCTCAGTTTGATTTGATTCAACTTCGCGTTGTCATTTTTACTTTTAAAATATTGTTTTACAGTATTCAGTTTTCGTCGTCAAAATGTATTACGATTTCAGGAAGCTAAGTTAAACTTTGAGCATCGAAAAAAAGGAATGCACCAATGGCCTTGGATTGGACGCATCAGTCTTATGGAAAAAGCGATTTTTACGTGTAAAGTACATATATTTATGAAAATAGTGAATTAAATGACATGCAACTGTTACACAGGATACCTTTTTTCTGACATGTGACAAAAATGCCCTCCTGGTTTGCATTGGAATGTCAATAGAGTAACTAAGGCACACTATACATGTATTCATCTAGGTCTTCTGACCTTAACCCTAACGCGAAACTATCTTTAAACTAACTCTAATTTAAACTCTAGCCAACCCTGATAACTTCCTTATTAGATTAATCTTACCGTAATCTGTCCTTAGTCTAAACATCAACTTAATCCTATCTATACGTAACCTAAAACTTACCGGATATCCCGTTTCTGTCTGAGCGTTCCAAGGTCACTGATGTGACCGCATCCCTTTGGTGCTTAACGTCTAACTGAGTCTATTTGCGTATTCTGTGCCGACCCCGGTAATCGCCTAATTTATTTTATATATTCTTGTACGTCTGCTGGTTGTTTTTCTTTACCGTAGTATAGCATTCCCAGTTTGTACATCAGTCCGCTCCGTCCTCCTTTATGGTTGTGAGACCTGGTCACTGAGAGTGGAAGACATGAAAAGACTAGCTGTCTTTGATCATAGGTGCCTGCGTTCTATTTCCCGTGTAAAGTGGCATAATAAGGTGAGCAACATGGAGGTTAGGCGTAGAGTTCTAGGTAAACAGGGGAAATCAATCGACGAAGTCGTGAAGCTACAAAGACTGAGATGGTTAGGACATGTGTTACGTATGCCAAGTCATCGCCTCCCTCGACGAGCAATGTTAGCGGATATAGGGTCAGGCTGGAAAAAAGCTAACGGCGGTCAAACAAAAACTTGGCGTCAGTCAATGAAATCCACAACAGTTGGTCTAAGCCACGTAGGAAGGTGTAGACTTCCAGGCTGGGGTCCTCGGGACGGTAAAAATCTATGGTTGGAAACAATTGGTGACATGGCTCAAAACCGTTCTCAGTGGCGCAGATGCATCCACTCCCTGTGACTTACGATCTTCAATGAAACTGTTTTGTATTTCTTTATTACTCCTTTGTCTCACACCTCGGCTCACTGTTTCTATTATGCTTTTCTTGTACTTTCTTCTCTTGCTTCGCGTGCTACACGGAATGTGGCGACTTGAACTTCCGCACATTTGTGCATAGTGGTTCGAAGTATTTACTCTGTAGACTTTAGTTTTGATGACATTAGTCGAGAAGTTTTTCAGGAATTCCTTAGTAAAAGAAGAGTATAAAATAATACACTATCCCTCAATTACTGAGAGTGATCACGTTAGTTTCTGTGCTCACTGTTTACTTTTAATAAATGTATTGAAGATCTTCAGTTTTATGAGATCCGAAATTCTGGAGGAATTGTCTGTGTGAAAACATCGCTGAATTTTTATCCCTGCTGTTATGAATGTTGTTAGTTCTTATTATAACTTCTGTTCTCTATCTATTCTAATGCGCTTGTGTCAATTGAAACTGGCTGTGACTAACACTGTTCTTTACTTAAATTCAGTTTAGTTTGTAGTGGAAGACATGAAAAGGCTGTCTGGCTACCTGTCTTTGATCATAGGTGTCTGTGTTCTATCTCCAGTGGTAAATGGTATAATGAGACGAGCAATATTGAGGTTAGGTATTAGTCGAGTACTAGGTAGGTTGGAGGGGAAACCAATCGACAAGGTTGTGAAGTTACACCGATTGAGATGGTTAGGAGACGTGTTACGTATGCTAAGCCATCGCCTTCCACGACAGGTGATGTCAGCTGACTGACATAGGATCAGGTGGGAAAAGAGAGAGCTAGTGGTGGTCAAACGAAAAAACATGGCTTCATCAGTCAATGAAATCCACAACAGTTAGTTTAAGCCATTCAACCACGTAGGGAGGTGTAGACTTCCTGACTGGTTGGGTTCCTCGGGATGGTAAACATCAGTGACTGGTGAAAATTGGTGATATGTCTAGAAATCGTACTAACTGATGGCTGGGGCAGATGCATTCACTCTTTGTGATATGTCATATTCAATAAAACTCTATTGTTCTTCCATGTAACTATTCTGTTTGCCTTACACCTCTGTTTATTATCTCTCTCTCTTTTGAATATCTCTTCTTGCTTTGTGTGGTGCATAGAACGTGGCAACTCAAACTGCTGCACATCTGTGCATAGTTCTACGTTGAAACCAGTGGTTCAGTTAGTTTGAAGTGAAGAATGTATAAATTAGCTTTTAGCACTTCTAGTTTGTTTTAAATACCGCGAATATAAATATACAACTATAATGGCTTGATATATTTTATACTTTTAGAGTTGGTCACTTATTGGATGCAAAGATGGTACAGTTTTATGCCGCTGAAGCCGTAGAGGCTATTCATTCTCTGCATCGAATGGGTTACATTCACTGGTAGGTTAATATCTCCTATCCCATTACATACTTTTTGAAGTATCTGACTGTGTTTTCTTGACTTTTATTAATTCTACCATGCCTCCTTACCTTATATCATATTAACTTGATAATAATTCCAATATTTGATGAAGAGTGTGATAAGATAACATCTTTTTCAGAACACCTGGTTTTTGGAGTCTACTGCAGCCAAAGTTTTCTTATATCATCTGTGATTAGTGCGTTATCATATAATTATCATTAATTCCTTCATCTAGGGCTATTTCAAATTGTTCTTCGATGTCTTGCTTTCGTAACATCTATTTTAGTGTTGTGTCAGCATGTTAAATAATATTGTCTACCGGTTGGATGCCTATACTGTGCGTCGGTGGCACAGTGGTTAGGACTCTCGCCGACCATGCACATGGTCCGAGGTTCGATCCCCTTCCGACGCACACCTGATATCTATGGTCGGCCTGGGAAATTTGGGCTACCGATATCCATGCTGAAAATTCCATACTTGTACCAAAAAGGTACTGTGTGGAATCAAGCTGTAATCAAATTAAAAGAATAAAAATATATGAAATGATGTTTGAAACAAAAATCACTTCATCACACAATTTATCTTCTATAGTTGGTTTGTAAGGATTAGTCTTTTGTTTTCACGAGTTGATCACGGACTGTTATCAATTAGAGAACCATTGAAAATCAGCAGACAGTACTGGCAGCTGTTTCATCCTAGTTTGGGAACCATCGGAAGTACGCAACCACCGCCAGGGTTCGTACCCAGGACCTTCCCGTTACAAGGGAAGCTCGTATGCCATTCAGCCACTGGAACCAATTCAATGGCTAGTCCATGAATTCTAACTTCTACCAATTCATGATTCAGCGCGACCCCAACCAATGTCATCGGTGGGACATCCATCCTCACACTTGACTGGATGGACCTCACTGGTCACGACTTCCCACTAGAACCACAGGAAACTCTGTCCTGTAGCAAGCGACTAGCGAGCATCAGATTAATTTTCAATAGTCGGTTTGTAAGGATGTTTTGTTTTTACGAACAGTCAAATAGTACATGAAAAGTAAGAAAAGCATATGTGTGTATGTCACTCTCATAGTGATAAATGTATGTTTGTCCCTACTGATTAGATGTGATTAGTCATCATTTAATTGTATTCAGTTGTATTGACAAGAGTTCAGAAAAACTCTTTTTTTGTTCCGGTTTCGTAACCCCAATGTGATTACTTTTGATACATTTTATTTTGAAAATAATGACTGAATCAAACTTGGTGTTTAACTTTGTTTGAAGAAATTGAAATTCCTTGTCTGGATTTGTCATTAGAAAAATAGGCATTTGGATTAAATTCAATGTAGATCTTATCACAAACGAACATCAGCTAGAGATCATTCAAAACCAGAGAGCACTGTAAAGCTGTTTCGTCCTAATTTGATGCTCTTCATGAGTGCACACTCATGACTCCATCGAATACAGGCCCATGTTGATGTTAGGCGTAGAGTGTTGGGCAAAGAGGGCAAATCAATCGACGAGGCTATAAAATTACATAGACTAAGATGGCTAGGTCACGTGCTGCGCATGCCTAACCACCGCCTCCCCCGACGGGCTTTGCTAGCTGATATAGGTTCAGGTTGGAAAAGAGCCAGTGGTGGCCAAACAAAAACATGGCATCAATCCATGAAATCCTTGACAGTTAAACTGAGTCAGGTAGGGAGATGCAGACTCCCGGGTTGGGGCCCTCGGGACTCTAGGAATCAATGGCTGGAGACAATAGGTGACATCGCTCAAAATCGTTGTCAATGGCCAGCGCAGATGTATTCAGTCTCTGTAATCTTTCATATTCCTTTCTACCATTACCCATTCTGCTTCACTCTTATACTTGTCAAACTCTATTAATTCTCTTCACTCATCTTCTTGTCTACCTCTGTGGGCTATTTGGAACGTGGCAACCCGAACTGCTGCACTTCGGTGCCAAGTTCTATGTTGAATCCAGACAGACAGACAGACAGGCCCAAGTAGTTGAATAGTCAACGACCTTGGTCTCGTAACCCGAAGATCTTGGGTTTGATCCCTGACGGGGTGGTGGATGAACACAGTTGAAGAGTGCTAAACTAAGTTGAGATAGGTATTTAGTATCCCTTGGTTTTCAATTATCCCTAACTGATGTTGCTTTGCGGCAAAATCTGCATTGAAATGGTTATTCTCTCCAGTCTAGTGCTTTGTTATCGCATAGAAAAAAAACGCTTTAAATTCATTTAATATTTTGTACATCTATTTAAGGTTGTTATTTCTTCTCTTTTTTTTTCGCCTGTTCTCCAGTGACCTGAAGCCCGAAAATTTCGCAATTGAAAGAAGTGGTCATTTGAAATTAATTGATTTCGGGTCAGCTATCAGACTTGACGCAGATGGGAAGGTAATGCTAACTTAACCTTTTTTACTTATCTGTCTATCTGTTTTGGCTTGTATTTCTTGTGTGCGTCGGTGGTACATTGGTTAGGACTCTCGCCGACCATGCACATGGTCCGGGGTTCGAGCCCACGCCGACGCACACCTGATATCTATGGTCGGCCTGCGAAACTTGGGCTACCGATATCCACGCTGAGAATTCCGTACTTGTACCAAATACACAGTGTGGAATCAAGCTGTAATCAAAAATAAAAATAAGAAAGTAGTTTTTAGCTAATTAAATGCTATAGGCATCAGTTGACTGACTGTGGTTGAACTTTCAGTGAACTAATTGTTTATGATATCGCCCGTGAAAATTTATCCAGATTTGCTTATCTCAGGTATTTCATCTCAAAATTAAGTACAATCTATGTTTATAGCCAGCGTATTGAAGGAGACTTGTTTTCCTTTTCATATCTATTGATCTGTTGCATTGCTTAGATTAAAGGAGAAAGTTAATTATTCACATTGAGCCTCACTCACCTTTCAACAACAATTAGTTTGTAGGGGTGGTTTGGTTTGTTTCAAGTTTTGATCGCGGTTTGATGTTAGTGAGAGAACCGCCATTAAAAACTAGGAAGTACTACTTAATAATTGTTTCGTCCTATCTTGAGACTCGTCACAGGACGCACCTAGAACCCCACCTGGGATTGAACCTTTAATAAAACCTTTAATAACGATAAAGACTGAATCAATTTTCTTTCACATGTTTGAGGGATAGAGAGTTCTGTGCAAGGTTAGATCATTTGTTCGCAGGTGGTCTTCCGTTAACCTTGACCTGTATGCTTAGTTTTAATCACTGTTTGTAGGATGAATTTTCAATCGCAATTTCATTGGTTTCTGTCACCTCTTTCTTTATCTGAGTGTCCTTCTCCCCCCTTGAATCTCATCATCATAATTCCAAAAATAGATAAGTGTAATTCTTCATGTATTAGGCACTTTAAACAACTATACAAGGAACCAACCAAGTTGCCTGTTTCACCTGTATTAATTATCTAAAGTATTATTAAAATACACACTTGGTATATTATGAACCCCAAGAAATGCGCCATACAAAGTTCTATAGTTTGTGCGAGATATCAGCCGGAACAAAGCAAGTGGTTGTCTTAAAGGACTGCACTCCGAGCCTTTGACACCAGGTTTGATCGATAAATCAGTGGAGCAAGGTCAGGGGCTACTTTCCCCTGGTGACTGCTGGTGCAGATAACAGGTTTACATACTATTCGATCCGTTCGGATTCTGGAGCCCATGTACACAATGTGTTTGGGATCAAGGTTTTCCGGCTCCCCCTAAGTAGAACAACGTTGTAAGCGCCTCATTTTTGTGAAGAATACCTACTCTGTATGAAGACGATGAATAATAGGACTTACCTAGCAGAGACTATGAATTCGTGGCCATATGAGAAGATTTTGAGAGGCAAACTAGAGTATATTCACCTTCGTCGGCTGTACAAGGTCATTTATAGGGGAACATTATCTAAAGTGATTGCTACAAGTAATGATTATATATTTACAAAGGTAGGCCTTTTAAATTTTGGTGATCATGTTTCATAGTCCTACAGCAGGAGAACAGTGCACATCATTTCATAGTATAATCGACTGTTAAGAGACAATTGGATATATCCACCTGCTTAGTGAATGGCATATAAACCAAATAAACGTTTTGTATTCACCACACTGAAACGAAAATCAGAATACTTTCTTTACACATATTAGTTGTGTGATAACTGATGTACTATTTTATTCAGTTGAATTTTAGATTCTCCCGTCGATTGATTGGACGGAAGTGCTCGGTCTCAGGTTGACATGTCGACGGCTTCTTGTGCAGATGCTTCGACGATATCTGGACATGTAATTCGAATTTAATTGGTGGATGGTGACTAGCAGTGGAATCCAGCGAGGATGCCTATTTGGGACTCGTCATCTGGATGTACCTGCATTCCCAGTGAGTGTGCGTCGGTGGGACAGCGGTTAGGACTCTCGCCGATCATGCACATGGTCCGGAGTTTGATCCTTTGCCGACGAACACCTGATATCTATGGTCGGCCTGGGAAATTTGGGCTACCGATATCCATGCTGAAAATTCCATACCTGTAGCAAAAATGCGGTGTGGAATCAAGCTGTGATCAAAAATAAAAGTATATATAAAAAAAATGTTCCCACCTAGGCTCGAACTAAAATAGGACGAAATGCGTATCCTCGCTGGATTCCACTGCTAATCACCATCCACCAATTAAATTCGAATTACATGTCCAGATATCTTCGAAGCATGTGCACAAGAAGTCGACATGTCAACCTGAGACCGAGCACTTCGGCCGAATCAATCAATCGACGGGAAGATCTGAAATTAAATTAGATAATTAATATGACCCATTGCACAAGAGGTGGCTGTCATGGCCCAAGTGGTCTAGTGGATAACGCTTTGGCGTTGGAAACTATGGGCACTGGGTTTGAGCCTTGGTGGGAATATCATCACTCACTGGGGAATGCAGGCACATCCATCCAGATGACCAGTCCCGAATAGGACGAAATGCGCGTTATCCTGGATTCCACTGGATTCCACCATCCACCGATTAAATTCAATATACTATTTTGTTCAAATGTATAATTTTTTTCAACGGATGTACAATTGCATTAATTGTTCATCATTTAACGGTGAAAAAAGATTAGTGGAACTCCTCAATGACTAAGTACAGGTTCACTTATTTATGACTAGCTTATAAATCATTATACTAGTAGAAACAAACGTTACTCATTATGCAGCTGGCTGAACACAAGTAGGTAAAATGAGTTCAAACTCGTTGTCTAACTAGTAGTAAGTAGTGGTGTTAGAATGGCGGTAAGAAGATCGATTATAGTAGTCACCGTTTTGGGCAGACAATATGTTAAAAATAATTGAATGAATGAAAGTACTAATCATCTTTGCATGTTAGTGGTTAGTGGTATGAAACTAGTCTTCACCTTGGTGATAGAAAACAGTCAACTTATTAATTATTTCTTGTTTTACTACTACCACACTCTGTTGTATGTACTTTAGTAATTGTATTCTACTTCGTGTATATATTTCACTGCCGAAGTCAAGATGGTCTACTTCCTCATTTTTACCTTTTTGTTCTGTATTCTAATGATCATTTTTCTCTTCTTCTGTCGCGTGTGTGTGTAAGTTAATTTTCCAATTTCTTTCCCCCTTAATAACATGGATGCGCATATCTTTGTAGTGAACTGAAAGAGAAAAAAAACCACAATGAGAGTGACCCTATATTAATTAGACTGCACCTTACAATGAATTGTGTTTTTATTTTACCAGACGAAATTTAATTCAAGTGTGACATTAATCAAATTGAAAGTAATTCCGATTTACTTTTCTTCAGCGTACAATATTCATCATACAGCTTATTCTAAGGGTATTCTAATTTAGATATGACAACAGTTTCTGACCTTTTGCATTTTTTGACCTCTTTGTGTAACCTTTTCTTATTTTTTTTGTACATATTTATTGACAATCTTATGATGGTTGGTCACATGCCGAGTTAATTTTATTTTATTTTAAAATGTTTATTATTTAGTGTATATGTCCTACAATGGTTGGGACAAAAGAATACTTAAATATTGAATTATTAAGACAACGGGGACGGCACAATCAAGAACCATTACTTGTCGGTCCAGAATTTGATTACTGGGCTATTGGTGTATTGTTGTATGAATTATTCTACGGTCAAACACCATTCTACGATGAAGATGACGACAAAATGATGCAGAAGATTATGGACTATGGGGTAACTATGATTATTATTATTATCATTATCACTATTCCCTTGAGTTCCATTTCAATCTGTCCTCTGCAGTCTTTTTTTCAGGTGACTCCACAATTCCCCATAAGCCTTAATTCCCTCCTCACACGATCTCCTGCATGTTATCTTCGGAAACCTAACTCATCGTTTCTTATTCTGGTTCTACTTGGAGGCCTGACGTATGATGTTATCGAACGGTTTTCTCAGCATATTTTCAATCCATCGCCACTTCCCTCTGCATATTTTTTAGGCAATAGGTTCTTGATTAGTTTGTTTCCGAAATTCCCTGTTGCTTATCGTTTCTGGCTAACCGTCTGATCTTCAGTATGGGGGGTTAGGGGTAGGAAGGCAGATGTTGATGAAAATTTGCAATAGCCTCTTAAGAATGCTTTTGGTGACGCGTGCTCAAAGTCTCTGAACCACATAGCAGAAGTGACTTGACATTAGTGTGAAAAATCTACTAGATCTTGTTCCTTATGTTTTTAGTTCATAGACTTCTAAACTGATTTCACAGTAATAATAATAATCTCGCTTTTCCGATCCCACCTGTAGTTGGAACGATACTGCTCAAATAAGTGAAAGACGTGACCTCAATCAAATGTCTTCCATTCATAGTGATTAGTTTTCACCTGTAGGTCTTATAGTTTGTTTGTGTGACAATAGACATAAATCATCCGTAAACTCCAGATCTAGATTCTGCTTATCGGTATAACGTATTCCTGTCTTGTCACTACTTCCCACTGTCTGTGGCATGATGTAGTCCACCACAATCAGTAATACCATTGGTGATAGTAGGCAGTCCTGCTCTACTCCTATCCTCACTCCAAAGGCTTCATTGGGTTTTCCGTTGGCGTATGATATTGTCACATAGCTGTTGAATGAGGTTGATACAAGTTTAGGACACTCTGTGTTGTTGAAGCAGTTTCCAAAATACACTGTCGAAGGCCTTCTCAAAGTTGAAGTTGAGATAGGGATTTGACTAGCGTTCTGTGCTCTCTGTTCGATTGTGATACGTGGCACTGCAATTCGATCAGCACATGATTCGCTTTTCCTGAATCCAATTGGTTCCGGTCGAGTTTTGCATTTATGAGCACTTTCTAGTCTCTCTGGAACAACACAACTTAACAGTATCATGCACATGAGCATGATTCTACGCCAGTTTTGCAAAGGCCTAAGCTAAGCTGATTACCTGAAATAGGGTCACTGGCTTCGCCCTCGATCTCCTCCCGGGTTAGAATCACTGGCTAGTTCACTAGTCTTCCCGCCTTTTCTTTTAACCAACTAAATTCTTTTGGTTTTCTTTTTCGCCACTTATTTCAGAAAACGCTGAAATTCCCACCATCATCAGAGATAACAGAATCAGCCATTGATTTGATTAAATCATTGATTATTACCCCATCGAAACGGCTAACTTATGAAGATGTTGTTATGCATACATTTTTCAAAGATGTCGACTTCACAACACTAAGAGAAGGTTAGTTAGTAATTTCGCTGATAAATCTTTTCTTGACTGATTTATTTATTTATCTACTCAATTATTTTATGAGTCAGTAAAAACCGTATGTTATAATCTCATTATGCACTTACTTTCCGTTGGAAGCGTATGATCTTCTTGTGTGGCTTTGAACTTTCAGTAACTGTGAGGTTGTTTTTTTAAGGGGTTGGGTTGTTATTCTCGCTAATAACCTTTCTAGAAATACTGTTGACTAGTAAACTTGGCGAGAGAATCGGACCTAGATCAGATCTCCTGCGTGATTGATAAGGATTCTATCACTGAACCACCGATGCATCGTAGATTGATGCGTGGAAGATCTCTGTTTCTGACAAGGGAATACTAACTTATCACATTCAATTATTGATCCATAAAACCGACGACGATTAGTTGCTTAGAGAAACTGCGTCTGAGAATTGCAAGTATTTGATAGGAGATATCGTGAAGAGATTACTAACTCTTATGAGAAATAACAGTTGAGTATTGTTAAGGGTAAATTTGGGAATTATACAAGGTATAACGTCTACTGTCTACTTTTCTATCCAAACTTCGATAGATGGGTTGTGGGTTGGGGTCCAGGCCCCAGTGATATAGTGGGATGGGAGTCAAACTCCTAAACTGGAAAGTATTTTTTAATCTGGTCAGTCTCAAAAATGTAAAATTTCGAAGCTGTGTAGGGAACTTGTTGTTGAAATCAGAAATAGAGGGCAAGTAAGACAACTGATAATAATAATTCTATGTGACTCAAACGCATTCAACGTCTTATTGTATGTCTATTTACCCGATTCGTTGTCGTATTCATTGTGATATTGTACATGAACGTTTGAACTTGGCTGTCTTAATCTATCGTTTTGATTTTTATTCCAACTCAAAGATTACTTAACGTCTTTTCGTGCGTAATAACTATACTTCACATGTATTTGATCCAGACCCAGTCATCCAGAAAAAAAACTATTCCATATACTACACATTGATTATATAAAGGCTGATGATACTATTGAGTTGCCCAGATTAAATATTAGGTGGAGTGGGACTCGAACTTTGGAACTATTGGCTGTAAGCTGTGTTTCTGTTTAATTAAGCAGGTGAGCTGTATCATGAACAGCAAGTTAGATATATAATGAGCATAAAACATGGGCAATGTGATAAAGTATAACTACATAGTAATAGTAATACAGTATAATAAATATGTAAAATATTCAGTCTTACTGTATCACAATGTTACACCGAATAAATTAACGCTTATTGGAACGGATTGGTTAGTCCAATTCATAAAGAATGTAGATCAGCATGCTAGCTACCTGTCTTTGAAACCGGAAAAAATGGTTACAGGATTTCATCATGAGCTGACATTGGTTAGAGAACCATTGGGAAACCTGTGAGTACTGGATAGCCAGTTGTTTCGTCCTAGTTTGAAACTCTTCAGCAGTACGTGCCCACCACCGGGGACCGAATCCAGGACCTTCTGGTTACAAGGTGAGCTCGAATGATCACATATCCTAATTATACTTTTATTCACCTGATTCCTTGGATCTGGTGTTATTCACTATCTACTAATGAACATCTGATAGCTAGCACATCCGACCAATGTTAGCTATCAGTTGATCTCCACCATATTCATGAACAACTTCCTGGGATTTTTGTCATGATGTAAATTAGAGTATTAGTATTTAGTGGTTTCCTGCCAGTTCACTTCGTGAACCTACCTACCTATAAACCAGTAGAAATTTCATTCCTAATTTCTTCATAGTTTGTTTTTGGGCTGGTTACTATATAATAAATAGTTAGTTATTGTAATTCATATAATATTCTTTCTTTTATGTAGTTATACCTCCGTATTTACCTCCAGTTGGAGAACTTGATGATGTTTCGAATTTCTCTGGTGGGGGTTCACGTACCCGTGATGAAGCTATAATGGATGTTTCTACAAACAAAACCTTTTCCCCTGTTCGTTTCACTAAGTCATCATCAGTCCACGATGGATGTGCTGCCCAGTGTGCAACTTTAGACAATGATGATAATGAAGTCGATGAGACTGTTTTAGACAGACGTGCAGTCAAGAGTATTCCAGATGATGAAAATCAAGAGAATATTAATCCAGAGAAATCCTTAAGATCTACAGAAGAGGCAAAAAGACAAGCGATTCAAGAAGCTGCAGCTGTACCCATAAATGAGGAAATGGAAGAGATTGAGGATATTGAATGGCAAGGTTCTGAATGTGTCAGAGATTTGCCATTCCTCGGATATACATATACACCTGGATTAGTGTTATTTGGCAATCTTACCAAAAAGCAGACTCCTCTGTCGATAGCTGCTGCCAATGTTGGTACTTCGTTCGTTGTTAATCTAAGGTAAAGTTGAGCGTCTATGCAAATAAGGTGCTTACAACATTATACCGTTTTAGATATAGTGCTAGACTGTGTTACTCTAATTGCTTGTTTATCCTATACAGCTCTCATATATTTAGATGATAAAAGCTTTATAGTTTTGTCATTATAGATGTTTCCAATCGGCCTAAACAATAATCAGAGGAAAATTGATACCTATGTGCAACTTCCTAGCAGTCTAATCCTTTTTTTGTCGTCATGATTTTTCTCTTGTTACTAATTTGATTTCTGAGAATTAATCGGTTCTGTGGAAATTTTATGCCATAGGCATGCATTTCACTTTCGAAAGTGCCTCGAATAGTGGAAAGTGAACAGTGTTCACTGAGATCAATAAGAGTAAAAGTAATCATAATAATAATAATAGTAATTTCCTGGTGTGTTTTCCTATATGATCAAGTTAGAGTTTGAAATAATTGGAATTATGTTTCTAAAACGACTTCAGTTCTTTTTGGTTATATTTTCGGATTTGTATAGTCCTCCTTAAAATTTTAAATGAGTAACAGTGAAATCATTTCCAATTAATATTTTTGATAAGATTGTACACGCGAATTTTTGCGTTCTATTCCCTGTGTTACGTTGTATAATGTAGTGAGTATTATTGAAGTTAGACGTAGTATTGGGTAAGGAAGGCAAATGAATCGGTGGGGGACGGTTGTAAAGGTAAGTCAAGTGAGATTGCTAGGACACGTGTTACGCATGCGCAGCCACCGCCCTCATCGTCGGGAAACGTAAGTTGAGGTCAGATTAGATTGGAAAAGAGTCATCATAAGTGGTCAAATCAAAACATGGCAGTAGTCCATTTAGTTTGTAACTATCGGTCTGAACTACTTGGGGAGGTGTAGGATGCCTGGCTGGGGTCCTCTGGATTCTAAGAACCAATACCTGGAGATTGTTAGTGATGTGGCTTAAAATCGTCTCTAGTTGCGCAGATGCATTCAACCTGTTGTAGTTAGGACTCTCGCCGACCATGCATATGGTCTGGGGTTCTATCCCCTGCCGACACACACCTGATATCTACGGGAGGCCTGCAAAATTTGGCTACCGATATCACATGCTAAAAATTCCATACCTGTTCCAAAAAATACGGTGTGGAATCAAGCTGAAATAAAAAATAAAAAAAAATCGAATCAAAATTAAACTCTGATGTTTTTCTATGTTACTATTCTTTCTCGGAAACATTTCTGGCCATTAATAATCCCCTTGAGTTCATGTCTTCTTCTCTACATTTGTGTGCTATATATGGAGTATGACAACTGAACTACTGTTTCTATACAGAGTTCCACACTGAAACACTGCCAATCAAATATCGATTTATGTATTCCATTTACTCCTTCCTAGCCGGATAGAATTCAATCCTAACTTTATCCATTCTATAATTTATCATGAGAATTAGCTGCAAGGCAGTGTGAAGTCTGAAATAGCATATTATTTCACTTTTTCTTACATCATCAACTTTCAAATGTGTCAGTCTAAGGGTGATCACTATTGTTATATGCTCTTCATTCGCTTGTCAAATTTCTGTTTTCACAGTTTAACATACATAGTTGATTCTCTATTCATTTCTAAATAATACATTTCCTACATTTGTTTTTCTCTTTGTTTGTTTGTTTGTCGAAACTCGCTTCCCTGTGCAGCACACCTCATAAATTTGCATTGACTGGTCGTCGGGATTCATTAGCCACATCATTGAAGCGTAGTATTGTCTGTTCTGAAGGAGGCCAGTCTAACGATGCAGAAAAGAAAAATGATAATGAAATTGTCAGTCTATCAGAACTACAACAACGTAATCAACAGCTGTGTGAACAGATTGAACAATTACGACTACAAAACAAGGAATCTGAGGTTTGTTAATCACTACGCTTATACATTATGATAATAGATTGTAATGAATTATCTTTTCACTTTAATTATCATCCTCTATGTTTTATTTTGACACTCTGTGAAGCCAGTCTCAGATTCCCCCTGCAGTTAAGATATTCTGACGTTAGATATATCAGTCCGCGAACTTCCCGTTTCAAAAAATGTCTGTAGCTTATTACTAATTAGTCTGTACATATTATTCACCCTTTAGTTGTATATTCACATGTTATTGGCCGAATGATTGATTGTCCTCTATGAGTTGCGTTGTTAAATTAAGTAGTCAAAGGAAGTATAACCCTGAACAAGTGTATCAGTGCAGCTTAATAAACATAACATACTGGAGACATCATTATTATTATTGTTGTTTTCTTTGGTCCTAGAGGAATATAGGGCTTCAGTCTCACGTCTCCATTGTGTTCGGTTCTCTGCTAACGTTTTCACCTGGCTCCACCTCTTCCCACCTGTGGATCTCTGTTTCTGATCTTTTCTGGCCGGCCATCTGATCTTGAGTAGTATTGAGCGAAGACAGCTATTGATGAAGTTGTGTAGTTTGTTCAAAGTGCCCTTTCGTGACGCACCATGCCTCCGATCCGTATAGTAGCACTGACTTCCCATTGGAGTTGAAAATCCGGATCTTATTTTTATGCTGAGTTCTGTTGACCTCCACACAGACTTAAGAGAAATGGAAGCTTTCCTTGCTTTCCCGATCCTCGCTGGTTTGATATACTCATCATTTCCATCACCTGTAATTGAAACGATGCTTCCCATGTCGGTAGGTAAAGAAGGTTGCTTCTTTCAGATTTTGGAAGGTTTCTTTTGACTTTATAGATGACTTTGAATGACTTCTCCTTGCAAATCGAATGACCAGTGTTGAGTATATGCTCAATAATGGCGCTCCTTATTGCTCCATTGTTACCTTTCCGTAGCCAGGCGGGATAGTGTTCTTGAACTCTTTTAGATAAAACTCGCATCGAACGACCTATATACCTCGCTCCGCAAGAGCAGGTGAATTGGTAGATACACATGGAAGTGGTCAAATGCGATAGTTTATCTTTAGAGTAGTTGAATATATATATATATATATATATATATATATATATATATTCAGTCTATTCAGGTTCTTATTATAATGTCGTGAAATGTATTCACATAATGAAGAAAGATACATTAATGTGTAACCTTTTCTCTATCTTTAGAGGATTAAAGCTACCATTTAATTGTCTTGTGCGTTTTTAGTTTTGCATTACTGTTTGTTAATAGTAAAAGTCAGTTTTCAAATTTTTGAAATAATACCAATCTACTTGTTGAAGGTATTTTGAATTGTCTATTGATCGGTTGGTTATACTGAACTCTGAAGTGCTTGACAAAAATAGCAAGTGTTGGCTTGATCATGAGTTGACATCAGTTAGAGAATCACTAGAAAACCAGGAAGTACTGAACACAGTTGTTCCGTCCTGGTTTGTTACTCTGCAGAGTACGCACCCAGTGGGAGGGGGGGGTGGTTCGAAACCGAGACCTTCCAGTTACAAGACAGAAATGCAATACAAATTATAATTGATACCTGTTGCACTAGCGTGGTGAGGTGGCTTTTGTTTCTCAATAGCCTAGTTGGATAACACTGGGATATGAAACAGTGCCTGCTTGATTTGAATCTGAATGGGAACACTATCGGCCACTGGGGGAACAAGTTTATTATCCCAGCAGGCGAGTGATTGATTCAACCAACGTAATAACCGCATTAATTTAATTCTTAAAAAAGAAATTTTTCAGGACTGATAGTATTATTTTCGCATTTATTTATTATTTTCAGTAAATTATGCATTACTCAGTAGTGATTTTTTTATCATTTCTCATAGGATTTACGTCAACGACTCGTTAGTGCCTTCGATAACGGTCATGTTCTGAAAGAAATAAACGAAGCTGTCCGTGTTCTTTCTGATACAGTTGTAGAAAAAGACAGGTAAGATAAGCTGTACTGTACCAGTTTGTAGTTTCTTTTTTTCTCTCTAAGGCTTAGTGATTTATCATAACAAGTTTGACATCTAACGTACTTATCTCTCACGTTAGCATTATGCCTGTTGTATTGTTGTTGTTTTTTAATCTTAATAGATCTACTATTGATCAGTTAAATTCTCGAATAAAACAGCTTCATGAAGAAAATCTTCGACTAACTGCATCACTACAGAGCTGTCAACAAGCACAAAGTGTAGTCGATCAAGTACAACAGGCTGTGGTATGTTACTGTCCGCTTATAAAAAAGTTATACTTTGATATGAAATTCTATTTTGATCATTCCTTTCACTTTTGTTAAACAAATCAGAGTATTCTATCATTCATAAGTTGGAAATTGGTGGAAAAGTGTGTTCATTCCCTTGCTTTCCAATCGGAACATACGCAGCTTCAAGCATTGAGCTTTGAAGTTTCATTAAGCAGCGATGCTTCTTTTTAGGGAATGAAGTTGGCAAACTCACGTCCAACTTTCCCCCATTACTACTAGACTTACAATCAGTTAGGCGAGATTTAGGAGTCTGTTAGCCGGGAATCGAACCCGAACCATATGAGAAGTTGGCCGAGTATTCTACGATTGAATGACGGACGTGCACATACCTTTACCCTTCACGTTTCCAGTGGAACATAGGGCCTCAAGCTAGTCGCTTGAAGCTTCTGTAGCAGTGTTTGATTTTACAGGATTGGGTTGATAGCCTCATGTCCAGCCTTTCCTCTTTACCAGCATTATTTCTGGCTTAGCGAGGTAAAGGAGTGCATCGGCCGGGGATCGAACCCCGGACCATGTGCATGGTCGGCGAGCGTCCTAACCCCTGTGTCACCGACGCGCACTTATAGGTGGAGTGTAATTCAGGTCAGGTAGTATAGGACTAAATTATTTCTTTCGGTTTAATTACTCGAAGCTATTTAGTTGCAATTCTTATGGGATAAAATAAATTTTATAAGAAATAACAAGTTGACTGACTGTGGTTATTCTTCGTCTGTTAGTTTTACCGATCCAGATTATGCTAGATCGTATGTTCACTGGTTATCGATTACCTTTTGTGCTATTGAAATTTTTACCGTGTGCCGAGGATTTATAAGGGGATGTTTATTCTTGCTAATCTTTTCTTTTCTTTTTTTACAAATCAGTCTCGCCTGTCCAACTTGCCAAGTAATTTTGCTGAAGCAGATTTATTGGATTTACTAACAGCACTCTGTCCGTCAACTGTCTTCACAACAAATGATGCATCAACAGATGCTTCATTCTTAAATATACCTTCGTCTACTTCAAATTCACCATCAGATAATCTTGTTGGTTACGAAATAGTTTATCGTCTTATTAATTTTGCTGTAAAACAATTCAAGCATGCTTCTAATCGAGCCAACCAGTCATGTTATACGCTAGAATCAACAAATGCTGAATTGAAAAAAGCCCTGGATGAATCAAAACAACAAGTGAATCAACTAGTCGAAACAATAGATGGAATAATTGCTGATCAACGTCAATCTCGTGAAACTGAAAATAATCTGAACCGTGAAATTAAAGTGAGTTTTTATAGTAAAGACATGCCTCTGTGTGTGTGTGTGTGTGTGTGTGTGTGTGTGTGTAGTACTCTATACAATGACTTCTCAATGTTAGCGTTAGAAGCTTCATAAACGCTCACGTTCTCGCTTTAGCCGGATAAATACACCTAGTTCGCATAAAGATTGAATAGCAAACCCCTCATATTTGAGTTATAAACAAAAAGATGACGAAATATGGAACAACACTTTCTTTCCGATGAGTCATTTTCAAATGCTGTGCAAAATCAGATTTATATTCAACATAGAATTCGTAATATTGTTCTATAAAGGGTGTGCGCCATATAATATGAGTTGTAATCTAGAAAACAATGTACTAGTCATCACCCAAATTTTTACGCCTATTACGTAATGTCGGTTTCTGTTTCTTACTCTCCACTTACTTCTATTGATTGGTTTTCTTCTGTTGAATATAATGAGCCGATGAGTCATACCTACACTATCACATAATTACGTAATTCATAGCGTTATGAAAATGTTTCATTGACCATCAGGACATTGAAGAGAGAAAAGAACAAGAAGTTCAGCAAAGATATCATTTTGGCGATTTCATTCACACACACATTCACGCACAAAATACAAGTATTATATAATTCCACATAATAAAAACGAAGGAGATTTTGAGGTGATGATAATTTTCAACTTGATATGAAAGTTGGACGGTGTTCGACGGGGCTTAGAAACAAAATTAGGCTAGATTAGAAAATAGATTTATTGAATAAAAGTGTGAACTGGATGAGCATGGAAACAAATTGGAATAATAGTTTTTTAAATAACAAATGAAAAAATTGAAGGGTATGAAAGAAACAACACCAAAAAGGGAAAACTGAGGAGTCAAACTGAACTAGATGCCTGATAAATGTAGAGGTTGAACTCTTTTCTTTTGATGAACACATAAGCTCCAGCCAGCTTTTCAATGCATATGATGAGGGTTTCTGTAGTACAAAGAAGTCGGAATTCCACTGACTGATAGATTTTCGTTTAATTTTTAAACTTTGAATGATGGATGAGTCAGTTGAGATTCTGTGTGACAGGTGTTGATGTGGTGTTCAATTTCGGCACTTCTGATTGAACCAGTACCTTTTCTTTGCATTCTCAAACATACATTATGATAAGACCTGCATGGAACGACCAATGTATCTAGCTCCTCAAGAGCAGGTGAACTGATGTATGCACATTGGAGTAGTCAGTCATATGCGGAAGTTTGTTCTTTGCATTGCTTAGAAGCAGTGGGCCACTAGAGAATGTCTCTCTTGGAGTTGCTTCAGGATCAGGAAAGGGAACTAGAGATTCTTGTTTTGAGGATATCTGCAACTAAGTCTCCCCTGAAGTCTAGATTCGAGTATAGTGTTTTCTTTGGTAATGAAGTGCATTTTTCTCTTTTCGGCTTTGGTTTCGTGTTCTTCACGATACGTACCGGTATCTATTCTGAGTAAGGTTGTGTATTACTTATAGTAATTACCGTAATATTATTAGCACGTCATGATCATCTCTTATATATGAACACTGTCTTATATTTTCTAGGTATTGAAACAGAAACTAGAAGATGCCAAAGATTACCAAAGAGATTTAAATCAAAAGTGTTTACAATTTGAGGATAAATACTTTACAGTTCGTGATAAATTAAGAGATGAAGAGAAGGTATGCATTTTTAACAAAAAAGGAAATATTTTTAATAAGTGTTTTATTGTTGTTCTTATTTGATATGGTGGTGATGAAGTATACTGATGATGATGGAGTTTATCATAAAGGCTTTTAAGCAATTCAAAGTCCCTCCTTTCGAAATATTTTTGTTGTTGTTTTTCTTTTTTTTTGTAAAATATAAACATAATTAATACAGCAACATATGCATTAAGTAAGATTTACTTTGTACAAATGGAGGGAAAATATGAACCCCGATGTGGATCAAAGCGATAACAGAATGGTCATAAGGGAGGGAAGTTACACCCATCAGATTTATGCTACACTTCCTTAGCATTCTGAATGGTGCATTAGATGGACTTCAAGCTTCAGCTTTAATGTTTGATTAGTGCTGGTGGTGTTTCTTTCTCTGGAGGGGGGTAGGGTTACTAGCGCCCCACTCCCAACTTTCCGTGTTTTCCTGACTTACTATTGCCTAGTAAACTAGGCTGTGGTTGTGGAGAGTGCGTCCCTCGGAAATTAGACCACGGACTATGTTCGCGTGGTTGGCGAGCACTCTACCACTGAACCACCGATCACACACACCCATTAGATAAAAAGGCTTTGATTGTCTTTGTCTTCCTTTATTTGAGGTAGCGAAAGAAGGCCGACTGCTAAGTGATTTCTCTTATTGAATTGCATCATTTAAACCTGTATACAATGCATACAGTTTCATGTCATCATAAAGAATTGTAGTGAAAATCAATTATATGTTCCTTTTTTGTTGTTGTCTTGTAGAAAAACAAGGAAATCATGGAGAAACTGGAACAAGTGACTGCTGATTCAGCTCGAAAACAGGAGAAATCATCCGAAATTCAATCCCAATCGTAAGTTGTAGTAGCGTTTATATTTAAAACAATTGTCTTTAACAATAAGAATGATTAAAATAAGACAATATTTTAAACAATATGTGAACACAATACATAAATTTTCAGCGTTCCAAAATATTTCGCTTTCGTACAAGATTTCCATGTAAAGTAATAATCTGAAGAATTGAATTGTAGGTTGTCCCGTCGATTGATTGAACCGAGTGTTTGGTCTCAGATTTACATGTAGGCTTCTTGTGCAAATGCTTCGAGTGTCTGGGCATGTAATATGACCCGTTGCACAGGAGGTGGCTCTTATCGCCTAAGTGGTCTAGTGTATAACACTTTGGCGTTTGAAACGATGGGCACTGGGTTCAAGCCTCGGTGGGAACATCATCACTCACTGGGGGATGCAGGCACATCCAGATGACGAGTCCCAAATAGGACGGTTCCACTGCTAGTCATCATCCACCAATTAACTAACAATCTGAAGTACGTCATTAGGCATAACGTTGTTGCACAGATGAAGAGAGAGCCAGCTATGCACATTTTTTTATTATTGATTATTATTTGATTTGATTACATCATTAGGAGAATAAAAAGTGCTGAGGCGTTTGTGCTTTTTTTTCCCTTCACGTTCCCCAGTGAAACATAGGGCTTCAAGCTAGTGGCTTGAATTTTCCGTAGCAGCGTTTATTTTACAGGATGGGGTTGCTAGCCTCATGCCCAAGCTTTCCTCTTTACCAGCATTATTTCTGGCTTAGCGAGGTGAAGGAGTGCGTCGGCTGGCGATCAAACCCTGGACCATGTGCATGGTCGGCGAGCGTCTTAGCCGCTACGCCACCGACACATGATTTAATTACATCATTAGAAGAATAAGAAATGCTGAAGAGTTTAGGCATTTTGATGGATGGAAACTCTAGTACAATTCCATTATAGATAAGATTTTTATTTTGATAAATCGCACAGTGTTTACAGTTATATGAACTGATGACGTTTCGAGCACAATTTATTGCTCATAATCATATCAAGGTAATCACACGACTTCCTAAATTCATTTATATAGTTCCATTGTTTTTCTCTTGATTTTCACTTGATTTGATTGGTAATAGTATTTTCCATATTTCAGGTATGAGTGACGAGTCATTCCTATTGCATGTGTTGGGTGTAGACTCGATGAACAAGGACTCAGTAATCAACCTCTCTCTCCACCTACCTAGATTCTAAAAAGTAATCTAGGTAGGTGGAGAGAGAGGTTGATTACTGAGTCCTTGTTCATCGAGTCTACACCCAACACATGCAATAGGAATGACTCGTCACTCATACCTGAAATATGGAAAATACTATTACCAATCAAATCAAGTGAAAATCAAGAGAAAAACAATGGAACTATATAAATGAATTTAGGAAGTCGTGTGATTACCTTGATATGATTATGAGCAATAAATTGTGCTCGAAACGTCATCAGTTCATATAACTGTAAACACTGTGCGATTTATCAAAATAAAAATCTTATCTATAATGGAATTATACTCTACCACAGTGCCCAAGTTTTATACTTATATCGGAAACTCTAGTAGTCCAATGATTGAATCAGGTCACCGGTATAAACTGTGTTGTTTTATAATAATAGTAATGATAAAAGCTTTGTTTCAAACAGTAATTTTGTACAAATTTTGCATTTTCAGCAATGTAGTCTAACATATTGCATCTGATATTCTCATCATAGGGGTAATAATTTAAAACCAGGGCATTTACATTGGTAACATTGTTCACTTGAATATGAATATAACATTAGGTGAAGATATAAACAGCAATATAATAATGAAAAAAGGGAGGGACGTTTACTGAGTGTTTCTCAGTAATCCTTCCCTACACTTTTCTCACCACAAATTGTGCACCAAATAAGGTATTTTATAGTTAGTATACTTGGCCGTCCGAACAAATAGTCCTTTATACTTGCTTCTCATTTCCTTACCTGATGAAATACAAGGAGAGAGCGAGCGCGAGAGAGAGAGTTGTGTATGGAGAGGGATGCTCAGGGTCTGACAATCTGAGATTCGCTAATCTCTCACAGGATTCCGTGTGTTTATCTACAACAGTATTCCTATACCGGTTGTATTCCTGATTAGTATTGTATCACGTAAAATTAGTCTACTATAGAATGCATAGTATATTCCACCAACTACTGTTCATATTTTCATACATTTGGTTCCCTTGACGAATTTTGATAGAGAAAGAAAGACCACACTTGCAGTATACAATGATATCATTCTATTTCACAGGTTCTCATCAGTTGCAAACTACCTGAAATTACAATGGTTATAAATAATAACATTTCATAATTCATTGTTTGAAAGGTAATAGAGAAAACATTATAAGGTGAATGCATATGGAATATAAGTAATATAATTTTTAGATCAGGTGGTCACCATCAATTTATATACTATCAAGCTATGTAAAAAGAAATTGGGGGAGGAGGAGGGTGAGAGAAGACAGAAAACAGAAAAAATCTAATAAACAGTGTCAACATGACAACTCAAGAAGGTCAAAGTTCATCAGTTTGAAAACTTGCTTAGTAAGTTGAACTCACTAGTGTGTATGACTAATCAGTGTAATGAAAGTGATACGGTTACCAAGCGAGTGAGAGAATGACTACACTCACTTTTTGTGTGCATAAGTTTGGTCTGAGATGTTTGATTGCAATTGCTTCCGAATCCTTCAAAATACTAAACATGCAAAGGACAGAAAATCTACTACGATTTGCTAAAGGAATTCCAATCAAACATCTCAGACCAAACTTATGCACACAGAAAGTGAGTGTAGTCATTCTCTCACTCGCTTGGTAACCGTATCACTTTCATTACACTGATTAGTCATACACACTAGTGAGTTCAACTTACTAAGCAAGTTTTCAAACTGATGAACTTTGACCTTCTTCAGTTGTCATGTTGACACTGTTTATTAGATTTTTTCTGTTTTCTGTCTTCTCTCACCCTCCTCCTCCCCCAATTTCTTTTTACATAGCTTGATAGTATATAAATTGATGGTGACCTGATCTAAAAATTATATTACTTATATTCCATATGCATTCACCTTATAATGTTTTCTCTATTACCTTTCAAACAATGAATTATGAAATGTTATTATTTATAACCATTGTAATTTCGGGTAGTTTGCAGTTGATGAGAACCTGTGAAATAGAATGATATCATTTTATATTGTAAATCTGTTCATATTTTATTCTCGTCTGATTACTGTACATACTGTTTACCTAGATCTCTATGTTAACTTACTTGGTACAATATGGCACCAAAAAAATGCGCCAGACAATAATAGTAATAAAAGGACATATGAGATAAAAAAGTAAGAATGTAGGTAAAGAAGAGATAAAGTACTTCATCTGGAAGAGAGCAGTCATATTTAACAAGTTCAAACAGCATTCATCAATTATTGTGGGGAAGGGAAGAAAGAAGGAAGCTGCAGCACGTTCTCTCCATCGATTGCGATTTTCGTTCATATAACATAACGTCTCGAATCACCGACTCTAGCTGTCTGTCGGACTCCAACCAGGGATTCGTGACTCACCAACCGATGTTAGCCTAACACAAATATCCTTCATCCCACCACTCCACGTCATGGTCTGATCACATCACCGCTTTTTCCATCCCATGTTAGGGCTAGAGGACAGACACCTGTACGGAAGCCTCTGGGTGGGATGACATTCTTAGCATATGTCACAGCCACCGAAGCCGGTGTTTCTATATGACGACACTCAACGAATGGTGGTCTCCACTGTTTCCAAACATTCGCTTCTGGGCTCGCTCAGAATTAGTCACGCGATGATGCCATCGAACGCAAGTGATCCTACTGATACAGCGATGACCGAATACACAGAGTCGCCGCACATCCTCAGCTTGGAGAGGAAAAAGGTGACCGAATAGGATTGTTATGAATGTATTGAATCTATGTAATTGGGACCCATATAGTTTCACTTTCGGAGATGTTTGCAAGGTGGTAATATAACGTAGATTTGTGTTTTTCTTTGCTTGCTGGTGACTGAAGTTGGTAAGTAAAGCCAGATTTCTTAGAAGACAAAATATTGATCAGTGTTGTGTTAACACCTTCCTATGACTTATTATAAAATGTCTTCTATGCATATATTCTCTGCGATAATAACTACTTATTGAGTACATTTAATTGTACCTCTTAATGTCAATTTTTTTGTAGCGACCAGCTTAATTTACTAATTGAACGTAATGAACAAGTTGAACGAGAACTTGCTGCTTTAGGAAATACTTTTAAAGAAACAATACAACAGTATACAGTTGAACGAACTGACCTGAGGAAACAACTAGACAGTGTTAAGACAGTGAGTATCTGTATTCAATGAAGTATTCTTGTTCATTGTTGCTGTTTTCTTCTTTCATTCACCACCATCTGCATACTCATACTCTGGTTGTTGATTCCTTTTTTGTTTGCCTATCTATCGGTGTGGTGTAACGTTATTTATTACGTGACTATTACACTCTCAAATTATTTAATAATTCAGCTTACTATCTGGTGATGTCTTTAGACTTCTGTCTGTTCTTTTTTGTTTGGTGTGTCTCAGTAGCATACTTATCACTCCTACCCTGTGACACGGCAGCAGGAAGCGCGGTCGTTGTTAATCCGGGCCACGGCCGATCCGGCATGATATTTTGTGAATTTGTTTGAATCATGGTATTGGATGGGTAGCTGCTTTTTGTTTAACCGCTATCCAAACAACCTGCCTGGCATGGTAGAACCTCAAGAGACATAAGTCTCAGCCAGTATAGCTTGAATAGATCATTGCGTGTTCAAGCCCGACCACCACGTCAAGGTAGCAGCTTTCGGTCGGGATTAGACTTACTTATCAACAAATAGAATTCACACAAGTCTACAAAGTTGTCACTGCTTTGTATGTGCAACTTTGTTGTTTAGAACGAATAAAGAGAACTATCAAAGCCCCTAGTTTAGAAGTTATATTTGATGTCAGTATGAACAATGAACATCATACAATAAATAATACTGTTTCACTGTATCATATATCCAATAAACAGATTAACGTGTAATTAATGTATTCTACCACAGTGCTACAGTTTTCTACAAGCATTGTTCAATTTTGGTCTTCAGTTAATGTGTTCTCCAGAAGTTTTATTATGTTATTACCGGTTTCGGACCCCGGTGGGTGCGTACTGCTGAAGAGTCCCAAATTAGGACGAAACAGATGTCCAGTACTCCCAAGTTTTCCAGTGGTTCTCTAACCAATGTCAGCTCATGATTAAATCAAATCCCTACAAATGAATACTTGAATGTTACAAGATAGTTGGCACCAATCGTCGCAGTAAGCCTAGGACGACTTAGGTTTCGTACTTGTTGCCATTTACCGGTCAGCATGGAACTCATGTGCCTTCTGAAATTTGAACGTGTGTCACCCAGTGTTCCAGTCAAAAATGTTACCAATGAGTCCTTTGGACTTGCGATGGACCACCTCCTGTAGGACTGTATTGGATTACAGATACGTCTTGCTAACTGATGAGTGCCAGGAAGCACGAAACTTGAGTTCAAGGCTTTCTGTCGATTGCCTCGAATTATCTAATAACAGTAGATTGAAGTACGCACCGTGATGGCGAGTCGCGTGGGATGGTGGCGGTAGTCACATAGGAAACTTGACTGATAGAATTCAGTCTGAACCGGACACAAAGGACTAGACGCATGACGCTTCATTCATCAGTACTTTACATAGCTTGTGAATGATTGATTGAAGATAAAGTTTTATTTATTTTATTTTTATATCTACAAGTTGGTTATTATTTCATATTTCCCAATGCTAATCTATTCACTCACAATTTGTAGTCGAATAGACAGGGAGATAAATGAATGTATCAGTTGTTTTTTTTCCACAAAATCTCAATTCTTCAATTGGATGCTCTCTGTCTTAATACTTTGTACTTACCGGGTGTAGTTCTTTTTATTTCGAGGTTATTCTCCTTCAAATTGCATTGCTCATTAAAGAAGTTAATGACTGTGTATGTATGACATATCTGTCCTAGTCAGTCAGTTCAGTTACCGAATCAGATTGACCTCTATTTACCGAACACCTTGTATTCGAGTAACTCTATTCTTGTATAATTTTACAATTAGAATGTGTTTCATATGCCTTAAATACTTCTACTGTTCATCTTTTTGTCTCTATCTGTTGTTGCGTTTTCTCTCTCCTCCCTCTCTCGTATTATAGGAAAATGAAGAATTACTGAAGAGTAAAAAAGCCGAATGTTGTGAGCTTGAAGAACGAGCAGAAAAAGCTGAAAGTCAACTGAAAGGACTACGTGATCAGATAGCAAACATGCAGACTGAACGTAGTCGTCTTATCGCAGCTTCAGTAGGGAGTTCTCAGGTTGTTTATCTAGTGTTGTTACTATTATCTACTACTGATTGTTAACATGGATATTTCCCATAATTGTATATGACACTAACCCTGTTATGCAGTCATTACGTAGGATAGTGTTATGTACTGCTGCTGAGTGAGTAATTAGAGTTTTCCCCGTCGCCAATTATGTTATGTACTCGTCGAGTGGTATGATTCGGATTGCTTGAAGGTGAAGTTGAACCAGTCTGTTGGTTGATAAGCATTTCCATCAATTTCATTTGTCGCTCAAGTAGTAGTTCCAATTTAGAAGAATCCATAGTTTTCTCGTCGCCATTTATGTTATGTACTCGTCGAATAGTTAATAGTCCTGATGCGGAAAGAGGGAAATCATAAGAGCACCAGGTTTACGATGATACTTGTTTTTTCCAGACAGGAAAGTAAATGTCACACAAGAGTGTGAGTGAAATGGTACGTAGTGTACGAAACGTGGGAACAAGTATGAACAAGTATACAATACAAAAGCATGTGTGAAATTGACTAATACACATGAACCAATAAATAGATAGTCTTAACATGATTGGTTGTAATGTCATGTAACAACAAGGTCATACATGTTTATTTAGTTAGTGGACAGACAAAAGCATATTATCAGTTATAATGAAATATCGATCTATATAAACATAGCAGAATATAATAGACTGTCAAAAACAAAACACACATAATGTGGATACATATCAGATAGTATACCATTTCGAAGGGTATAGCTTACTAACTCAGTGTGGTTGCTAGCTAGCTGTCTTTGATCATCGTTGTCTGCGTTATATCTCCCGTGTGAAGTTGTCTAATGGGGTGAGCAATATTAATGTTAGGCGTTGAGTGCTAGGTAAGGAAGGAGGAGAAATCAGTCGATGAGGCTGTGAAGCTACGTGTGTTACGAATGCCGAGCCATCGCCTTCCTCGACAGGCAATGTTAGCTGACATACAATCGATGAAGTTGGAAAAGAGAGAGCTAGTGATGGTCAAACGAAAACATGGCTTCATCATTCAATGAAATCCACAACAGTTAGTTTAAGCCATCCAGTGATGTAGGGAGGTGTAAACTTCCTGGTTGAAGTCCTCGGGACGGTAAAAACCAGTGAAGGCTGGAGACAATTGGTGATATGGCTGAAAATCGTTCTCACTGATGACTGGGTCATATGCACCCACTCCTTGTGACTTATAATTTCCAATGAAACTATAGTGTTCTTCGTTATTACTATTCCTTTTGTCTCTACTTTGCATTTTTTTTTCTCTTGTTTTGTGTGGTACATGGAGTGTGGCGATTTGAACTGCTGCATATCGGTGCAAAGTTGTTGTTGAAAACAGACAGACAGACAGACACTAGTTGCTTGTATTCTCTATGAACAGTTGGTGGTAATCATACTATCCATCCACTTAACCTATGCCAATGTTTCCACTTGATTGTGCAACATTTTAAGAAGACAAATTTTATATTCTGTCTGAATTATAATTCTGCCGAAAAGTTGTTTAAGGGATACTCATTATATGTAAGGTATAAGGCCAGAATGATAGAAATAATAATGGTAATAATGGCCTAAATGATTTCTGGACGTATCATTCCTTTGCGTCTCTAGTGAAAACATTGAGCTTCCAACGTTGGTTGTGCTTTTTAGTTTCGTTAGCGGTGGTATTGTTTTACAGGGTGTGGCGTTGCTAACTTCACTCCCAACCTTTCCTCTTTACCCTACTTACTACTACTGATGACTAAGTAAGGTTTAGCAGTGCTTCGGCCGGGAATCGAACCCCCCGCCTGGTCATATGCATGTTATGGGCACGTTTCATTTTCCCTTTTGTATTCATCTTTTCATTGTATTTCTACTTTATGAAACACACTTTATACTTCAAGCCTATAATACAGTTAGTCTACTAATGTTAACATTAACATTTTCCATTTATTTATTTTTTTTCAGCAATTATCAGACGTGAACATTAAATTGAACGAAGCAAATAGGAAACAGGAAAGCCTTGAACAGGCACTTCGTGAAGCACAACTGCGACTTGAACGAATGAATACAACACAGAATCAGACGGTAAGGCGATTTCAATGTTGTTGTTGTTTTCACTCTATCTATCTATCTCTGCAGTGATAGATTATTTCGACTGTAAGCTTATCTGGATTCCAAGATAGCGAAAATATCCATTCATAATCTAGAGAAAAGAAATTGAGCAGAGAATATCCTTATCGATAGTTTCCTTTTCTGGCTGTACAATTATACATGTATATGTTCATATACACGGAATATTCCAGAATAGTCGCCATAAACAGTACTGGTGTTTTTAAATAATATCGATTTGTTAAGTAAGATCACAATGGAATTACAGTTCACTAAAGATGCATAAATTATAAAAAGCTTAAAAATATAATAGCAAACAGAATACCAACTAAAATTAAGGAAATTTCCACAAAAATTGAGGATCATTCGAACCTTGATGGCCAAGGTGTAAGACCATTGCCTGAACCAGCTTCTTTTGGTCAAATAAGTTAGGTTTCTTATTGTGGATGCCAAAAGCCTCAGTAGTATGTAGTAGACGAACTTTTAATTTGAGGTTAAGATTAGTTGGTATACTGTAAATGACTTTGAAAGCCTCGTTGATATCAATCTTGTGTTCTGTATTCACAAGATGAGATAAAATAGCACTATGAATGGATTTTGTTTGTTTTACTTAACCACGTAAGATGGTGTTTGGAAATCCGACGTTAAACACACGCCTAATTGTACGGCCTATGTGTAACTGGCTCCACAGAAGCAGTTAAATTGGTTGGTAGATGCACATAGAAGAGGTGAAATTAAGCAGTTTATCTTTTACTTATCTGCATGTGATTGATTACAAGGTGGATTTCGATATAAACCGACGTCAACATTTATATTTTGAATTAACCGAAGTTAGAATTTTGCGAGTCACTATGCTTATCCCACATCCTGAGGGAGTCTTATGTTCAATTCCTCATGAGTTCTCTGATGATGCACCCTTTCGAAGACATTCAAATTGTGGAGGTTCACGACGAAATCTGGTTTACTTTTATTACTTTATGGGACTGTCTTATATGGTTATAATGCTAATTTTTGTTTATAATTTACCGTACATTTTACCCCCTTCACTTAGCTTGCTCTTGATCAAGTTAGAAATGAACTAGAATCAACTAGAACACAATTGAGAACAGCTCAGAGTGAACTGATTCACTATAAACAAAATGAAGATTTATTACGGTAAATTGTTGTATTTGCTAGTTTAATTCTTGTCTCATTATTATGTATTTATGCATGCTGTCTTTTTTGTGTTCTGGTTGTGTTAGTGTAAACATGTAAGCTTATCATTAGTGATTGATTTACTTGGGTATTTCTAAAATATACGAGCAGTCTCCAACGCGTAATTATAGTTTCTGTAGCCCATTTGGTGCATGCATATAAGCCCTTGATGGGGGGGATGGTATTTATTGAAATCAACTCATGCAAAATTCTCACCCCTGTTGTCAGCGGACTTAACTGTAGGTTCGTATTATTTGCGAAGACGCTTCAAATCGACAATTACTAGGTACGATTATCGACTTTAACTCCAAAACATAAGAACTTTTATTAAGAAATTGTATTGTTGTTCGGTAGTTAAATTCGATATCATAACGAAAGTCTATAAAGAAATGCTTTACAAGGAATGTACTGTACTTTTATTCGTATTCTTTCGTCTTCTTCCAACTTGTACACGGTTGAATCATTCGCGCCTTCGAGTTTCCCGCCAATGGCTACCGAGGCCAACAAACCAGCGTTCAATGTTCACGTTCATTTACACCTGTATTTTGCAGTTTGATCATTCACTTTTGTCCTATAAGCTGGCTACATGTGATGTTTTCAGATTAAATTTGAGTTTTTTTTTTTTTGATACGACAAGTTTCATATTTGATTAAGTTTGTGTGTTAGTGAGTCACTGGATTGATCACAAGCTGCTGACATCAGTTAAAAAATCATTGAAAAACCTGGAAGCATTGGGCAGTACTGTAACCAGTCAAATCCCTGTAAACACCAACACATGATAATCATGAAGTCACTATCCAATCTTTGGGTATACATTTTCTTTCGTAATAGGAAACTAATAGATTATATCAACTGAGATGAATATGGTATTAACTGCAAAGCGGACATCTTTCTTCCTCTTCTTCTCTTTCTTCTTTATCACATCCATGAACACAAACTTTGCAGTCAAAAGGCGTGACTTCCACTCTTAAGTTGTTTCAGTACGCATAGAAGAACATGGAATGTTAAAATCTTAAATGGATACCAAACAATTTCTAGAAGTCTGTTACTCAGTTTACAGTTTACAATGAACTGAGAAGTTAGTACAGATTAAATTTTTTTTAATCAATGAAGATTAAGTCACATCAATGAAAGGCCAATTAACAGATCGGTGTGATGATCACTGCTAATGGTAAGGTAGGTAAGGTATCTTTGAAGATAAGTAGTCAGGCAGTGGAAACGGTTATTTTGTCCATGGAGAATTAGAAAGTTACCTCAAAATGGTGTTATTTAGAAAGACAAAGAGAGTTGTGTAAGTAAATCACCCAGCTCAAAGAACATAATTCATCTGGGAATTATATTTATTGTACAGTGAATGCTGGCTGGAGGTGTTCCTTATTCGTATATGTACATTCATTCTTGTTACTGAGGGAATGATTTTCTTGTATATATAAATATACTACTTAAATCTATATTTAGTAGGTAAATGAATTGTTCTTGTAGTTCGTGTGTATGGATATTTTTTCTTTTGTTAATTTTAATTTTCTAAGTCTGCATATATTTGTTCTTATTATTTCAGTGAACGTACAGTGAACTATGAACGTGAAATTTTAGACTTGAAGCAAGAATTAACACTTACACGATCCCGATATGATCAGTTACAAACAACTATTACATCACCTTATGTAAGTAATTTTTGCTTTTAATTCATCATTAAACAAACTAATGCCTTACTCAGCC